ATTGTATTGTTCACACAGAGAATGATTGGGGAATTTGGTGTGTATGTGTGTGTGTGTGTGTGTGTGTGTGTGTGTGTGTGTGTGTGTATATATAAGGTACAACAGCACTGCAGAAAATTACCTTGCAGGCGGCTGGCGGTTGTCTGCAGCATGAAAGGAGCCTCCCTTTTCTTCTCTTGCCTCCTACCCATCATTAGGATGTGCACTGCGTCTAAAATGGCAGGTGGAAGTGGTAACTGTGTGTGTGTGTGTGTGTGTGTGTGTGTGTGTGTGTGTGTGTGTGTGTGTGTGTGTGTGCACTTGCATGCTTGCTTAATGTAATAATGTGTGCTCGCTCGGTGGGTGCAAGAATGGGTGCTAAAGCAGTGTGTACTCATTGTTCTGGCATCTCTCTCTCTTGATCCACCTCTCCTGCTACATTTTCTTTTCATGAACACATATATCTACTTCTTCAAGAAAACTTCTCTTAACACAAAACAGCTGTTTTTCTTTCCTCTGAGTTTTCTCTATCTCTTATTTTCTTTGTCTATGAAATCCCTCTCTAGCGCTTTTTAACATGCCAGCTTCACCTTTTTTCATTCCAGTTTTTCATTCCTCTCCTTGTCTCGGGGGTGCTTATCAGTATTGTTCACATTTCCCTGCTTTACCAGAGCAGTCAAGGTATTTGCATTTCAAATGAGAAATCTACTTCTCTGACATGCAAATTAATGCATGTGAATTATGCATTTATAGCAGGCTGCTAACACAGCAGCAGGACCAGCCCAATAAACGCACTGAAACACTGAACAGGCAGGGAGCATGGTCGAGGATGCTACTACATCAGTGTAATGTAAAATGCAGCCATTTTGGGCATAACAGGTGGTGTTGGATTTCATTTCTGTGCCTGTATTTTTAGCTTAAAGCCGACTACAGCCAACATTTTGTCCTGATACTCATCATCTTAAAGGAGTAGTCCACCAAAAATCTTTTTAGAATCAAAGGTAGCTCTGAAAAGAGTGTTGGTTTCTCAGAAGAGATTAGTTGTCTAATTGAATTCACAGCAGTTACAGTGGATTCCAATGTCGACCCAGGATAACAACATGTCCATACCCATCAAAACATCCATGATGATGTGTCAAACCACTTCTGCAGTTTTTACTTCTCTACATTGCTCTTTACGAGTATGTTCCAAACAAATGTTGTTTATTCATAAATCACTATCAAGTATTCACTATTTCTGATGGACGTTCTGAGTTGAGGAGGTGATAAGCGGAAGTATTGAACTTGGCCAGTAGTAGTCTAAGATGTGTCCCTGGACATTTGTATGTTTGGCTTTTACTCTCTGTGGAGTATTCCTTCAAAAGATGTACTGCAGACCAGAGATGACTGCATGCAGTGGAGACGTTTGCTTTGCTGTTTGTTTTTAGTTTAATTTTTGTGTTTGCCATTGGCTTCTGTTTTTCTGTTATCCTGTGTGACCTACAGTTACACAAAATCCAGTACAAAAAATACCTTAACCTGGACAACCTGCTGAAACCTAAAGTGTGTCTTAATTCCAGTCTTTCTTCTAAAAAATTATGAAGCAATCAAGCAAAAAAACAAACATGCTTTGCGAGCAGCTTTGCCTTGTGAAGATCAGATGCTTTGACCGGAGTTGTTGTTTCTGACTGGAAAGTAAAACTGTGTTCCACTTTTTTCTTCAAGTGGCAAATCACGCGAGTCTGAAACTAAAGACATGTTGATTTTGAAATTCAAGTGAAATTCAGTTACTGCTGAATGATTAAACTTGCCGTTTGGAGTGTGTTTCAGGGTAAGAAAGAACATTACTGAAGTTCTCAAATTACAGCTTGGGCAACTTGTTTGTCAAAGACTTGATTTTAAAATATTCTTACTTATTTTTAAAGCACTAAATAATGTGGGGACAAAATACAGCACTGATCTGCATCTGTGTTACAAATCAAGACCAATCAGGCCATCGGGCTATAGTTTGACTGATGTTCAGAAGGTCAATATTAAGATGGTGGAGCAGCTTTTAGTTTCTACAATTCACATATCTGGATTAAACTTCCAGAACGGCTGAGGTCTGCTTAAACTCAAGGCTTATATCAAGTCAAGGAAATGCATTTCTGCTCCTTTTAGAATAAATGCATTTCTTCGGCTAGTAATATTTTTATGTAGTTCCTTTTTTTTTCTCTCTCTTTTTCTGTGAAATGTTTTTTTCTCATTGTTTATTCACCCTTTTGAAAGGTACGGTGTAAATAAAAGTGCCTACTGTTTGTCAAAATCTATGTCTGAATCATAAAGTGCAACAGAGAAGAGAGTCCCATTCAGACTAACTGCTGTGTTGTACCTCCACCCTACTTACTCAAATTAAATTGTGGTGTCAGTACAGGAAGTGATGAATCAAACAGCAGGGAGCAAACAGACTGTCCATTAAAAGCTGAACTTGCCAACGTTAGATCTTCTGTGTCTCTCGTCTCTTTGGTATTTTCTGTTATAGAAGCATCACAGACCCTCTGGGTTTGTTTGCTGACATCTTCTTTAACAACTTGAGAGTGCTGACGTCAATGAAGTTTAAAATGGTTTTCAAACAATTACCTCTCACTAACTATTAGAGGCACCAATGTGTGAAATTACCCAGCACCCCTTTAAGTCTGATTGTTTTTTAGTACTAAAAATAAACAGAGAACTTTGTAGTATTTCCCCAAGGAGTTATTTCTACTCAAACTGGAAGTGCATTCTTAACAGGAATTGTACCATTTAACATTAAACCTGTTTGCAAAATGAAGCATCACACTTTAAAAAAAACATATTTACATCTTTTTTTTTTTACCGCTGTTCTTTGCTGTCTCTGCCTTCTTTGCACTTAATATATAGATTTGTCTAGTTGTTGATAGTCATGCAGTCTGTGCCTTGACAATCACTGACTGCTATATTGCTGTTTTTTATTGTTTTTACATTACTTTTGATACAGTCCTATTCTTTCAGAGATATGATAAAAGATTTAAATGTGTAGCATTGTTGCTACATCAAGATTTCAATATGCTATCCCGCTTCTGCCCTCACTATGCATGGTGCTGCACAGCTATGCTTAAAGCTAAAGACATTTCCAATAAAGGGAGTAGACAGGAGTTGGCCTTTTCAGAAGCAATTGTCACAACAATAGTTAGAACTGGGGTATTGTAAAAATGAATTAGTACAATAACTGGAAACTGGATTCACAAAAGTTCAGAGTTTTACGTGTCCCACTAGAAGTATAACAAGCGAAAGGTTAACATCAGTCCCCAAAGTCCAACACAGTAATGAATCTAGGAAACATACACATCCATGAGGGTTAGAGGGTAAAAGTACAGAGTAAAATAGGCTTGCCCAGCAGTAATTAAAGCAAACCTATAATGCTTTTCCGTATTCTGTCATATCTATAATGTTACAGTGTCAGATGTTCATGTTAAACGTGGCCAAAGCTTAAAGAAACTAAATTCTGCTAAATCGCAATACAAGAGTGCCTAACAAACGATAGTCCAACAGTCAGTATTCGCTTACATCTTACAAAATGGCGGCTGTAGCAATGTCATTTAAAACTGCTATGAAAGTCTGCCAGCAGACTGATCATTTAGTTTTAACTGTGCTCCTTGCCAGCCTGTAGATGCTCCAGGCCCCAGGGGCCACGTTGGACCACCTGTGCAGAGGATAAGCACCCAGCAGGGCTTCAGGTCCTGGCCAAATACCTGAGGCCTGCATGACCTCTGGTTCTCTGGCTAATGAACAAAATAGGATAGATGTAGGAGCGGAGGGTCTGTTGGGTGAAGTAAACACTGGTGATACTTGTTAGATGAGAGCTTTAATTAAAATGGGTGCTTTCCAGTCAGTGTCATTTACCTCGTGATATGATGGATTTGATAAAGTTGGATTTGATAAAGCTGTGCCGGATGTCTCTGACAGACTTATGTCTTGATCTTTTATTATTAATAAAATGCTTCTTCACTTTGAATTAATTTAAAACATTTCTGTAAACTATCATGTATAGCTGAAACAACCTACTTAATCACAGGATATGGAACATATAATTAAGCTGTAAATTATAGTATGCGATAGTTCTTCAGTTGAGTACTCAAATTAAATGGGACATCCGGTTATTAAATATTTAACCTGAATACTCAGTCAGTAAATTAAGCATTCACATACACTTCTAACCAGATGTAACCATGGAACAATGCTGACTGTACCTTAATCATGGCTGGATCGAAAAGGTGAGGTGATGTCATCAAGAAACACTGATAACGATTATATACATGTATGTCTTATGTTACGTATTGACATGTCTGACTTTACTTAGAGCTTCCTGTTTTCTCAAATAACCAAAAAACATCAGAGACTCTGGGTCTTTATCCCTTTCTGTGCAGACGTCATGTCAGAAGAACAGCAGCTTTTTAGATAAAACATGTTGATGTTGAACCCAATGTACGGGGGGGGGGGGTACATTGGGCTCCACAATATGAGGAAATGATAAGCTTTGCTGTAAACATGCATGTACACATAAAAAAAAAACAGTAACACCCCCCCATCAGGAATTACAGTTTCACAAGTGTGTGTGTGTCTTTTCTTGCTCGCCTTGTCTCTTTGTTTCCTTTAACTTACCCACACACCATCTGGTTGAGTAATTTATATCACGAGGAGAAGGTGTTATCACCAACTTATTCCTTGTGACTGTGTGTGTGTGTGTGTGTGTTGTCTGTTTTCCTCAATATCAGTACCTTGAGCTATTTTGATGTTTGATGATGAGTTATTGAAACAAAACCAGAATATATGCATTTGTTTTCACTTACAATCCTCCAAATGTAGGGGCGATTCAAATAAAAACACAACTTTTTAAGTTTTTAACATTGTTCAGATCAAATAGAACTTAATTTCCAATCATACACTCTATTATTGTTCTATTGTGTATAGATATGTTCTTGGCATATTTCCTGATTTTTAGCCAGTTTATAAATTCATAAAGTCTTTATTGCTGATTCTTTCAGGTACTAACAGAGGAAGGTTTTGGTTCGATTACAACAGAAATAGCGGAAAACAAGCCATTCTACTATGCCGAGGATTATCACCAGCAGTACCTGAGTAAAAACCCTGATGGATACTGTGGTCTGGGAGGGACAGGAGTCTCCTGTCCAATAGGAATCAAGACGAAGACCTAGCTAGTCAATGACCAAGAACCATCTCCAATCTGTTCAGTAAGGATGCAACGATGAAGTGCTTTTTAAGATTTAAAATGCATATACCAAATACAAAAAGATTAAGGTTTTAAATATATAAAAATCTGACTTTTTAAAATCTTTTATTGATGAATCCAAGTGCTCCATTTCTGAAAAGAATCTAGCTATGATAGTCAAAAGCTGTAGCTCAGTTTGTGCTGAAAGAAAAACACAGATTTGTGCCTGATGTAACTCACAACATAAACTGCAGACAAGAGGCTGACAAAGACTGTCAGTCTTCTCAGCTATTTGCTAATAATAAATGTATGTATCTTATATGTACTGCAAAAGTGATACAACACGTCAACACGTGAAAGACAAAATATACTCCTTAACATAGAATGACCAGAATTTGTTTATCCACATTTCATAGATTTGTTTTGAATAACAACTGCAGATAAAAAGTATAGTCTGTAGAGGAATAAAACATAATAAAATCTTCTGAAATCAGAAATCTGTCTCTTTTCAGTTTCCTGACTTGTAATTGCTGTTTAAATATATTCTCACTGTACTATGCATATCATTTTGGAAAGAAAATAAATAAATGGTACATTAAATTATCCACTAGAATATCTTTTTGGCTCACAGATCACTTTATTCAGTATGTAAAACGAATGTTCAGCCTAGGAGAAAATGGTGAATTTCATAAATTGCAGTTTCTACATTAACAAAGTCAGCTTAATGTCATGGGTTTGCTAATCCAGATCAGAAGATTCTCTCTTTGCTCCCTTAGCTACCTGGATGGTTTAAGCTTTGTATTATTTTCTGTGGCTGCAGACTAGGTGAAAAATGTATTTATATGTTTGCTCTTTTGTGGCGTGGTGTGTGCTGTGTTCTGGGCATGATTTTGGATGACCTCCTTTCTCTGATCTTTGCCTGAAGTAATGTTCTAGTTCGTGACTCATCTGTCATTGCTGTTAATCTGCATGCATGTATGTTTGTACAGCACGTGTGTTTTGATGGTAAACCACACACCAGCAAGAGGAGGAGTGTGTTTAGTGCCAGGCCCTCCAAAGCTTGGCATCGCCATCACAGAGTCAGAAAAAAAGCAAGAGAGGGACGAGATCAGTCCCTTTCGAAATGGCTAAGCGCCATCTTGGACCTAGACTACGTTGGATCGCCTCCATGATGCAGGCTGCAGGACCACGGCTCAACTGGCTTTTCAAAGCCAAATCTGACCACTATTTTGGGAAAGAAGCTGATGATGGCTGAGATTTTGTTCAAATATTCATTTAAATTTGTCCAATTTGGTTTTACGTTAAAGAAAATAAAGATTGTTAACATTTGCTCCTTTAATCTTTGTGAATGTGTTTTTTTGTAACGGAAAAACATCGTTCAATAAACTATCAGTGTAGAATTGATAAATTCTATAATAAAATGTGTTGGCAAGAAATATATATGACCACATTTGATTTCCTTTGAAATCTTTATTTCGAACATGCAAGAGACAGTATATAAAAAATAACAATAAAAATAAATTAATAAATGAATAAAAAAATGTTTAAAAACATAGGAGAAAAAAACAACAACAGATGAGCAGCAAACAAAGTACACTTCTTTCCTGTGTTAACATACTTCTATCACATGTGCGAAAAGGAGTAGAAAGAAGTAAAACTTATGTACTCCTACCCCTTTAATTCTTACATTCCTTCAATTTACAATATTTATATATATTATTATGTTGTTATATAAATCCATATATATATATATATGTATGCATACATACATACATTTTTTTTCATATATACAATATTAAAGTGACCACTGAAAAGTATTTATTTATCTGACCTCGATTATGTACTTATTCAAACAGCAACAACAAAAAAACTAAACTAAACAACAAACAAAAGACAAAAAAACCCAAACATAAACAAAGGAGAACTTCTACTTTTACTACAGTGCTTCTCGATACCTCCTGAAAACCATTTCTTTGTACATTTTTTTGAAAAGGAATGTGTTTGGGCATTGCTTTAGGTTCGCATTTAGTTTACACATTAAATTCAGGTTGACGTTTTGCTACAGCAAACTTTTGAAATGTTGAGCTTCGACTGCATAAATGGTTCTGATAATTGACAAGTTATCACTTAGCATCAACAAATTACAGACTAACCTCCTTGTAGACCACCTTGCCCTGTACCATACATCCATATCGTATGAAGATGATAGCAGATTTTTTAGGGCAATATTGGCTCAATAAATATCAGTGTGACCCCCCAAAACAACCCCTTTGTTCTGTCAGTGTTTGCTGGTTGTGTTTGTGTTTGTGAGTTGTTTAAAGAACAATACCTCAGAGTCCTGTGAATTTTAAAAATCTCAATGTGGTTTCAATTTACTTTTCTCTTGTGAAAGGGTATTGCATTCGCTTGGTCAAAACAAACCATAAAATTTGCCTGAGAAGTAGCTGTAGTGCCTCGCCTGGAAAAGGGATACCAGGGTACTCTTCTGGAGCCAGACCTCGGAGGGGAGCTCACCAGCAAGCGTCTGGTGGCCAGGCTTTGAACCATGTGGCTTGGTCGGACACAGCTCGAAAGATCTACATAGAGCCACCGCCCTGTGGGCCCACCACCTGTAGGGATTGGCATAGGGACGTGGAATGTCGCCTCTTTGGCGGGAAAAGAGCCAGACCTGGTGTGGGAGAAGTGGTACCAACTAGACATAGTAGTATAGGCTAACCTCTTGGGCTGGACTCTCTCCTGCTCTGGAGTTCCCCAGGGTGAGAGGAGCTGGGCAGGTGTGGGGATGTTAACTAGCTTTCGGCTGAGTACAGGTAAGAGAAGGAGAGGGTTGCCACTATGCAAGGAAGGTCATGACTGTTGTGCATGGATATGCACTGAACAGCAACTCAGAGTACCAGGCCTTCTTGGAGAAATGATTGAGAAACTGGGTAGGGAGTGATTGGGAGAAATGGCCTGCCTGATCTGAGCCAGAGTTGTGTTTTGTTATTGGACTTCTGTGCTAGTAATGGATTGGCCATAATAAACACCATGTTAGAGCATAAGTGTACATGGTATCAGAACACTGTTCGTGGTCTAAGTCTGAGGCCATGGTTCTCTCTTGGAAAATGGTGGATTGCCCCTCCAGGTTGGGAGTGAAGTACCCCAAGCGAAGGAGATTAAGTATCTCTGGATCTGGAACACTGCAAAATGGAGCACGAGATGGACAGTGTACCGGACTATTGTGTTGAAGAGGGAGCTGAGCCAGAAGGCAAAGCTTTCTATTTACCAGTAAATCTATGTTCCAACCCTCAGCTATGATCATGAGCTGTGGGTGGTGACTGAAAGAACGAGATCACGGACACAAGCGGCCAAAATGAGTAAGGCTGGGCTAAGCCTTAGAGATAGGGTGAGGAGCTCAGACATCCGGAGGGAGTTTGGAGTAGAGCCGCTCCTTCACATTGAAAGGAGTCAGTTGAGGTGGTTCGGGCATCTTATGAGGATACCTCCTGGGCACCTTCCTTTGTGGTCTTCCGGGCACGTCCGACTGAGAGGAGACCCAGAACGCCTTGGGATGTCTCAGGAGGAGCTGGAAAATGTTGCTGGGGGGAAGGATGTCTGGAATACCCTACTTAGCTTTCTGCCACGTGACCCAACCCTGCATAAGCGGACGATAATAATGGATGATGATATCATTTCTGACAAATGACTCAATGTACTTATTGGACGATATTCAGAAAATGCTCTGTAAGATGTGATGAATGATAATTAATATCGGATATGATGATGTGTGCTTGTATAAATTCATTTCAAAGGTTTCACACAATTATTAAACCAATTTATATAATAATGTTGGGCACTAAAATGTAGGCACTTGTTAAAAACGATGCAATCCCCTTTGCTGACTTTTTATTTCATCAGGATCAGTTTAAAAAATAGCAGGCGTTACATATTCCCACTGCTAGTATAGTATAATCAACACTAGAATACTGAACAGAATGTGAACAGAATTGAACAGGACATAGCTTTTTGTTTTGAGGAACTCCTAAAACATTAACAATCTCAAAATCTTATACTACACATAGAACATACAGACAACATGATTATATGTTATATTAGCCCCAACTGAACACTGGGTCTGAATCCAGAACACATTATTATGCTGCCATCATGTGGTATGTCCAAGGTATGAGCACATGGATCTCAGAGGTAACATAAACTAACACACAGAATTTGAGACGCCTGAGAAAGTAAGAATTCACACAAAAACCATTTCAGATGTCACAATGTAATGCACCAATGGTGACATTACTGCAGATATTAACAAGTCCCCCTTCCCTTTCTTTTTGGATGAAGAAACACTGACAAAAGATCTGTGCAAATTTTGCCACATAACCTATTGCTCACATATTTACATTTTATCAACGAAGACTTGTTTGGGTGTAACAGAAAACGCATAGGCTGAAATGTATTTTCTAGGACAAAAAAATAAATAAAACAATATCTAAAAGTCTAATTATTCTAATTAAGATTTATTTCTTTCGCCGCCAAGAAGCAAACGGCAGACTTTTGGTGATTCATTATTCTATCATTTAGCCTATATTTTACCTTTCAGAGGAGAAAATAAACCATAAAACCATCAAAACGAATTATTATCGGTTTATTTTGAAGGGTTAGTTGTTTAATGGTGTGGTCACTATGATGCCTGGTAACGGTAGCAACAGTAAACGTCCCTCAACTGTAACTCAACTCAGCTTGATCCAAGACGAAAGGTAACTGACTAACATTTCATTTAAAAAAGTAGCCTAATTTAGGTGTCAATTGTCACTACTTCATGAAATCCTGACTCTCCTTAGAAGAGAAATTCGAAGGTTGTTAGTTACTAGTAGGCTGCCGACTTTGACACACTGGTTCGCTACAAGTTTGACATTAACTTAAGGCTAAAACATTTTGATTCATTAATTGACTGACTCTGTTTGTGCAGTAAACTTATAGATTTTTTAAAATGTTAGTTTGGTGTTCGTTGAAAAGTTTTGAAAGTCCCGTTAGTTTATAATAGCTCGCGAAACAACACATGATATGCGATATTAAGGTTAAGAGATAAGAGATGACATGAATGATATTTTTTGATCATAATTTTGATCAAATTTTGATCATTAAACACTTCATTTCCTGCATTCTGGTGAAAGTTTCTGCACCAATTTATGGTGGAAATGTTTTTATTTATGTAAAGTACACACAAAATGCAGGTATCATGTGACACTAGAATATAAGTCAGGGCAGCTCTCAGGCATTCTTTGTTACTTTCAGATCTGTTTCTCCTGTAAATCAGCTTTTCTCATGTCATATCATCCTTGCTGAGGCAGCACATATGTAAGTAAGATTTAATTGTCCCTCCTCTTTTGTTATGTTCACAAGGAGAGAACAGAAAACTTGGCCAAAGAAAACTGTATTGAGAAGTTGTTAATGTTACTGACTGGTGCATGCATGGTTTTGAATCATTTTATAATCAGTAGCTTGTTTTTGTTTGTTTTTTTAGCTTAATTTACTTTTTTTGGACAATGCACATTTGTTTCTTCTATATTTTAATTGTATTGCATGTTTTCTGAATGTTTGTTTTAACAAATTATGCTTTAATAAAGTGATGGGGACAAAATCAACATTTCAAAAAGTGGTGGGGACATGTCCCCAGCGTCCCCAGTGTAAAAGACACCTATGGTTGCAACCTGTTTTCCTAGTTGCTACCTTGCTCACTTATCAACACCAAGTTAGAGAAGTGGCTAACAGCAGGTTAACATTATGCAACACTTTGCCAAAGCTAATGGCATGTCACTTGGACTCAGATATACCCATTTGACTATCCATCATTATAATGTATATATGCTATCAAGCAGGAGTCTTCTGTCAATATTTTAAAATACACAACTCAAGTTTCAGTTTTTCCATAAGACTAAAGAAAGAACCCTAACTGTGGGAAAAAATCAAGGAGTTAAAGAAAGGCTAGCAAGGAGAGGAGGTAGGGCTGTAGTTCTCTAGGCCTATATCTTAATTTTAGTGTAACACATTAAGTAATGAATTAGGCTTAAGGGTCTGCATTAATTATTAGCATATATATTCCCACTACCAGTTGCTTTGTCCCGCTTTTGAGAGTGATTCTCAAACACAAACAAATATTGTTTCAGGCACAGGGTGGCACTGTGGCATTTTTATATTAATTATAATCCATTTGTACATTTTTTTGTAGCTGGCGATTTTCCGATGAAGACAAGCTCGGTACAAAGGAGTTGTGTATAGGTTGAGTGAGTATCGTCCAACAATGTCTGCTGAAATACCCATGGAGAGACTGTACCATAGAACGTGCACAGACTCAAATCAGTCAGTTCAGTCTCCTGCACATATCCCACCTACTGGAATCAGCAGGGTTGAGCACCAAGAGGGTAGACTCGGTTTGCTGGCCTTACAGGGTGAACCAGTGGTTGGCAAGACTCACCCTACCTTCTCCTCTCTTCTGAGCCTCGATGATGCTATCCCCACTGGACAATACCAGCCAGATGCCTTTCAGGCCGGTAATCAGACTATGCAACAAGTAAGTGTGACATTTCTGTATTATACAAACTGTCAATGATCAAATGAAAAGTACAAAATATGTTCATTCAGTAAAATTGGTTATTGACTTACAATGGACTTTGAAAACAGTGTCAGTTTCTCAGAATCGATACAGAAGAAATCAACTGCAGAAGAAGCAAACAACTACTGTATTTCTTAACAACATTAACCTCATTAAACCAGAATGCCTTCCAGCCAAAACACGTTAGACACACACATCTTATCACAGCAGGTCCTTGCATGTACAGTGAGGAAAATAAGTATTTGAACACCCTGCTATTTTGCAAGTTCTCCCACTCAGAAATCATGGAGGGGTCTGAAATTGTCATCGTAGGTGCATGTCCACTGTGAGAGACATAATCTAAAAAAAAAATCCAGAAATCACAATGTATGATTTTTTAACCATTTATTTGTATGATACAGCTGCAAATAAGTATTTGAACATCTGTCTATCAGCTAGAATTCTGACTCTCAAAGACCTGTTAGTCTGCCTTCAAAATGTCCACCTCCACTCCATTTATTATCCTAAATTAGATGCACCTGTTTGAGGTCGTTAGCTGCATAAAGACACCTGTCCACCCCATACAATCAGTAAGAATCCAACTACTAACATGGCCAAGACCAAAGAGCTGTCCAAAGACACTAGAGACAAAATCGTACGCCTCCACAAGGCTGGAAAGGGCTACGGGGAAATTGCCAAGCAGCTTGGTGAAGAAAGGTCCACTGTTGGAGCAATCATTAGAAAATGGAAGAAGCTAAACATGACTGTCAATCTCCCTCGGACTGGGGCTCCATGCAAGATCTCACCTCGTGGGGTCTCAATGATCCTAAGAACGGTGAGAAATCAGCCCAGAACTACACGGGAGGAGCTGGTCAATGACCTGAAAAGAGCTGGGACCACCGTTTCCAAGGTTACTGTTAGTAATACACTAAGACGTCATGGTTTGAAATCACGCATGGCACGGAAGGTTCCCCTGCTTAAACCAGCACATGTCAAGGCCCGTCTTCAGTTTGCCAATGACCATTTGGATGATCCAGAGGAGTCATGGGAGAAAGTCATGTGGTCAGATGAGACCAAAATAGAACTTTTTGGTCATAATTCCACTAACCGTGTTTGGAGGAAGAAGAATGATGAGTACCATCCCAAGAACACCATCCCTACTGTGAAGCATGGGGGTGGTAGCATGGTGCTTTGGGGGTGTTTTTCTGCACATGGGACAGGGCGACTGCACTGTATTAAGGAGAGGATGACCGGGGCCATGTATTGCAAGATTTTGGGGAACAACCTCCTTCCCTCAGTTAGAGCATTGAAGATGGGTCGAGGCTGGGTCTTCTAACCCTAACCCTAACCCGAAGCACACAGCCAGGATAACCAAGGAGTGGCTCTGTAAGAAGCATATCAAGGTTCTGGCGTGGCCTAGCCAGTCTCCAGACCTAAACCCAATAGAGAATCTTTGGAGGGAGCTCAAACTCCGTGTTTCTCAGCGACAGCCCAGAAACCTGACTGATCTAGAGAAGATCTGTGTGGAGGAGTGGGCCAAAATCCCTCCTGCAGTGTGTGCAAACCTGGTGAAAAACTACAGGAAACGTTTGACCTCTGTAATTGCAAACAAAGGCTACTGTACCAAATATTAACATTGATTTTCTCAGGTGTTCAAATACTTAGTTCCAGCTGTATCATACAAATAAATAGTTTAAAAAAAAATCATACATTGTGATTTCTGGATTAATTTTTTTTAGATTATGTCTCTCACAGTGGACATGCACCTACGATGACAATTTCAGACCCCTCCATGATTTCTAAGTGGGAGAACTTGCAAAATAGCAGGGTGTTCAAATACTTATTTTCCTCACTGTAGATACTGGTCACTCTGTGTAAACCAGCACATGCTCTCTCTTTATGCATGTGCATATATCCACAGGAGTCCACTGAACATCAAACATTGATTGATACTGACAATACTGCTCCATGTAATCGGGCATGTTCACTTTTAGTTCAATTCTACTTGCCACTAGGCAGCAGTAGAACATCAGATTATTGTTTAATTGTCCGTCGGCAGGCTCCAGATCATCCATGTGAGGTGGTTCAGCAGCAAATTGAGCAGATCCACATGGTGCTACAGGAGCAGGGTAGACTGCTGACTCTACTTGGAACAGGTCTGTGTTGAACAGTACACATTGCTGTTAAGGCTAGAAAAGAAGAAAGGATTTTCTCATTAAAAGCCCAGGATGGCTCCTTGCATTTTATCTAGTTAGTTGGAACATCTGGTAGTGACATTTAAAAAAAAAAAATAATTATGGCACACTTGCAAATGCTGCAGCCTTTTTAGTTTCTGACGTGTATGCCTAGAAAATGTAGGTGTTGTGTTTTAATTGTTTTGCATTTGCCAAATAAAATAAATCTATGATCCACAGTTTTATAACCGGCAAATGTGTTTACAATTTAGCCTATAATGTGTTCTTTACAATTTTATATTTAACAAAACAAAAGTGTTGCTCACTTGTTGAATTTAGAAGAACTAACAGCCAGTGCAACACACAACTAACCACAACTAATTTCCAACAAACTCAAATCTTAACACACAGAGCAGATTCAGTTAGGATAAATCTATAATAAATGTTTCTCTTTCTATCCTATCCACTTATCTTAATGAGATAAATCCTTTAAAACTGCTTTCAGTCTGAAGACTGTTGAGACATTAAACCATTACAGACTTTATAAAAGCAGACAGAGTATGGCATGGATTTGTTTGTCTTTGTATTAATACTTTTCTCTGTTGTTTTTGCTGCTGCCATGATATTCCTGCTCTGAGGCTGCTAGTCTCAACTTGACAGCCACCACCAGCTTTCCTGTTGCGACAAACGGCAATCTCCGGAGCTGAAAATTAAGCCAACGTGGAAATGGCAAAAACTGCACTTCAAATGGCCACTTAAAGATGGCTCCAAAATTGAGTCAATCCCCGTAGACCCCCCATGTTAAAATGGCCAACTTTACAGCAAAGATAAACATGTTTACAGCCTGGTATGAAAAAAAGGTTTTGGTCTCTAGATAATTTTCCCCTTCATGACAACTTCGTTAGGGTGAGTTTCTATATAACTCACCCATTTAAATGATATTAAGGCTCAAAGTTATGCATAATTAAGGACGTGGCCACTTTGAGTGACAGGTGGGTGTCCTCTCAGGTGGCTAGCAGCTGGATGATTTCCTCAGCACCTACTCTGCTCCCATTTTTGGATTAGCCAGAGTCAGGCACTGCCAAGACCACCCACATGTAGCTTCACAATGGCTCTTCGGAAACCTATAGGTGACGTCATGGACACCACCACCATGTTTCAAAGAGTCCCACACAGCCTGCCCAGAGCAAAGGCTACATGACTCAAAATATTCCAAACATGATAAAAATCTCATCTTTGTCTAAATGAATGGCTAATGCATACACAGGATCTCCGTGGGCTGTTTCAGTTTGTTGTATGCGGGCTATTGCAGATAACTGATATGTTCAGTTAAGTGTGACTGGAGTTTTTACCAACAGAGTGCAAATACAACCTGAACAAACTGTAGAACCAAAGGGGTTGAAAATTGAGCCTGAAGAGGCCGAACAAGAAGGTCAACATTTAGACATGGTACAACAGGGATGTGGAGGTTTTTTCTTTTTGTACATGTTTGGTATAGTGTTGCATCATTAGAAAAAGAAGAGGGTGTAGTGTTTGTTGAACAAACACTTTGTTTATTTAAAAGATCCAGACAGACATGAAACATCTTACGTACGTTTCATACCACAGTATACCGTGAAACTGCTGCAACCCTTTTTTGAGTAATGTTAGAAAACATAGTGGCGTTCACAATAGCTTGCACTGAAGGAAAACCCCAGTGAGGACAGGTACTTACTTACTACAGCTACTTTGAAGTACTGATGATGAACACAAATATAGAGTTTACTTTGTGATGAATGAGAACTATGGAAACACTGTGAGGGTAAACATGCTGTACAGCATGTTGGGTTTTTCTACACTGTACTGCTGAGTACTTTGTAGTTATTGCAGATGCCAGCATGTTCAGTAAAATGCAATTGTCAAATCCTAATAAATTAAAATGCCTTAAAATTAAAAAAAGTCCTGTGATTTTGCATACTGTTACATTAGATCAGGTGGCTGCCACATAATATGAAGCCATATGAGTGGACTAGTATCTCAGTTTTACACAAGTCCTGGTTAATCCACTGTACACCCACACTAGTGTTTGCAGTTATTATGACTGAACAACCCTCTTCACAGGATTGTATGCTGTGTTCAGACTGTGCCTAACTGACACCTCCCTGACTTCTTCATTGACCTCTCGTACTACTTTCTTTTGTTGCACCTATTTATTCTGTGTACTTGAAAGCAGCTTTTAACTTACAAGTTTTATATAACACAGTATTGAGCACATATCAGTATGGATTTCTCTTTGAAATAGTTCTTGAAACATTCTAAAGAAGATTAGATCAATAGATTATATTATATTGAAAACCTCTGTCCTTTATGCATTTGATTCATAATCTCAACATGATGTCGTGTTTTACAGGGATTGTTCATTCCACAACCTAAACACAAACAAGCGTGGTCGACTTATTTAAATCCAACCTTTTGGATTTGTACTCGTGTTATATGCGTGCAGAAGAAGCTTGTGACAGGTGGATCAACATTTAAATATTTTGTTTCTCTGAAGTCAAACATCAGGTTACATACTAATAATTTAAACACCTTTGACATAAACTTGAATTGCTTTAAAGCTGTGCACTTACTAGCAGACTTTCCTACAAGTGAAATCTGCTAGCATGACCCTTTGTCCCAGGCATGATGTCATATTGCACAAAAGAACTTCTACAACCGAACACATGTATAGATAGAGTTTATTTAGACATATTTTAATTGGGTAAGAAAAATAAAGCATTGCAGAAAATATCACAAATATCCGGTCAGAACGTGTGTGTTGTTTACACTCAAATGTAGCGCTTGGCATCCTAGTTACTTGCTTTGTGGGATTGCTTTACATAATGCTCACAATATTATGTTAAATGTACTTTCTAGTATTCCGACCACTCAAAGTGCTTTACACTACAAGTCAGCATTCACCCCATTCATCACGCATTCATACACTGATGGCAGAAGCTACCATGCAAGGTGCCAGATAATTACTGACACACACTTACATGCCATTAGAAACAATTTGGGGGAAGCTGGGGATTGAACGGCCGATCTTCTGATTAGTGAGCCACTGTCAAAACTCTTTAAACTCAACCTTGAGCAAACTGTGGGCTTGTGCAACAGACGGATTAGCTGATGTTGAAAGGAGAACCGTGCAGACTCAACTACTGTGTGCATGGTTGGCATTAAGAGAAAATGTGTCTTGCATGATGCAGGTACATACAGAGCTGTCAATGCTGTATCTCTGATCAGATAAGATGCTTAACAACTTTTATTAGAATGCATCAGATGTTAATAGTAAGCCACTGACATGTTTTGTTAAAACATGGACATCTTGCTTGTTTTTTAAATACCTTTTATAAAGCATCAGTAATGGTGACGATAGTATTCACATACTCAGTTGTTTACTTTGTCAGCAGTTAGATTTCTCTCTTAACCTGTTTATTATAGTCGGTGTCGGTGGAAATGAGCATTTCTGGGCAGTGGTTTGGACTCTTGTGCTTGTATTTCCTCCCACACAAAGTAGGTCTTAGACATGAAACATCTTATTTGACAATCTTATCTGTCTCTCTCTCCTACTCTCTCTTCTACACTCTCTTTATCTCTGTCTCAGTCTCTCTTGAAGGTCTGATGTTTCCTGCCTGTGTTCCCTTGCGTTGGATTAGCTTGCCACCTGCCCAGACTGTCAAGAGTGCTGAGAAGGTCTGTACTTTATAACTGGTAACATATATAAAATATATAATACAATAGATATAAATATATAATATAATATATTGAAAATGGTTTGGGCTTTAGGATTTTAGAGAGGAACAGTATGTTTTTCCTCCATGGTTCTCTCTCACTGCTCTTATCAAGCAGACACACTGAGTTAAACTTAAGAGCCAGATATGCTTCTAGGGAGTGGGTAAAGACCAAACCAGAAGCTGATAATACAGTATGCCAGGTCTGTCGTCTGTCAGCTCGTTTTGTAGATCTTGAGAAGTACCAATGTGGCCTAAAATTCAACCAGTGAAAAAACATACTTACCAGAAAAGTTTAATAATGATGACGTGTCATTCCTTCTCGAATCTTCGTCAAGTCCGAATGTTTGAAAAATGGAAACCACACCCACAATTATATTACATGCACACCAAAAGGCTGACAAGCTCTATGTGGGCAGGTGTGGTTGACCAGTAATACAAATAGTAATACAAAAGCCATACTTAAGAATATCAACATATATAAATATATATCATTTATTTTATCAGATCCGTCATCCCATATATCAGAATCTACATCACCTTGCAAAATATGTTGTATTAAGTTAGAGAGGAAATCTCATATTCATGTACAGAAATTGGTTCTTGTCCCCTTTTCATGAAAGATTGGCTCGATCAAATCATAATAAAAGACAAAAGCCAACCTGCTGTATTATATAAACAGTACTGTGCAAAAGTTGTAGGCAGTTGTGGAAAATGCTGTAAAGTAGCAATGCTTTCAAAGATAAGACCTATTAATAGAATATATTTATTATAAATGTATTCATTTAACAAATAGCAAGATGTGTTATTGCAAGAGAAAATGTTGAAATGTTGATCTCTTCTGCTGACCTCTGGGTGTGAGAGTCTGGACTGTGAAAATATAAAAGCTTTGTCTTTGGAGTAAGAGGGTATTTAAATTGCCATTTATCTTTTGTTTTTAGTTTTGCAAAGTTCTTAAATATTGGCCCAAAACATTGTTTTTTGGCAGCTTCAGTAGTGTTAACAGTATCAACTTTCGTAATTGTATCAATATATCACTCTCTGCTGTCTACTTGAATCCCTGCCGAAATGTCTTATCGCTTTGTCAAAGCACTTTGTAAACTTATTATTATTATGTCTTCTTTTTCATGCTTCCCTGTCCTGTCTTTCCATCTTCTTTGGGCTTGTGTGTGGCCCACAGCTCCCAGTTTTCCCCGTATCATCTCCATCAGATCAAAGGAGGCCTGAAAACCATCCTGTCCCCAGATGTCCCGGCCAGGGTAAGAACCAGCTACTGGCTCGCAACACTGGTTATGCTGAAAGACTCGAACTGGCAAACTGATATGAACGGGCTGAAAGCAAATAGATCATATATTGAATTTTAAGTAAAATTTAGAAGTAAAAATCCGAATGCTGTTGTACCAAAATCACAATTTTTCAATTTAAATTTCACTGGATTACAATTTTATATCCAGTGTACTGTTTCACTGTAATACAGACAAAATAAAAACATCAAGTTAAGTTCAATAATAGAATTTATATTTTTCACACTTTGCCTGGAAGTCCCAACTCAATCAGAAAGACACAGACTACAGTGACAAAACAGATCATGCTAATAATTATTTTCAGTGTTTCAAACATTTACCTCTTTCATATAATTTGGAGACACAAATGTACATCCCAGAGCTTTGTCACTTTAAGACTGGCGTCAGCAATTTGTTCCTGAGACTGTTTTCCCTCCTTCTATTAATGGAGCTTTTCAGACACAATAGAACCAGTACTCGAAGCCACACCCACTCTTTATTCCAGTTTCAGGATTGCTTAAATGCATGTTGACTCATAACTCAACTTCATGGGAATGTTTGTGTGACAGCAGCTTTAAGTTTTAAGTTCATATATCAACATAATTCAGACCTGAAGTAAGATGAAGGATCAGTCAGCAGAAATGTACTCAAAGTTAAAAATATATTTACAAATTCGCATATTGCAGCAGTAGTAAAAACATGTAAAGATAAGGCAAGAATTTTCACATTGTCACGTGTAAAACAGTGTAATAACATGTTGTGTCAGTCTCTGGATGTGATCCCTGCTCTATTATGTATTTCCGTTACAAAATACAGTTCTGTTGACAACTTCACTCAACAGGGTGACAAATGGTTGTCATGTCTTTGAAAAATGATGTACAATGTAAAAAATGTACAATATATTAGGACCATAGTTACAGGAACACATTATGTAAATGACACATATATAAGTAATCATAATTCAGAAGATGTTTGCACCCATAATTCTTAATTTTATAGATAAACTGAATCTGTATTTGTATAATTTGGGACAGTAAATGAGAGATATTGAAAGCCACAAAGAGTTCACGCCCTACTTGTAATTTTGCTGATTGGTACATTTACAGATATGTTGTATAAGTATGCTTTTATACTTTATCAATGTGGATACAAAATTAAAGAACAAGAATGAAGCATGTGTACTGACTGATTTATACTGTGAACACATGAAAATGTGTAAATACAAATCCACACAACTGACTGACAAAAACACCACTGCAGGGTGTTTAAATTGTGTTTGCTTGTAAACTCTGACACACTCTTATTTAAGGGCATACTATATATAAGCCGTGTGTGTGTTCCTCTATTGACTCAGTAAAGATCTGCAGTGTTTCCATACACTGTTACACATTGTCAGTTGTGTGGATGTGACATTTACAGAGCCAAATATTGTCGCTGACATTTTCACATGATGTGCATATCCACAATTGTTTGCTTGTTTGTGATTCTGAAGTCAGTACGCATCAGTCTTCTTTTTAATCTTGTATCCATGTTAATAAAGGCTTTTAAATCTACAACAAACCTTATATTTGTTTGTTTCTTGATTCACTCAGCTGCTTTTTCCCTCAAACTCATTCCTCAGTTGTTTCCCCATCAAGAAAGTTGCCTAATATTTCACAGAACAAATGTCTCATTGCATTATTACAGTGCTTCACCATTTCAAAGAATATTATGACAAATACAAAGCAGTGACGTATTTTGTGAGACACAATGATGCATCTTCAACAAACAGCTCATCAACACACAGATGAGTAAATTCACATGTAATTAAACCCACAAGCACCAGACCCAGCTGGTAACAAGCGGTCTGGACCAGCAGCACACAGATTTTACTGACACCTGGTAGTAAATAAAATGTATTTTTAAGACTTAAAGTTCTATTAGTAAATACTGTCTTTGACTTCTGTAAAATCTCATTTCTCACCATCTACAGCTAATGCTAATATTTTTTGACTGTGGTAGATTAGATTAATTGTTGTGTGAGGTTGTTATGGTTGGTATTATTATTCCTGTTCTTTTTAACATCCCAAACATGAAAGGACGTTTTCATTGACGTGGGGCATTCCCCTCAAAAAGGGGCATTTCACTTGCCACAAAAATCTATTTCTATTTAAAAACCAATAGAAAATAGAAACTTAAATAGTTACTGTGCTGTCTTGATAAATAGATGACCTTCAGAGTCCTCTTTTATAAAGTAGGCACACACTCAGTCTCAGGTAGTATCCTGTTGGATAGTACAGGTGTCACCACACAGAGAAACCACACCTTGTACAGTAGCTGTCCATCCTCAGTTTTCTATGAATTTCAAATGACATTGGTTGATGTGATGTGTTTCCTGTTGAACTGTCCAACGGCACTGAACCGTCTTACCCTAAGAACGGGAAATAACTGGAGAGATAAAGAGCTTTAAACTTGGTGCTACAGAAGCAGTAGACAAACGGATCCAGCAGACAGTCAATGAAGGAGAGGACCAGGAGGCCGTCATAGGCCGCAGCAGCAGTCTCCCTGTAGGGTTCACTCCAGCTTTGGACCCCGGCTGTCAGCAGAACCATCCTGGCTATGGCGCAGGGGAGGAAGCACACGGAGAACAACACAATGACAGCGATCACCAGAAAGACTGCTCTCTTCAACTTGGTCTTATTCCCGACTGTTTTCTTCCTGAGCCGGATGACAATGTGCACTGTGCAGTAGACCAGGATGGTGAAGGGGATGAGAATCTGGGTGAAGAAGACCACTTCTCGTATAATGTCCACCGCATCCTTAAATCAGAAAAGGGATGAAATTAATTGTAATATAGAGCAACAACAAATTCTCATTACAAAAAAATCATATTGACAATTATTGCAATTATGATAAGAGTCATGATTTTAGTGGTAGTGTTCATTTTTGCCTTTCATTTTAACCTTTTGCACTAACCGTACAACTCACATATTCCTACTCATAAGCCCAACTGCCCTTTGCACTGTATTACACCGCAGTGTGAAGTTTGCCTTCAGTCTGACTCGCAACTTTCGGACCCAAACAGCTGTTCTGCGGCACGATTTCAGTGCGTGCTTATGCAGTTGGGCTTTTGCATAGGAATATGTGATGTGAGGTTAGTGACAAAGAAAAAGGCTACCCAAACTATCCCTTTAAGTGAGAAGAACATCTGTCATGAATATCTAATAATTATTTATTTATTTTTATATTTAGTAAAGCAGTTCATTACTGAAATGCTTTGTTTATACTTCTCATTCAACTTATCTAATGCAGTATACCAGATCTTTGGGATTGATGCTGAAAACCTTCCTATAACAAACAAAACTTGGAAGATAGATGCACAGTAAAAATATACTCAATTTACACATTACCTTAACCAGGCTTTCAGTTACATCGCTCTTGTGGCTGTTGCAGCAGTCAAAGTCCTTGAGCATGGTGGGAACGGTGAGAGGCAGAAGCAGTACCCAGATGAGGATAGAGATCTGAGGAGATTTCTTGAGATATCTTATGAGATTCGTTCGATTAGGATGTACCACTTTAAAATATCGATCAATGGAAATCACTGTCAGGAAGGCGATGCTGGCTCCTCGGTTTAAAAACAACATGAAGAGCATTGCTTTGCAAACTTTGTAGTTCCCACTCAGCTCTCCTTGGAGGTAATTGTACGTGTTTATGGGCAAATAGAAGAGCAGGAGAATATCAGCCAGCACCAGGTTGAAAAGGAAGATATTGTTGGTGTTAGATTTCCAGAATTTCAGCTTGAATATGAAGAGGTGGAGGACAGATGCGTTCAGAGGCAAAGCCAAAACGATAATCAAAATCATGACAGCAGCATAGAATGTATACAGAGCCTTGTTTGTGGCTTTGCAGTCGTCCAAGGATGTGTAATTAGTCTCATTGGTTGCCATTTCAACTATCAAACTCAAAAGAAAAGCTACAAAAGAAAAATCTGTCTTACAGGCATAGAGCAAAGTGGAAACTGACAAGTTAACCAAGGCTCACCCTACAAAAAACAAATCCTGCCAAACAAGTGTCTTCTGTGTCTTCAGTCTTAATCCTCTTTTAGGTTTTGAATTCTTCATTCAGTCTTCGCGTGTGTCTGGGTTCCAAAGTCATCCTGATTTTATGTCCTGCTTTGTGAGAGTCAGTGCCAGATCTGAAAGTAATTCTCTCAGTGTGCAAAGCAAATGATTGGCAGCTTCTTTGAGTTTGCCTTTCTGTTCAGCCTTTTACTCATAGCTCCGCCTTTTAGCCTGAGGAGGTGAGTCAACAGTTGCTTTTCCGTTTTGTGGCCAAGAATAATAATAATAATAATATCCTTATTTGTAAGGCAGTATGCAGCCCAAAGTGCTTAACAAAACAAGATCAGAATAACAAAAAGTAAGAAAAGCAATATTAAATAGCAAAGGCAATAGAAGCAACAAACAAACAAACAAAGCAAACACAAACAGTTTGACTTAACATAAGCAATTATTTATTTATTACCAGTTAAGTCAACCCAAATTAAAAGCAATGTTAAAAAGATAGTTCGTGACTTTCTTTTTAAACATACCAGGGAGTTTGCTGTTCTAAGATCCAAAGAGAGTGTGTTCCAGCCTGTAACATTTAAAATGCAAATAATTCTTTAGTTTTTTTGGTTTATAATGAAATCTGATCAAAGTTGGAATTTTGTGAGCGTCGAGTGAAGCCCTGACATGCTCCTGTCCAACCAAGTCAAAACAGTCAGATACTGATTACACAGGCTGATATGACCTTTGACAGACATCCAACCATAACATTATGGAAATAAAAACTAAGAAGTGAAGAAGCCTCTTGGGTGGGAGGCGAAACGTCTGCAAGCAACCCCTATGCCCTTTATTTTAACCTATCTTCGGTTATGGAAGCATTTCCCTTTCTTGCACAGCATATTGCCATTTCCTGGACCAAACTAAGAATTAACCATTATACTATTCTAAGGGTTCAGTAAATCACAGACTTACTGTTTCTCATGAATGACAGCTGTGAATGTCTCAGCTCTTTGCTCCCTGGCTCACTGTCACTGTTTAAAACTGTACGTCTCCTATGCAGATGCTAAAAAAATTTTTTAAATGGGATACTAATGGAAAGATTCTCCTTACAGTGTGCAGATGTGGATCCCTGGGAATTGATGATAGATTTACACATAGGCACAAAGAGATAAACATAGTGCTGCTGTCAATGTTTTCTAAGGACAAGTATGGGTTTGCTTGGAATTTTTGTCCTAAGGCAGGAGGATTTCTTTAAAGGGGGAGGAGAGGGGTTATTCCTAGGCCTCACAATCAACTCTGCATGCCTTGACCTCCTTCTCTGCTTCAGCGACAAGACCAGACAACTCTTAAGAGTCAGGAGAAAATTCACAAAGAATGGAATGCTGCTGTTGACAGCACCATGAATTGTGCATCACTTGCCCTGTCTCAAGGTCCCAGTCATAAAACATATTGTGCTAATGATATTACAGGCCAAACACACCAATAAAGTTTTGTAGCTGAGTGCAATTTGCCTTTGTTGTTAAATGTTCCTCTGCAATTTTCTGTAGTGCTCCCAGTAATATTGTACTGAAGGAGCTTATCACACAACATTGTTTAAGCAACATTTGAGTCAGAAAATGTTATAAATGCAGCTGCAAGAACAAAACTTTCCACTCATATCTTAAAATGTTTGATCTGAAAGAGAATGTATTCTGTTAACTCACGTGTGACGAGTGTTTTGTCAGAGTTATTATGATGGGGATGCTGTGGGCTCCCCCTCATCTTTCTGGGCACATCTAGAGATGCTTTTTCTGCACATTGCTGGACTGTGACAGTGTGTAACCATCTTATCCGCTTCTCACACTAGTTTTTATGTTTATTTTCCACTTTCAACTCTCTGAAGCTGCTAATAATTTCACTCTAACTGTGTGTGGCTGTTAGCACTGGTGTTGAATTTAACTTTTTCTTTTGCAATGATGCATAGAAAGGGGGACATTTTTGCACCAAATGTATGCATATTACCTAATCTGAATATGTGCAAATAGCACTGGACCACCGAGAAGCTATTTGCTTGGCAGCACAGTTAGGGGTGCATTTCTCCCTTTGCGGGTACTTTGAGAATTACACAGTTTCTTTTTGTCCTTTTTGTCCTATTTGTGCAGGTGCAAAAGCTGCACAATTCTTGTGAATTTGCTCCTCACACTTTCTGCAGGGACAAATTTTAAAGACATGGAGAGGACATGACCTCCTTGCAGATCTGGTTCAGGATCTAAACGTTGCTTTTACACAAGATTAGCTGAAACCTCAAAGCACCCCCTTCTTCACTTTTTTAAGCGGATCCTTGACCTCCCCTTCCTATCATGCACTGCCTCCTCAGACAATGGTTTGATTATATACTGGATTACTCAGTCAGCTATGCAGGGGATGAAGGACCAGTCTTAGTGTAATTAAATCCCAGCAGTCTGGGTTGCCTGCAGTTTTTGTTGTTTTGCTATCTAGTCATGTGCTTTCATATCTTAATTGGCAAAGTTTACTCATAACACATAAAATGATGATTAGTTTCTTGTCGCTCCAAAAATTGGTTTCTACGGATGCCATTCCAAAGTCTTCATTCTGGTAATAAACAGTGCTTAGATGAAATGACTTGTTTTATAAAGAAATCAACAAAAAGCAGAATATTTATTTTCATGAACACAACATGTAGTGTTTTGACTAACAAGCTTCATTAAAATGGAATATTTCAATGGAATACATATAAACATAGTGTTTACATGTCAGAAACACACAAGTTATGCCAAACATAATAGCAATTATTACCAGGAAAGGAACAGTGATTATTAACCCAATGGATGATGTGATCATGGCTTGTTTATTGTGAGTGTTTGAATCCAGCAGGACTCTGAGAAGTGCTGGTTTTCAGCCTGTTTTCAGCCTGTCAGACAGATTGACAGATTAAAAACCGCTGTACTGAGATTGGCAAGACAACCTGGGACTCAAATAACACTTTCTGTAAAGTTGTATGTGCTGTTATTCTCACAGTGTTGTAGAGTTTTCTCACTTTCATCCAAACTATCTCATAGGAGGCTGAGATGTTTGGCATTCATCCAGTCAAATGCTTTTGGCCTCCAGCTTGCACACAGCGACACTTTCCTTCAACTCCTATCCTGAAGATTCACTCCTTTCTGATGCACCTGCATTACTGAATGTTAAAGTGTGTCCTGCCCTGTTGTCGCCCACTCAGATGTATTTAGATCAACAAAAGATACAGCAGAGCAGAGACACTTACCAGTCAACACATGGACTGACCAGACTGTACACAAAGATGGAAACCAGGACCCAGTCAGTCCCTCTGGAGTGAGGAACACCCTGCCATTTAACCCTGAAGACAGGTACTCAGACTGCTGGCCTACAACTCCAGAGGGGTTTGGGGCGTTGCCTATAAACCTTCTGCACATCTGACATTAAAACATTGTATGCTACTTCTTTGTTGGTTGAACTCTTTGTTGGTTTAACTAATCTAGACTGAATCAAATTATAAACGGAACACTTTTGTTTTTGCCCCCGTTCATCATGAGCTGAACTCAAAGATCTAAGACCTTCTCTATGTACACAAAAGGCCTATTTTGAGTGGCCTTTTATTGTGGCCAGCCTAAGGCACACCTGTGCAATACCCACGCTGTCTGATATGCCACACCTGAGAGGTGGATGGATTATCTCGGCAAAGGAGAAGTGCTCACTAACACAGATTTTGACAGATTTGTGAACAATATTTGAGAGTTCAGCTCATGATGAATGGGGGCAAAAACAAAAGTGTTGCGTTTATAATTTGATTAGTGTATTTTGCTATATTTCTTGTTATTTTCCTTATTTTCCAAACATAATTTTTTTCTGCATGGGTACTAATGCTGATCAGATCTGCTGTGAGGGACAAAGAGGACCTCAAGGAGCTGAAAACTCATGAAATCTCTGAGCCAGTGCAACTGCAGGTATATTTCATAACAGTAGAGCATATACAGTAGTTTACTGAGGCATAGTGTCCTCTAGTTATGTAGGACAATTGGCAGATAGGGCACCACCTAGATGACCTTAAGGTACATAATAAACAAAAAAACACAAAAACATCAAATCACAAAACCTCAAACACTCAAGACAAATGATTTTTTATGAGGTTTTCCTCACAGAGCTAAGACCAAATAATAATATGAATTGGGAAAACTCGAGTTGTAATGAACTGAATGTGAGCATGTATATGTGACTACAATTATTTTTCTTCAATCTTTTTTTTTTCAGAACCTCAGTGGGATGATCAGCTCCACAGAGAGACATTACTTCTTGCGGGAGGGTGAGGGCATATCAAGGACAGACGGAAATAATTTCAAAGTCACTGACCAGCAGGAGGTCCAGCAGAGGGCTTCCCTCAGCCCACAGCAGGCCAGCAGGAAGTTAACCTCTGGCATTCAGAGTAGCTCCTCTGCGCCAACTATGGTCTTTAAAGGCGAAGAATCACAGCTTGAAACCTTCCAGTCTCTGACCTTTCAGCCCGAGCAAAGCCGAGATTTTGGGACTTTACAAGACCCCCGGTGCAGCCAGAGAAACTCCCAAACAGAGTTCCATGCTCAGGCTAAGGTCTTTTCCCTGGTCCGCAGCCAAGAACAATCTTATATGAACGCTTCTCTCATGTCCCAACCTGAAACTGTACATTTTCAAGTAAAAGAGATAACTGATGCAACAACAGATGTAGAAGAAGTGAAGGTTAGCCAATTACAAGAAAGAAACAAGTCCAGAGAGAAATCCCATTTGGAAGAAATAGAGAACAGTGATAACCCTCATTCAAGACAGACAGAATGTAGAACTAATCAACCACTCTCTAAGCTGACTGTTAGCAAGACTTTCAGAGACAAAAACGTGAGACACCAAGAAATGGAAAGCATGGGTGAAACTGCAGGAGAAATTGCTGCTGACGAAGACGGGTTGATAGGTCAGTTTGAATTCACAACACCTCCTACAAAAATGTCTGTAAGCTCATCTGGTGCAACCTCAGGTGAACGACGGGAACAATCCCTGCAGCAGCAGAGCACACCCAAGCATCCCGGCGCTGTGCATCAATCAAACTTAGTCAACGTTTCCCCCACTCTGAGGGACAACAAAGTTTCCCCTTGGGTCTGGAGAAATCAGGAAGTGATTGTTAATTTTAAGACCATAAACGACCACATGGAGAGAGTCTCAAACTTTAACATGGAAACTCTATCCACAGACTGCGATCAAACAAAAACACAATTTCATCTCTGCCGGTGCAGAAAGTCAAGACCAGGAAGCGGCGCAGGCTCAGATTGGGTTGAAGGTCAAAGACAAGCTACAACAACAACAGCGTTTTGTCTTTGTGTGCCAAACAACACAAGTCAAGTCTCAACACCTCTGAAATGCAGTACATTTCCCATGCATTCCACAACAAGAAGCAGTAGCAGTGAGAATGAAGCTAACCCATCCGCCCGGTGTCACCAGTTTCCCAAGCTCCCATCTCATCCTCCCTGCCTTGGCCTCCAGGATTCCCATTTAGAGAATGATCATGCCAGTGAAGCTGAGGAGGGATGATGTTCCCTTTGATCCAGAAACTGAAACAGGACCAGAGTTTTGGATCTGGACCAGAGTCTCAGCAGCAGTCCTTTTCCTCCAGCTCCAACACAGATGATAGAGCCCATGGTGGTAATTTAAAGTATATTTAATAAATATTCAGGTCTGGATTTGATATTTTTGATTCAATCTGCATCTTAAAATTGTAATGTTTTCATTGATCAAAATTTTGTTTTTAGTGCTCTATCCAGGATTCAGTTCTTATTACTAAATAGTTTTTCTTGCTGATTATTGACCATTGGCTTCAAATTTCAAGCACATACAGAACTCAGTTTTCATGAACCACAGTCCAGCAAGGCTTGTCTGGCGCACCTGGGGCGCAATTGGATAAATGGTGGGACCAGAATGCATTAAAGGTCACCATGTTAGAGGCTATGACTATCATGACCAATCACATTCACTCCTTTTTATCCCTTTTAAACACACTACTCTCCCTGTCACCATGCGCTGAAAGTTTGGGAAACTTTTGGTCTCTGAAATGAATATATATGATTCTTTGTAGTAGTTTATTCGTGAGTTTTGTTTAGTATATTTTCAGTTTAGCTTAGCTGTAATGTTAGCGTTCTCTGAAACAGCACTGGATGGCCTACAGCTGTTTCAGATTCACTAAAAAAAACTCCCCATGCAAAGCCTGTTGGAACAGCAGCAACACTTCATGTGGTTGTTGATTGTGCAATGAGCCTAAAGTTAAAGGGAAAATCCTGGATATTTCGACCTGGCATAGTTCTGATAAATATGGCCAATGTGACTATGCGTCATGTTAACTTTGCACTCACCACCACAGACATTCGGGGAAAAAAGGACTTGTGCAAAACTGCGCATTTCGGGACAAACTGCATGAGATTCCTACCGTTTTCCAAATAAACAGATTTTTACATGAATCCTTTCAAACACTTGTCACTGCGTCTGACTGAAAGTAGATAGGAACTATATATCCAGTTCAACTTGCTGGCTGACCTAACTACCCTGCCGTATTCAACATATGGCACAGTCTTAGTGTAGTACTTTAGGAAAAAGTTGTAGATGTGTTGAGTGGAATTCATCAACACTAAGCCTTATGACTGTACCAGCTACTAAAAGGCCACAACATATACTACCGCAAGTGCCATTGGCTGCTGACACCAGAGAAAAGATGCAGGCCTACCTGAACCCCAGTGAGACGGCTCACAGGTCAGCATCTGTTTCAGTGTATTTAGGTCAACATATAAACGCAAATGTACCTATTTACACCCACTTTCTGTAATTTTTTGTGTTTATATCGACAATGCCTTTGGGGAGGGACTATCCATAATTTTGCTGCAAAGACTCCAAAGACAATGAAATACTTTGAGAGAGATCAGGAAAGCTGTGTGATGGAGAGAGGAGGCTATGACGGCAGGCTTTTGGACCTGTGTGTCTGTCTTTAGATGTGGTCAGACAACATATTGTATTATCAAGTGTGTTTCAACCATACAAAACCTCTTAAGTATTCAGGTAATTTCCATAATCATGCCACTGAAATGTCTGTTGTGTATTTTTTAATGTCTAGGATGTCAGAAAATGTTGAAGATACACTCACTGATACCAGAAAGGAAACCAGATGATCCAGATGAAACAAAATTTGCAGCAACACCATGGGGATTTCTCAGGTAAAAATGCTTTTTGGTATTTTGATTGAATTTGCAGAATTTTTTTTTATTCCATCTGCTACTAAAGCAGTTGATCAACAATCTGCCACATCTAAGCAGCACTGCACTGGCCAGGTAATAGGTTAGAGTCATTGCATTCAGTTAAGCGTAATGCCAGTTTTAGCTTTCTTTTTTGTCTTATCATTTTTTCTTTCCTCCTACAGGATGCATGTAAACTAACAGATATGCAAATCTAAATGGCAAAATGTCGCTATACCTTTCTGGCATGTTCCAGTTAGCTTAATTCAGTGTCATAGTATCAGCAAACCAAATCAGTTGTTCAGTTTTACAAGATTATGACAACAGCAATAATTGAGGATGGAGTTTTCTTGAATCTGTAGTCTATGAAAGACCCTGTAGCTTTTTGTGCACCATTTGTTCCCGACTGAAATATTTCTAAACTAATGGAAAGATTGACATGAAATATGGAACAGGAATTCATTTTGCCTCAGAATTGGGGTGATGATTGATGAATTTTAATAACTGGTATATTATATTATTATTATATATGGTATATATGTATATATATGGTTTATATATATATTGTGTGTAGTGCAAATAAGCAAAGATGATGAACGTAGTTAACTGTATACTTACAGTCTTTTTTTATTATTTCTGATATATTACATTACTTTTTGTATGCAGAGAAAGACAGGATCAGAAAGATAAGCTCAAAAGGGGCTGCAAAGGAGATAACATCCTTTCTGACAGTGAAGAGAGTCAGGCCATGAGACATCAACTCAGGCTGCACAAACTGGAATCCAAGGAAGTACAGGTCAGTTTTCGGTGGAGAAAATATGGTTTTGTGCCAGACCAGACATTTTAGGAGTAGATCAATGCTTGGGTTTGATACTATAAAAAATGTGGGGTCCACTCAGTGTTGTCCACATCTGTTATGATGATCGCAATGAGGTAACCTAATGCAACAACATTGCTCTTTCATACTTTTTTAACATTGCTGAAGTTCTTTGGCACAGAGGTAGTATGAGCTACTGTAAATCATGCTGTAGCAGCACACACAATACTTAAATACTTAAGTTCATTGTCGCTTTGAGTCTTTTCGGGGATGTGTTGACACTAATAAAAAGATAAAACGACGCCCATATATCCTTTCAGCTGCACAAATGTTGGTTTGGCAGCCAGTCTACTGCAGCATTGCTTAACAAACTGCTTCAGTGTTTCTCATGACATCATTGGCCTGTTTCACAACACAACCTTTCCTGCTAGTCTGTATACGCATATTTGATGGTTCTCGTGAAATTGCTGTGTAACACTTATTTGTGTCAGAGACATACCTTGATAAGAATTTACTGTATATCTCCTCCTCTCTTTTTAGTGCTCTATCCAGGATTCAGTTCTTATTACTAAATAGTTTTTCATGCTGATTATTGACCATTGGCTTCAAATTTCAAGCACATACAGAACTCAGTTTTCATGAACCACAGTCCAGCAAGGCTTGTCTGGCGCACCTGGGGCGCAATTGGATAAATGGTGGGACCAGAATGCATTAAAGGTAACCATGTTAGAGGCTATGACAATCATGACCAATCACATTCACTCCTTTTTATCCCTTTTAAACACACTACTCTCCCTGTCACCATGCGCTGAAAGTTTTGGAAACTTTTGGTCTCTGAAATGAATATATATGATTCTTTGTAGTAGTTTATTTGTGAGTTTTGTTTAGTATATTTTCAGTTTAGCTTAGCTGTAATGTTAGCGTTCTCTGAAACAGCACTGGATGGCCTACAGCTGTTTCAGATTCACTAAAAAAAAACTCCCCATGCAAAGCCTGTTGGAACAGCAGCAACACTTCATGTGGTTGTTGATTGTGCAATGAGCCTAAAGTTAAAGGGAAAATCCTGGATATTTCGACCTGGCATAGTTCTGATAAATATGGCCAATGTGACTATGCGTCATGTTAACTTTGCACTCACCACCACAGACATTCGGGGAAAAAAGGACTTGTGCAAAACTGCACATTTCGGGACAAACTGCGTGAGATTCCTACCGTTTTCCAAATAAACAGATTTTTACATGAATCCTTTCAAACACTTGTCTCTGCGTCTGACTGAAAGTAGATAGGAACTATATATCCAGTTCAACTTGCTGGCTGACCTAACTACCCTGCCGTATTCAACATATGGCACAGTCCTTAGTGTAGTACTTTAGGAAAAAGTTGTAGATGTGTTGAGTGGAATTCATCAACACTAAGCCTTATGACTGTACCAGCTACTAAAAGGCCACAACATATACTACCGCAAGTGCCATTGGCTGCTGACACCAGAGAAAAGATGCAGGCCTACCTGAACCCCAGTGAGACGGCTCACAGGTCAGCATCTGTTTCAGTGTATTTAGGTCAACATATAAACGCAAATGTACCTATTTACACCCACTTTCTGTAATTTTTTGTGTTTATATCGACAATGCCTTTGGGGAGGGACTATCCATAATTTTGCTGCAAAGACTCCAAAGACAATGAAATACTTTGAGAGAGATCAGGAAAGCTGTGTGATAGTCTGCTAGTCTGTATACGCATATATGATACTTCTCGTGAAATTGCTGTGTAACACTTATTTGTGTCAGAGACATACCTTGATAATAATTTACTGTATATCTCCTCCTCGCCTTCCTGTATTATCTTGAGTCATACTGCCCACTCATGCGGCAGTATGAACTGGTATCACCAGTGTTGTGCATTGTCTTTTGCATTTAGAAGATAACAAGCTGTTTAATACCAGTACTTTAACAATTCTTTCAGGTACCACTTCAGCCTTTTAATACAAGGATTAAGAGTCTGATGAAAATGTGAAACTTGATTTTGCACCTACCTCCACTGGACGACAATATATTGTGTAGCTATAGATGGTTTCATAATCTACGTGCAATTATCTGACTAGTGTTTGTTTGTTTTCTGGATAACTAAAAAGGTGTCTGTTGATCCTCTGTAAATTCATCTGATTATTCACACTGAAAAATGTGTGCACACATATTTTCCTTTAAAGAACTGTGTGTTTTCTCCCTTGGAGCAGACCTGAACGAGTTTGTGCCTGTTTTTCTTAGATGTCATTCATCTGCTTGACAAACTGGAAATAATTATTATTGCCTCTTTGAAACCTAATGTCGGGAGGCGTGGTAAAAGACACTCTAATTTGACAGACACAGAAACTTAATATACCAATGCAGTACTGTAGGTGTTTTCCAAGGACCTTTAGATGATTGCACTCTAAAGTATTCCACAGCAAAGTGGGAAATGGTTTGACTAAAGTATATTCACTAAACATGATTCAGTGTCAGCTTTATCGCCTCCTCTTTTACACTTTATAATGCTAATAATTCTTAATTTTGAATTACAAAGCAACACTTGCTGGGAATAGATTCATGACATGTCACAAGGTCGTGGGAAAAGACAGATCAGTAAGATGTAGAGTTTGTCCTCTTAGATAATCAGCATGTTCACATTTCCCTGAAAAACAAAAACAAAGTTGCCATAAGAAAAATGTATCAGCAATCCAGTTTATAGATACCCCTAGCTACAACTAATGCAGTGGACAACAGTCTGATGTTTGAGAAAGGTGTTTTTTTTACAAGAGAGACCTGGCCAAGGTAGCAGCCATACATAAACACAACATATTAAGATGCTACATACAATCATGACAAAATTCACCAAAAAAAAAAAAACAAAAACAAAAAAAACATCTTTTGTGTTGATATAGTGTTGATTCAACTTTATGGTCATGTCAGAGATGTAGTTTGTGGTGATGTTGAATTGTCATGCGTCACGCAGACAGGTGTGTCTGTTATTCTGTCAACTCTTGTATATTATTGAAGATAGGCTAAATAAAAAACATTTCTCTGTATACCACAATACAGTTCAACAGCACCACAAACTGCATTCTCAAAAATAACCATAAACACGTCTCTATTACAGCAACAACAGTGTCTCAGTCAAAGTGACTAAATCATATAACATATATTTTCACTCTGATTAATTGTAGGTTAGTAGCGCTGCAGCTAATTATATTTTTATTTATATTCTCTCTTTTAAAATGCCAGCATTACTGGATACTATGAATTATATGCTGTATGCTCTGTCGTTTGAATATTTGTCTGACCACGTGATTAGACAAATGAGTAGTTTGGGAAACTTCAGTTTACCCGTACATGGACGGTTTGGGATGACACACCACAGTTTTGTTTTGACTCAAATTATCTTGAAGCTATTGCCTGGTTTCTGATTGAGACTCTTGTCATCATGTGTAATGCAGAGCCGTTAACACATCATGGTGTAAATCTGTGTACACATTTACAAATATATTCCCACTGAGTCAGCACATGAGTCGCATACAGAGCTGCATGCTTTTGAAAAGGGTCACATTGTATGTTTGTATTCTGACTGTTTGTGTGTGTGTGTGTGTGTGTGTGTGTGTGTGCAGGCCCTCAAGCAGCAGATGGAGGCCCTTCAGCAGCAGTTTAAGCAGAGAGAGGGTGAGTGGTCTGTAGTTCGATGCCAGCTGGACCAGCTGATCAGAGAAAACTCTGAGCTGAGGAAGAAACTCACAGTTACACCACAGTGCCGCCCAGTGGACGGCCGATGTACTGCACAAGCCCACACTGCATACCAGGAGGGACGGACAGAGGTAAAATATTCTGTATAATCTTCTTCTCTTCAAGTCACAAATCATATTAATCCTATAAACATGGAATTCCCCTTATTTTAACCTTATTAATAGTTTGTCAAACAACATTTTTCAGTATAATTTTGTCTCTTTCAGTGTGGTTTCATGAAAGCAGATATTGCAATGTCGCAAGCTTTTGTTGTGGAGGAGTGCAATCAATGTAATCGATCTCCATGTAGCAACCCTTTAATAATTACTGGAGAGAGCAGCCAGTAAAGGGTGAGAGCAACACTTGAGATCGATACAAGGTGCTAGTTCACTTTGCTAAAAAGTTTAGACTGACTTGTTGATCCATGACATCAGCACCAATGAGAATTAATTATATTGTTGTTAGACCCAAACACAGAAGATTAACTAAAATAATCAGCACTTTTAATGATTAATTCTAAGAGTATATCTTACAGTAGAGTACCTGTTATTAGTGTCTGTTTCACACTTTACAACTCTACAGAAATTCGAGAGTTCACCTTTGTAAATCCTTTTGGTATCAAATTATTCAAATATATAATACTCTGGTAAGTGGTCTTTTAAGCACCCCGACAATAATTTATGAGGAAAGACAAAAGATGGTGTCAAAGCACTGGCTGACCTCATTACATGTTTGTGCAGTGAAAGTCGATAAGCTCCCCGTGCCAGGTCTGTCACTGCCCAAACTTGATTTTACCATCACAACTTAAAGGGTTGTGTCAAAACAACAGGTTAAGTTAAGTAGTTGAGCTCTGTCAGGGGGATAATATTTCATAGCAAAGTGTGTTGTTGTCCAAAGTGAATTCCAAGCTGATGTGTTATATAAAGAATATATTAACGACAGTAAACGCAAAATAACACAAAATACACAAACAAAATATCTTAAGAAACTTAATTTCTCCATTTAAAATGTACAATTTCCTCAGATAATACCGAAAAAGGCACTTAAACACATCTTCACCTGTTTATGTAGCTTGTAGAAATTAGTCTGAATCACCAGAAACTTTCAATCGAAAACTGTTGACAATTTTGTACCGCTCTTCCGAGATGGAACATCTTCTCTCAGACGGGTGCAGCCTGGAGACTTTCACTAACGGGACAAAGAAAGTAATTTCTGCAGACCAGAAGGCAAAAACAGTCACATTCTTCAATGGAGACATCAAACACATTTTGGAAGATGGGAAAATGGTGAGCTCCTGTACCCTTCTTACCTTTATGTATGTTTAAAAACGTATTGTAGGTTGTATTTTTGCGCTGCTAATTACGCTTGTCGAACAATGATGGTAATATTGGTGTCTTTATTTTTCACCACTAAGATCGTGAACATGTGTGTTACAGGTGTATTACTATGCTGGTTCACAGACAACACATACCACCTACCCAAGTGGTCTGGAGATCCTTCACTTCCCCAACAGGCAGATTGGTAAGAGATGCACATGAGTCAGGGTACTGTTATGTTTTGAGTTTTATATTGTATATGATTTATAGTATATATTTCTCATCTTTAAAGTTTACACAATTTATATTTTTATAATAACAACGTATCAAATGACAATTTGAAACTGAAAACAATGTAAAAACAATTTGCAATTCAGCTCATTGTTTAACTGTCTGGCCCACAACTTTACTCTTTTGGTTTACTGTCATCGCTCTCAGCAGCAGGTAGCTGGCCTGACACAATTAACGACTAGCTGGTGAACATAGTGGGTCATTATGCAGCTAAGAACCGGATATATCCCTCAGGAGTTGGCAGCAACTAAAAACAGAGGAGAGTGAATATTGGAATTGCATTCATCAGGTGGACAGAAACACAACTCCAAATAAATGATTGTTGCTCCATAACTGCTGAATCAGTAAAAAAGCAAGTGTTTGTTAATTAGTTCACCATATCACCTTAAAAGGGATGAAAAGTCAAAGTTGTTTTTGCCCCCCAGTGGCAAAACAAATCAGTTATTGCAGGTTTAAATCTGCTGTTTTTAACACAGTCTGATAACAAAATATTAGACTCTATTGTCCCCAAGGGAAAATTTGTTTTCACAGCACTGTACAGCGTACACTCAGGCACTCAGGCCTTTTCTTTAAGGTGGCTACCCCTGAGGGGATTAGGCTTTTCTTAAAGCGACCCCCCCTGCATCTCAGTGCTCTGTAGCTGCGCAAAGAGGGCAGTGAGGTGAGATTGATTGAGTGGTTATCTCCTGTGATATTGAGGTTGTTTAATTCTGCTAGGTTGGGTTTGGGGAGACCAATTATCGTGGTGGAGGTGTTAGTTATGGGTGTAAGTTTGGCCCGATTAGTAACGGATGTTAAAGAAGCAGGTGGAACAGTATATTAGGATGGGCTGAGCATTGTATTCCCAGAAAAATTTTTCTTTAAAAAAGAAAATACTGAAAAAGCACTTGATACCTGATAGACAACTGAAATTCTGCACAAGAGTATTTATAAATACTTTCACTCATACTTGATTAAATTCTCATTATAAACCTCATTGTATTCATTTCATGTGAAGGAGTTCCCATAGGCAACCAGAGTCTTATTGAATAATAATGCAATACAAACATCAACAATATTATCTAATGTCTATCATACAACTACCCAAAACCCAGATAGTGTTTTTAAATGAACGCTCAGTACAGTGGCCTGATGTATTGACAAACTTAAACTCAGTTTGAACAAATGTTTTTACCCTTTGAACATCTCTAATGGAAAATGGACTCTCTAGTATATGACTACAGCTTCCAGTACATTGTTTCTCCATCCATAACAGAGAAGCGACACCCTGGGGGGAAAAGAGAGATCTTATTTCCAGACCAGACCATCAAGTTTTTGGAGGCTGACGGCAGCGAGAGGACAATCTTCCCTGATGGCACCATCGTTCACCTTTCACCGTGAGACTAAAGTCGCTTCCACATTTCAGGTTTAGCTTCAGGGTGTCTCCAGTGTCAGAAAGACAGTGGGACCAAGGACGACTAGCTGTCATTAAGTTGGCAGCTAACAGATATCCTCATAAATAAATAAACAATATTTGTACACCATGAGGTAACCAGTAGGAGGACAGATGCTTGGAAAAATCATCTTATTCCACTCTGACAGTATCATGTTCTGTAAACTATGAGGTTTACTCTAAGTGAAATATTGTCGATGGATTAAGTTGGTAAAGGCAGACACAATTGAATGAGCATTATGTCTAGATGGGATTTAGTATCGCTTTATGAATTTGTAGTTGCTTGAGATGGAAAATTTCCGTGTGCATTCTGCCTCATCATCTCTTTCAGATCAGGTGAGAAGATGGTCGATTTCCCCAACGGACAGCGAGAGATCCACACTTCCCAGTACAAGAGGAGAGAGGATCCTGATGGGACGGTTAAGACCATCTACCCCGACGGACGACAGGAAACCAAGTACGCGTCAGGCAGAGTACGCATCAAGGACAAAGTAACCATCAGACATCTTAAATGAATGTGTGTGTGTTCTTATATGTAAGTATAAGACAGGGAGTTTTGTTTGTGTGTGTATGTGTTTGGGGAAGTAGATCTGGGAGGGAATAACTTTAATTTATGTTTGAAATAGGCACCAGTACAGTAGTGATCACAGATAGTGGATTAGAGATGTCTTCACGTTGTACACTCAACAATTTGTTTAACTATTTATTTATTATATCTTTTTAAAAGGTAGAGAACTTTTTTGATCTTTAAAATGCCTCTTTATCCTTTCAGATAGGTATATTTTTTATATTCTACTCTGATCCTGAGCCAACAACTGTCATTGATCTTAATGAGTTATCTGATAAACTCTTTGAAAATATCAGTGTTGCTGTGCTGCTCACACCACAAGACATTTTATTTGTCCCAAACTGTTGTCTCATTTTGCACGGGCGTGGATTCTGTGCCAACGTCAGGGTTTTAGTCTCAACTCTCAGTATCAATGAATTAAAAGTCTGAGACTGTCAAATTGTGGTAAAAGCCTTGTAATCTGCACCAGCCCTAACTAAACCCTGCATCGGTTTACCAGCATCAGCAAGATGGTGTAAAAAATTTTTGTTTTATTTTATCTTGAAGAATTCTGTTACTCCTACTGACAGTAAATGTTTGTTTTCTCTATTTATCTACTCTTCACAAGAAAAAAGTGGTTTGTTAAAAGTAATACAACTGAGTATTAAAAATGATTGACAAGAGATAATACACATCAGTTATTCAATTTAATTATGACCTCTTTTCCACTGTGCTGGGAATATCCCTTGGCATACAGAAGTGATGTGTCTTACATTTCAAAACAAGTCAGGGCTTAGCAAGAAATCCGGAAAGAAAAAAATTGAAAAAAAGGAACTCCACTCTAAGCGGGTTTGAATCATCGACTGAGCAATGGAGGATCCTGTGGCCCCCACAACAGTGAATCAAAGTCTTCTTCACCTTTTATGTCCTTCTTCCCCTCCTCCTTGTCTCTCCTAGACTTCTCATCTGATGTGGCCAAAGTGTGCGTCAGCTTGTGAAGCTCTTGGATGACTATCTTCACATCCAGTTCATGCTGCGAGGCCCTCAGAGTGGCTGCATTAAATGGGAATGTCCGAATGAAATCTCCAACTCTGAGTGGAGGAACATGTTGTCCATTCAGTGCTGGCTTGTGATTCCCACTGTGAAACAATCACAACATTTGATTATTATGTTATATGAATGGTATTTGAAAGCAGTACCCCTCTTTGACAAGATGCAGCTATTTAACCTCATCACCTTGCTTTCATCCACTTACATAAAACTTATCAAGGCTTTTGTACTTTTTTAACTTTAAAGTTGTAATCTCTGCTGTCTAAAAAGTTGAAAGTGGAAAAAGTGTTTTTTAAATAGCATAATTATTGAATAAACAACGATATTAGATACTTAAAGAAACTACCATTCTTTTCGTGACATAAATCAAGCCACAGGAGATCCTGTTGAAAAAGGCTCTGTTCCACGGCTGTGTTTTTAGTTTTTAGCAAAATGACAATGGGATTTTGAATGAGGTTTTCTTACATCTGGAACAGAAGCAGGATGTTTTGGTTTTACTTCAACTCTCTTAACGGGACTAAGAGGGGTGAAGGCCAACAGTCCTGCCGCTTAATCTCTCTCTCTTCAGCTATGTGTCACGCTGTATCCTCTCACTTTCGAGTGAGCGTGGCTTAGAGCAATAAACAGTAGGATTTGATTTAAATTCCATTTGTAAGTAAATATTGCTCACATATCCCATTTCCACTTGGAAAAATATGTCTCATTACTGAAGCTAAACATGTTTTACTGTGACTTAAAGTGATCCCGCTACATTATGTAACCTGTAAATAATTTACCAAACACATGGTGAACAATTTGACCTAGATTGCACATATTCAAAAAAAACAATGCATTGGTTTTTTGGTTATATATATATATATATATATATATATAAATATATATATATACATGTAAAAAAACTTGAAAAAAAACATAGCAGTACTGTATATACCTGTAGATGTTTGGGAGCTTTGACGACACAGAAGAATGTCTGAATCCCAGCCCCTTCTGTGTGATATCATGTATCGAAGAGGAAACGTCTGTATCTCCCAAGAGCTCTATCTCGGCTTCTGTTTCAGTGTCGTCACGGTTTGTAACCTCAGACACATGAAGACTCCTGCCGTCCTTCTGCCACGTCGCAAGAGCTGGACATGTCTGTCTGTTTACCAATGACACGTTTGTCCTTGAATGTGGGCCGAGTATCAAGTTTAGGCTCTTGGCGGTGTGGTTTGTGGTAGCGGTGGTGTTAACTATTCTGCCCCTGGGATATAGCTTGTTTAAGTCAACAGGGGGAAGGTGTCTGTGGTAGTCTGCTGCAAAAGCATGTTGTCTGGACTGTCTTTGGTTCATCTTTTCAGGTAGGCGAAGAGTTTTTAGCAGAGGCAGAGTCATGGACTGGCTTACACCGCTTCGCTTTGGAAATATGGTTTCTTTAAACTTTGACGGCACAGGTATTGAAATATGTGAGGGGTGGTTTGCATGCAAACAAGGCTGCTTGTACCCATGTCTCTGATAAGCCCTCTCCCTCAAGCTGTCAATCAATGTATAGTTCATTAAATCAATCAGATCGTTGATTAGCCTTTTCTTCACTGTAATATCTGCTTGGCAGTCCAGAGTCAACGCAGGGCTGTAGTTGACCTCCAGCAGCCACGGCTTAAACTTGCCGTCAATAAGGATATCAAAGCCAAACAGCTCTACACAGTTTGGACAGGAGGGGACGGAGGGAGCGATCGTGAGGAGGGTCAGAGTGACAATGTTGTTGATCCTCTGCCACAAAAGCAGCTCATTGATGTTTTGGCTGTGGAGAAAATGCCTGAACTTGCTCATGGTCCACTTGCATCCCTGGCCCACTCTCTCTTTTTCGGTTTTGTAGAAAGGACCGAACTTATTGATGCTGGTGTTGGTGAGATGAGCATACAGGTTATGCAGAGACGACAGGTTGTACTTCTCAGTGGCGAAACGCACCAGGCCTTCCTGATGAATGTAAACGGTCAGTGGATGAAAGCTCTTCACACACACATAGATCCTCAGGTCAAACTTGTAGCCGGAGATCAGCAGTGGGTTGCTGATGTACCTCTGTACGATTACAGAGCAGTCGTAGACCAAGTCCTTAATGTCCTCAAACATGAAGATCCCTCTGCCTCTGGAGAGATCCACAGGCTTACATATCCAGTAAGCTGACAGTCCTCTGGTCAGACGTAGTTTGTTGTACTCAGCCAGGAAGCGGGTATAATCATTGGGAAGGATGAAAGCGGTGGGACTGAAGTCATAGAAAGCTGGACCGAATGTGGCTCTCATTCTCCTCAGGTTGCGTGCCAGGCAGTCCTTCCAAATGAATTACAAATCAATCTTTTAGTGTGATCGTTTTCATGAAGGCACTCTTTCTAGTTGATTTCTGTTTGGAAACTTTTTTAGTGTGGTATTCTTGCTTAAGCCCCATTAACACCTGGGATTAACATGTGATCTGTGAGTTCTGGGGTGCACCCTTTTCTCATTTTTGATTATAAAACAGGTATGTTTACATTCTGTTAAGAATAAAAGGAAGGTGCAAAAAAGATGCTGCGAAAGTACAGTTTCATTGGCCCAATCAGACGTAAAATTAATAGCTCTCAGATTAAGTTTCCAAACCAGGATTGTTATACATCAGTTATACATCAATACAATAACAAATCACAGGATTTTAGTGAACAGATTCTTTTTTTTGGCTATACTTCCGTATAAAAAGGACAAACATATGGATTATTTTGGTGTCTACATCTAATTTTCGTTACCAGATGACACCAAGAGCTCTCTGCATTTCTTTCTCTCTGCAATACACAAAGTTAACACACGTCGAAACATCACCTTGCGCGTGATGCCAACAGTCTTGGGGTGGTGGTTGAGGCGCTGCCATGGCAGCAATTTGTGAAATTCGGAGTTGCGAAATGCAGAGCCCCGCCAGTAAAGATTCCAGTCTTCCTCCTCCCGTTCTCCTTTGTCATATTCCTTCCATCCTCGCTCCAGAAGCACCTCCCTCACCAGCTCTGGGCCTCTGTCATGTAGTCTGAACACCAGGGATGCAGCCATGCAGCATTGTAAACTATAGACACAGGAGAAATACAGAACAGAAACATGGATAATTTATCTGTCTTTGTCTGAGGTGCATTTTTTGAATCATCTTTTTCTTTGCAGGTATGTCAAACAAAGTGCTAAAGGAAACATTACATAAGCAGGTGGGAAATGAAATGTCCACTGTGTTTTTTAAACTCATTGTTCCAGACGGCATTTTAACAATCAGGAAATTACAGAATATGGTCTGTAATAGACAATAATAATAATAATAATAATGCATTACATTTATATAGCGCTTTATCATGGAAACTCAAAGCGCTTCACAGTGAAGTGGGGGGAGGGACTCACCTCAAACACCACCAATGTGTAGCACCAACCTGGGTGATGCACGGCAGCCATTTAGCGCCAGAACGCTCACCACACATCAGCTTGAGGCAGAGAGGGGGGGACACATTGAGCTAATTACTATGGGGGATGATTAGATGGCCAGATGGTGAAAGCCAGGTTGGGAATTTTGCCATGACATTCAGCAGGACAAACCCAAAAGACAAAGTCAAAAGCCTCTGCAGGTGGCGCGAGGGCATTGCAGGGGAGGCAAAGATGCCATGTGAGGTGAATTTGAGTCAAAAATGGCACTTCTCAAATTCACACAGACAGGAAACACATACGGATATCATTCAGTGTGACTTACACTTCACGATATTAGAAGCACTCTAGACGGGATTATTCAAATATGGTTATGTTAAAATCACCACTCCTTCTCCAGAGAACTGAATCCAATCTGAATGAGCCGCATTGACACAGGTCATCCCCTGGCTGGTGTCAAAGCACCTTGTTTATGTGAGCTAAAGCGTTCGCATGTATTTCCAAGAAGCCCAAACAAACCTGACACTTTGTCTGCCCACCTGCACAGACAGAGGGATCAGACTCAAGCTTCACCAGCTCATTAACCAACACAGAACTTTCTCACATCATTATCTGAAAACATTTACAAAAGATCAGAGTGCTGCATTTCGGACCGCTAAAGATTAATAAATACACACACATAATAATAATGGTCACTTCTTAACAACTCAGAAAACACTGATGCAGAAAATTAAATGTCCAAAGATAAGTGATGCAAGAAAAATGTATTAGCATAAGTGTTAAGATGGTTAACATGGTTTTTCAGAGGCTTTTTTCACGCTAAAAGGGAATTACTAACTGGAAACTCTAACAACATGTAAAAAACTAGAATATGTAAGTCAGGAACTTCCCATTTCTAAAATCGATATCAATAATACACCAATTAGTAATTTACGATATTGAAAAAAGTGTGATTTGGCTTACCTTTGAATGCACATTACCAAATAGTCTCACTTTGTTTCTGCCAGGTTAATGAAGGGTAGATGGTGAGAGTCATTCCTGTCGAACTCTTGCATAGTGTACAGTGTTCTCGTAGCTCCTCCCATTGACAAAACCAGACTCTCACACAAACAGGCTCAAACTGCAGGGGGTAGGTCTGACAGGTTTTTGTACAGGAGGCGTCTATCGTACAGAACAATGATTGTTAGATGAATGAATGTCTTATGTTAGATCTGTATTGTTGTATGCTTGCTGTTATCACAGAGATAATTAGTTATTTAATACTTAAGAGGATAAAAAAAATCCAAATTTACAAAAAGGATAGAATATTTTAGAGTTGGATATTACCTACGTTAAAATACACTTAGTTCTGATCTATCCACTGTAAGTACAAACCTAGCATTAGACTATTTGTTCTACGAGCTATGGTCTAGTGCAGTTTTATTGGACGGGTGTGGGTGTGATTGGATACATGTATGTAACTGCGCCAGAGTTCAGGATTAGTCTAAATATATTTACATTTTACAGGAAGAGACAAGAGGCATTTTGAAAAAGAAAAATACTCAAAGACACAGCAAAATGTTTTCCAATTTCTAATCCTGTCCCTGTGTTATTTGTTCATTTATTTCAAATTCTAACTATGTTGGGTTTTTTTTTTTAAGTATTACTTTATTTCTGTATAATAAAATTTTACTGCGTCTTTAAGGCAGAAATAAAAAACTAAACTTGGACCTGCCACAGTCTATTTTGCTAAATTTCTGATTACAGAGATATTTTTTTTTACCATTGTGTGGTATAGCCATGTTTTCAATTATAGGGTTAAATTTAATGCACTTGCTGCCAGACATTAATGTCATCAGCACAGTGATTGTGCTGATGACATTTCATCATCAAAAAAATGGTGTTAGTTCAAGCAGACAAATCATTACAACAGTACTGACACCCAGTGGCAGGTTGAGCAAATTTACTGAGTTTTTAATGTGTATTTAATTGTTTATTTGTCTTTTAGTGACAACAATGTAGTGAAGAGGTTGTTACCACAGTGGAGTTCAGTTTCTGTACATCCAGTTGGCTGAGAGTGAGGTGAGGTGTGTTCTCTGACCCATCGAAATGTGTTGGCACTCCGCCCTGTTTGGGCAACACAGTTGGACTTCCATCTTGACTAAAAAACATATCTGCAACAAAAGACTATAATAATATTTACTAAATGTGTGTAATGAAATCACATACAGCCAGCCAATCATTACTGCAGAAAAGCACTAAGGTTATTATTCAGTTCCATTATGCAGTTAAAAGTGAAGCTATCCAGCATTAATCACTAGCGACAAGATAATTAAATTGTAATATAGACAAAAAGGTGTCATTAGATGTTACTCCAAATACAATTAGGTCATATGGCAGGTTCAGACTGTTCTAACCTGCCGTACGCCGTCCTTTGTGCATTCGCACCATTTATAAATGAGGCTCCCGAATCTCTGAAAGGCACGTCTATAGTTAAGGAAAAGCCATAGCAGTATCATCCAGAGTTTCTGTGATGTATTTACTTTTTACTGTAGATAACAAAAAACGCAATGTGAGTTGGATCTCACCATAACAAACACGTCTCTGTGTCAAAGTGACAGGCAGTTCCCATCATCACAAACTAAAGTAGAAGTAACTAAAAGAACAACATTTTGCTTTGTGTAAGCTCAAATTACAAAACTCAATTCTGCAGTTTTCTTGTTTTCAGTCTCACACAGAAAAAACAGCAGACACTATTATATATAACTATTGATTGACGATAGACTTGAAAAATTGTGAACCTATCCTTTTCCATCATCAATTTTGAGCCAACATGTTATTCTTCTGTATTTTTATTCTTTGTGTCTCATATGTTCAGACATTTTACCACAAGTAGTTTTCTATATTCTTGTTGTGAGAGTAGTGAGCAGCAAAAGTAATTTGGTCCTGCTCAAGTTGGATGGGGTGGCGATGGTGCATTTGATAAGACACATAGGTGTGGGAGACAATTCTCCACTGTGACACATCCACCAATGTGTCCCTGAGCAAGACACTTAACCACTAGTTGCCCCAGATGCGTGTGACCACTGACATGTATAGCAATTGTAATTTTGACAAAAGCTTCAGCTCCCCCGATTTCCCATGACACCAAGAGTAAACGTGCAGATTCCTGAATAAAAAGAGGATAAAGTCTTTTTTCAGCAACTGAGAATATAAAAGGTGGGAAATGCCTCAAACTTCACAACAGCTGGCTTAAAATGAAAGAGCACAGTCTCTTCGTGTTTTGTTGTGGCCCAACATGACCACTAGAGAGCGCAATATGACACCTGAACAGCTGAAGGCTCACAATCAACAATACTGGGCATTTGTGCCCTGAGCTGTAACTTTCATAGCTGCAGCTTTCTCCCAGACTAAGGACTGACTCAAACTTTGCTAATAAATGCATAACGTTATAGATGGTTAAGGTTATGGTTACATGGGTTAGGAGTGCAGGAATAATGCAGGATTGCTTTGTAGGCTCAACTTGGGACTAAAAGTCTTTGTATAACAAAGTGCCTACCTACCACTAAACATACAGTTGTAGATAAGTAACAAGAATAGCTGCATATCTATTGTTTTATCTGATAAATATTTCTCTAATAAATACCACTAGAAGGCTGGCAAATGACACTTAAAGTGCTGCTTTCAGATGTCATAGACAGAAGACAAACTGTATATTTTCACTATATCATCTATTTCTGCATATTTAAGTATGTCTTCTTACACACCGTGTAAACATTCACAGTGAAGGATGAAAAGTATGTGAATTCCTAGACTAATGACTTCTCCAAATGCTAATTGGAGTCAGGAGTCAGCCAACCTGTAGTCCAATCAATGAGATGAGATTGGAGGTGCTAAAAAACACACGAGTCACGAGTCATTGCCTGATGTGAACCATGCCTTGAACAAAAGAGCCCCCAGAAGACCTAAGATTAAGAATTGTTGACTTGCATGTAGCTGGAAAGGGTTACATTTACATTTAGCTGACGCTTTTATCCAAAGCGACTTACAATTGCTATACATGTCAGAGGTCACACACCTCTGGAGCAACTAGGGGTGAAGTGTCTTGCTCAGGTACACAATGGTGGAAGTCTCACAGTGGGATTCAAACCCAGGTCTCCCACACCAAAGGTGGCATCTTATCTATGCGCCATCACCACCCCTTACAAAAGTACTGTGCACTGTGAATATTTACACAGTGTATTCAGTGAAAACATATAATTGTTTGTGTGGTATTAGTTTAAGAAGACTGTGTTTGCATATTGTTGTGACTTAGATGAGATGAGCAGAAATCCAGGTAATTCCAATGAGTTTACAGAGGCAAATTTTTCCTGCAAAGGAAGTAGTCAAATCTCACGCCTGAGTGATTTGCAAGACCCTCTGCCCACCTGTAAACGTGCAAGTGGGTCCAGAATATAACTGGATCAAAGTGGCCTGTGGACAGACATGTCCTGGTTTCTCTGTATTGTCCGAGGGCTTTGGGGGTTTCCAGCTGATAAGTTGGGTTTGCAGCACTTAGCCTCAGACACAACCAAACTCAGCGGACCCAAATATTGCTATGGACCCGAGTACTGACTAGCTAGAGAGAGTAGATACTTCTCTGTTTATTCTCTTTTCAAAGATAAAAAAAATTGTAATTCAGTTATTTGCTCAATCCCTCAGCCTGTTTTTAGTTTCTATTTAACTCTTTTAACCCTGATTGTACACTGCACTGAAACTTTTCCTGTCCTGTTTTACCCTGTTTTTTTTTTTATTAATTTCACCCTTTCCAAAATGATATTTTAATGTGTTTTTCTTTTATCAATTTCCCTGTTTCCCTATTATGTTTAATGCAAAGCACCTTGAATTGCCTTGTTGTCGAAATGTGCTTCACGAATAAACAACTTCCATGTTGTTCCGTTTGTCCCACAGACCATGAACGCAGCATTAGTCATCGAGGATGGAGTCATGTGATGTCCTGTCATGTGGTGCAGTCACTTCCTACTGATTTGGTCCAGAGCTGACAGACTCTGCTGTATCATGTCGCCACAGTAAGGCTCCACAGACACTATCCACCACAGTAAACATGTTATTTCGTTGTGCGCCCCTGAAGATGGCTTTGTGGCTAGTGGCGTGTCTGGGATGTTTGTTGGTCCGGTCCGGAGCAGAGGACAGCAGCCCGTGGTACCAGGATCTCTGCAGGTAAAAATAAAAAAATACACCTCAGGCTTCAACACACTGCAATTAGACAAATAGATAATAACAAGGCTTCAGTATTTCACCTCCTGTGTCGAGAGGAGAGATAGTAAAGCTACATTTAATTCAGAAATATGTCATTAGATTATTTATTTGCATGCTCGCCGCGGTATCACATTAAAGAAGGTCTGCCGTTAAATTTAGCTCATAAACAATCAGCCAGTCAGCTCTTTGTTCAGTTACAATATCAACTTTTACATTTGGTTTGCTTTGCTTGCAAACGTTATAACTTAGCTCCCTCAGCAGTGTAAGCTAGCTAACACGTCGGTGAAAACGTAAAAGTTTTAATCAGCTAGCTAACGTATTGCTGAATTAAATTTAGCTCCAAATACTCTAAACAAAAATGGTCTTGAGCAAAAGGAGTCGATGGTTGTTTTTCGGTGTTATCAAGCTAAAGTGTAGCCTAGCTAACAGCTAACGTTACATGAAAGGTGTCACAGCTAAAGCTACATGTTAGCAACGTCAGATGACAGGTTTCTGATTAAAGGATAAAGTCATGACAGTCTCTCCAGGTAGACAGCAACACTGTGTATATCGTGGCTAAAGTGAGTATTACAAGCTGACATGTTGTCCTCCTTTACTGGAGCTCCGTTTAGGCAGCTGCTGTCCAAATATTGACACAACAGCAGCAGCACCTAAACCTGTAAGGTTGCATTTCATTTCCGTGTTTTCGCAGCATTTGCTTCGCTGCTTTTGAGGTTAAGCACAAATAGGCCACAAGAAACTTTTCTGTGAAAGAAAGTTGAATTGCAATTGTGCGATGCATGGATAAAAATGAAATGTTATCATGATTCTTGACTAGCTATTTGTGGTGAAGTGGGGCCCATGTGAGTTTTCCAGAGGTAGTTGCTGAAATGTAACTCTTAATTTCGTCCTTTATTTTACAGTTTTAAATGCAGGACAATACAACACTTTAAAAAAACTCCCAGGAAAATATTAGTGTGTGTTCAGTGTCCATGCAAGTAGGGAAAAAATGGATGACTCAACATGAACACAGCTAAAAACAAGACAAAAATGCAACACATGAGGGCTCCAGCTAATAATTACTTTTATTGTTACTTAATCTTTTGGTTATTATCTTGATTTATGAATGAATCCTTTGAGCTATGAAATGTTTATTACTCCATGAGACAAAAATAACCAAATCCACACAAACTGAGAAGCTGGAACTGGGTAATTTTGGAACTTTTGCTTGACAAATGACTGAAATAATTATACGATTATCCAAAAGGTAACTGAATATGTTTCGTCTCATTGCAAGAATATTGTAGCACGGAAATTATCAATGGTCGTTTAACAGAAAATTAATTGACTCTAATTTTAACTACAGTCTAATTGATAAATTGTAAAGTCATTTCAAGCTAAAAAGCTAAACATTTGCTTTATCTGCTTTATTTCTGTATTAAATAATTTTTTTTAGTTGGTCAGACATAACAAGAAATTCGAAGGCAACACCTTGATGTCAGGAAAATTGTGGTGGGCTTCATTCATTATTTTCTGACCTTTTTACACTAAACAATGTATAGAAAAAGAGTCATGTAATAATTCACTGACCATTGTTACCATTACAGGGATCTCTGTAAATCAGAAAATCAGCATTAAAGACTGAAACTGATCCAGTGCTTAAGGGCTGAAACCTTTGGGTCTAGGTCTTATGTAGGCCAAGTGTGTACATTGCCTAAATGTTCAGGCTTAACTCTACTTCTTTACTTAATTTATTTTCTTCCTTGTGTTGCAGTTATAAATGGGAGGCAATAGACCAGGACAATAATGTCATCTACACGCTAAAGCTCTGTGAGTCTTCACCAGCAACAAGCTGTGAAGCCAGCACCGCTGTCTGCGCTCGGGACCTCAACACCAGCACTGTTAAGTCTGTCGGTGAGTACAGTCCACTGGTGCACACTGGTGCTACCGTGTTCAGAGATGTGAGAACTAATGATGAAAAAAGTCTGTTGTGGTGCAGCTACTGTGATTGCAAGGGAGTCATTTAAAATGTTAGTTTAGACACTGTGAAGCCTGTCAGTCAATTCAGCTACTTGTGGCAGTGAATTATGTGCGATAGCATACCTAGTGATTGGCCAAGAGTTATAAATAATTAATAAATAAATAAATAAATGTGTTGCTAGTTCTGAAGTGAGACTACTATACTGACAGTACATACTGATTTGGCCAAAACTGTTATATGAAGTATGGCCTAACATACTGCAAATAAATCGATTTAACAGTTTCATACTGCATACTACTGTATACAAGAAGTATGTAGTACGTACTGCATATCGTGGTCGCTGGTAGGATGTAGAAGTCGGTTCCGAATAACTAGAGCTAACAGCACAGTTAACTGTTTTACTGTTGGCTATAGCCCTCAGTTGCTAATAAAAGGCCTTGTAACGCCTTGTTGTCTTCCTCCTGAGGAACATTACAATAGTTTTATGTTGCTATGTTGCTGTTTGCGATCTGGTGTTGGATTTTTTTTATGCGTCTGATTTCCATAACAACTCTGCCATCTTTGCTGCACTTTGAACATCATTTCAGTTCCTCCTGTAGATCCGGAGGGCGACAACCTGTGCAAAGTTTCAGATTTCAGCTTTAAATATGAGTTATCATGATGCCACCTTTGTCCCCACTAGAAGAGAAACTCTGTGTAATAGAAGGATATAAAGTGTGTTTGAGGCAGATGGAGGACGCAATCTAACATGCTGGAGTTTACCTTTTGTAGTCTGAAGTGGCACCCCCACCTCATTATACTGCTCTGTTAAAATCCTAATTACTTGGTGTGTGTTTCTGCGTAGTGAAGTGAGCTGACATACTGTTAGTGCTCTAGACTCTGATGCCTCCCATGCATCTTTATGACAACCACAAAGCACAAAATGTCACTGCTCTTTAGTGGCACTGCAGGAAGATTATCTACATCCTCGGTGCCGTTGTGTTTCTGTAGCTGTGGTGCCATTGTTTTGGTCACAGTTTGATCACACACACTGCATCTAGTCTGTTTCTGTGTGAACCGTGAAATTAGCTCTGAATTATCTGGCTCAATGTGGTTATGGGTGTTTTCAACTGCTGAACATGCACAAAAATCGGCCCTGTTGCTGACATGCCCTCTGAGGGGTTTTCTTAATGCTAAGTGATGCTGTATGGATCAGCGCTTTATCAGTACATTAGCAGATCTGATCTCTGTGCTGATGAGGCTGAACCTGCTGCTGCTGTGTGTCAGCAAGATCCACATCTCTGTCCTGGACAAGTCCTTCAAGCTGGAAGTCAGGCAGGCGCTTTACGTTTAGCACTGCTCACCACCCTAAAAGTTAATAACATGTCTCTAAGAAATCAAAAATCACCAATTATCTCTGAGATGCAAATTTATTTAGATTAACATTATTTATTATATTTATTTTCAGCAACATAGTTTTATTGAGAATACATGCAGCTAAGGTAAACTAAAGCTACCCAGCAGTGTTTAACCAGCGAGAAAAAGACTGGAAGTCATAGTTGCCTTCAAAATAAAGGCCAAGATTACCGCACAGGAAATAAAATTTCAATGTCCCCATACCATGTTTGCCACCCTGTGGTATCACACCATTTCAGCTTTGAAAGGGTTTTGGACTTCTTGAAGACCAAATGTATGTTAATCTAAATAAAAATACATAATCATCTGTTTCTGTTGTAACTAGCTAGCGTTTGCTTAGCTGCTGATTAGCTTTACTCCCAACACACAAGATACAGCCATCATTTCTACGTCCAGTTGAAGGTGTTATCACTTGAACGTAAACATATGTTGTTTTGGGGCATTTGAAACAAATGGAACGGCAGTGTCTCTTAGTTTTATGTATTCTCAAAAAGCTAAACTGCTGATTGAGTCAAAATTGTTTAAATAAATCTAATAATCTTAAATCTTAATATTTACTGCTTCTGGCTTCTTAAAGTTTTTGAAAATCTTCACCAAAACAGTGAAGCTGAAAATTATAATTTTATGAAGAGCACAAACTTCTTGTTTCCTTTCACATTTGCACGAGTTACTTTTGTGCAAAATAGAGCTGCAATGAATAGTCGATCGAAAAATAATAATTTTCGGGAATTTCTCCAGGCAAAATGCCAAACTAACATTTGCAGTTCCCAGCTTTTCAAATGTCAACTGAACTGAATATTTTTGGGCTTTGGACTGTTTTCTTTTTTTTTTTTTTTTTTACACATATGGTTTTGCTGTCAAAATGAAACTTAGTAACTTGCCTTGTTAGCGTGAAAGCACTCCTGTGTGCTTATTATTCCCACATCAATCAGATTCATTCAACTCAAGTTCCACTACACATTTTTCCACCCTGGGCCGCATGCAACCTCAAGCAATGGACCCCCTGGAGGGAGTGCAGTTTGAAAAACACTAATTAAATGTTTGGTTAGGCCAGAAGACAAATGTGCTTTCATTAACAAACTCATTTGTGATGCATTTTAAGATTTATGGACAGAAACCTTATTCTGTTATGCAATCATCTGTTCTTATTTATGTCACTAGTTGATGAATTTTAAAGGCTCCCCATGTAGACTTTAGCTACAGGTCCTTTACATGTGGTTTTAAATAGGGCTTGACAGAAGCTGACACTACATAAACTTTAGTGTCACACAGGGAATGAAAGTAGCACCCGCCACTTGCGGATAACTTGGTGGTGGTGGGTGAAATCGTCGGGCCATCCGCGGCTTTGACGGACAGGAAAAATGCCCAACAGGAAGACACGTGTAGTAAGGTAAGCGTGTTGTGGCGATCGGTGCCTGCGTCACACACACAGCCACCAGTCAGCTCAGGAAATATCTGTGAAATCAATAATTTGATATATCTTCTCACCATTGCTCATAATAATAATTCTACCTAAAAATTTATCGCATATTAAAACGCAATCGCAATATTGGGAGAAAAAATTGCAATTAGATTATTTTCCACAATCGTTCAGCCCTAATTTTAAATCTGAATCTGTACTTTCACAGTTGCAGAATCAGCACCTTTGTTGCAGAAATTTTGGTATAATCATACTTTTCATACTGTTTTTTTTACGTTGTATACCCTTTTGTACCTAAAGATCACTTTAGACTTTAGACACAGGTTTGTTCTTGACTATGTTAGGGGCTGTTTCTCCATTTCAGTTACATCACTGTCTTTGATTTTGCACATGACCTTTCTAAAGAAGACAGGCTGCCAGACAGAGTTATTTCAGAGTCCCACAACAACAGCTTGTCCTGCAGTCTGAGGTCTTGACCTTCCTCTTGTGACAAATTGGCGTTTTGGAGCTCTCAGCCAGAGTGTGTGTCATCTGACTCAGATATCTGAGCATGACAAATAGCCGTGTGGCTCACTAAAGTCTCCGAAATAAAGATTGCAGACTCATGTTGTTGGTAGGGTCTGTTTGAGGCTTATTTTGTTAAGATATCCTCATTAGACAAGACGAAGATCACACATGGAAAGTGAAAGAGCTGGTAAACAGGAAGCAATGTGGTCAGATGAGTTGGAGTTTTATTATGCTGACTGCCTAATCACATGACCAAGGAACACATCATCAAGCAAAAACGCTGTCTAACACAAATCCCCCCCGCCCCCGGACTTCTTGCTTTAGGCTTTATTCATGCTTCCTTGTTGGCTGTGCTCAGAAACCTCACATGATCCATCCTCACACTTTGACATTCAAGATTCTTTTGCTTCCTCAAATCAAAATCTTTGGAGTAACAGATGCTTACCTCACTGTTGAGTTCAAAAGTGCCCATAAAATGTTTTTTTTGTTTGCTCTTTCTGTAAGTGGATAACATGTATGCTCGTATTTTGATAATAAAAGTATTGGAATTAACATTTTTTATTATCTGTAGTGTTTTAATGGCATTTGGATTCGTTTTTTTTCTATTAAATATTTTTTAAAAATCAAAGTTCCATCACAAAGTCCAAGGTGATGTTTTGTTTTGAGTCCAAAAGATAATCAATAAACTATCACATAAGACAAAGGAAAACTTCAAATCATCACAATTTAAAAGCTGTAACTATGAAAGGTTTATCTTTTCTAATTATTAGACTTCAATGATTAATGCATTGGTCATTATTTTTCTATCTGCTAATCAGCTGATAATTTTAGCTCTAACGGGAATATAAGAAAATAACATGTACAATAATTCTGAAATTGTCCATTCTGCATAAAGAGTACTTTTCCTTTTAATACATAAATTACATTTTTGGTGATAGGCTAATACTTCAGAACTTTTTCGTAATAAAAGTTTTGGTTACAGGATACATTTTTGACTTTAAAATTATAGAGGAGCAAAAGAAAAGCAGCAACTCCTGAATATAGTAAACAAAATGTACAAATAAAATTCAGTGAAACCATGCATGCTGTAAAATCCAGTTCTTTGCTCTTTATGTGCACGCACATTATCTTTGTGCTCAGTGTATTGCAAAATGTCACAATACTGCCAAAATATAGATATCACACAGGACTTAAAGTTGAAGTGGTGCAACAGGCTGGGACATGAGCAGTGTTACATCTGAAGAGTCTAATAATACGGACAGTCCAGCCTACAGTAGAGTTGTTTTTGATGTTAGTAGGTCACACTGTTCAGTTACATTCCTTTATGGACCCTTTGTGATAACAGCCCCGCCGTATCAGAGGGAACACACTCACAAATACAGTTCATTACGAAGGGAATTTTAGTTGTAAGACTTCACTGAGAACAGTGAGAGGAGTATTTTATTTAGACTAAATGATTATTCATTAACATTTTTGTTGATTGTTGGTGCAACAGAGCAGATTGGTGCTCGTCACACCTTAACATTTAGTAACACATTTACAGACTTCAGTTACTCTCTGCTGTGTGTTAAGCTGATCTACTCTGAGTTTATTTAACTGCCCCAGTCTCAAATGTTCTTCACATGCAGAACATTTCCCACCGCTGTCTTGTTTCTGTTCAGAGGATAAATGAAGACTGTGCTGACAGCAGGGTTACAATATTATGGCACAGAGTTTTATCTTGTGTGTTTGTAAGTGTACAGGGCAGTAGGTCAGTAGAGGTTGGAGGGTTAGGACATTATTCTGTCTGACTGTCTACTGACTACTACACCAACATACGGAGTCTGTGTGTGTAACTTTTATGATAGGTTCATCATGTACACTATGTATATCATGTATGTTATTAGATCATCTGTCATGTCATGTTTCATCCATGAGGGTAAAGTATACAACAAAAAGAAAAGGGTGGATAGAGGTTTAAAAAAGGAGTAGAAGTGAGATTGGTATAGCAGCTACTATTTTCATTATTCAAATTAATTTTGTCCAACTTGCAATTTAGATCGTTTGTGTTGTAATAACCGTCTTAAGTTAATTTCATGTTTGCATAATGAGTCCTAGTCATTATTGTCCACATATGAGTAATCCTACATATCTACTGGCCAAACTGAAGGCCTTGAAAAACACGTTAATTGTCTTAAATTGACTTGTTTTTTTTTATTTCTTAAATGTGCAGGTGAGCTGTCCCAGCAGAGGGTCTCTGGCATGGTGCTGGATTTTAATGACACGAAAAAATGTCCCGGAAGCAACAACAACGTTCAGACCAGCATCAGCTTCCAGTGCGGAAAAACCATGGTAAGACTTAAACACACAAGAAAGGTTTTTTTTAAACAGACCATTTGTGCTTTTCCAAGAGCTATGTTTAGGCTGATATATGAGAACAGTGGTGGCTGGTGTGATCCTCGAACAGGCAGGATAAATCTGACTGGGGAAAGTGAAAGCTGCCCTTGAGTTGACACCCTCCTCTTTTGACTTGCCATTTTTTCGTTTTTTGTATTTGTATATTGAGTCCTTTGCTGTTAAATATCTGATCTACATGCACTCTATACTTATTTTCATGCATTAAGCATGACTAAAGAGCAAACTGTAACAGGGCCGGGGTGTGACAATGGTAAAGTATGTGATTTTTATTTATGTCACACAGAGAGAACATGTTTTTTTATTGTGTGTGTTTACAAATAGTGCATTAATTGTTTGTAACAGGAGAAACAGCACAATCAAAAATCACCCTGGTCAGAAACCTTATCGGCAGAAATTCAGCAGTTTTAAGTTGTATTATCAGTGCAGTTTATTGGATGTCATCACTCAAAAAATTGATAAACTTAGCTTGAGCAAGTTCCTCCATGAACATGCACTTTAACTGTTTTGCAATATTGAGGCAACGTTATTGTGCTTTGCCGTTTTGTAGTCAGTATCTGTATTCTGAACTTTATGACTTATATGCCTAACTTACGTGTTGGATTGAAACAAGGTTTAAACCCATACTGACATTTTTGAGCTTTTATTTGACTCATATTTCAATTAGTTGAAATTAAATTGAGCGTTCTCTTTCTTGAAGCAAATAAACTAAAATTATATTTTTTGGATCCCTGAAGCAGATGTCTGCTGTCAGCTGCAATGAAAGGAAGTGAATCTGTAAATAGAAACCATATAGGACAATGACAGTCACCTGCTATCTCATGAGTAATAGTGCGCACGTGCGCGCGCGCGCGCGTGTGTGTGTGTGCGCGCGGTTTCGAGGGTGGTTGAGTGGTGGGTTAACATTCATGTAATTTCCTGTAAAGACACAAAGATGAGTTTTCTGGTTCAACAGAAAATGATTGGTACTAGGTTTTCAGTTCATGGAAAGTTTGAAGTGAAGAAATGAAAGTGGCTTTTATGAAGACTTTTATTTAACTTTTCAAAAACATGTCTAATGTTGAAAAGAAGAAGAAGGGATTAAGCCAAATGCAGATTATCTATTATAACAATTAACCTTAGCAGAACTGTGTCACTGGTAAAGAGTGGACATTTAAAGTTATAATTTTGACAAATAAATGAAAATAATAAATTTAGCAATTAGAAAGATGCTCTATATTATGTATAACTTTGACTTTATTTTAGCAGTGAATTTCTCAAGTGATGCAATATACCCAGAACACATTGTGTATATCCTTGAGGTCTAACAAACTTGTTGAAGACATTTCCTTCCTCATAAAACATTGCAAAGACTGACATCTGCTTGCAGTCTTACTCTTCTCTGCCTTTGTTGGCGCATTGCTGTGAGAAACTTTTAGCAGAATGTGTAATACTTCACTCTGGAGGTAAAAAAATGGGGACTGACATGTCAAACCATTGGTCTATAGTGATACTAGGTTCAGAAAGACCTTTTAAATTTATGATCTTCATCTATTCAGTCTTGACAACAACAAAAAAAACCTGTATGAAGTAGGGCAAAAACAGAAAACAAAGAAAAAGAAGTTGTCCTGTAACAGAAAAAGTTGCTGGTTTAACTGTCTAGAACAGCTGGTAAATTATGGACGAAAAATGGGAATGAGAGACAGTCTCCCCTCTCTCAACAAGTGTTCTTGAGAAGCCCTCGAGTAAGCGCTGAACCTTCAACCCCTCCAGCAGCAGCAGACTGTGGTTGTGCTGCACTCCGCTGTAACTGTGGGGAGTAATTATAAACGTCAGCATTTGCATAAATGTTTTCTTTCTCCTGTCAGATTAAAATTTATAAGTAATCCTCCCCACACCATTTAAAAATAAACCAAATACGTAAAATACTGTATATTCTGGATAACAAACGCTGGCACATTTGCCATAAAGTGCTACTAAACCATCCCTTCATGTCAAGTTGCGCTTCTTTACTTGCTTTGTTTCTCTCCAGTGCAGAGCTGCCTGTTACACAGCACTTTAATGTGTTTATCGCCCTCATCAGCATGAAACTATCTTATCATGTTCCTGTGTTTGTGTGCTGCAGGGGACCCCAGAGTTTGTTGCTGTGTCTCAGTGCGTTCATTACTTTGAGTGGAGGACCTACGCCGCCTGCAAGAATGATAAATTCAAGCCACAGAAAGAGGTATGTGGTGGAGCATCTGATGTGCGGCTGACTCACTGACGAGAAGGTTTTATGTTCAAGAAAGAACGAAACTGACGCCGTGCCTGTTAAAGATTAAAGGGGGAGCATTTAAGGTGTAATTCGTAAGAAACAATGAGCCAGAGGGGTTTTTTCCACACATGTGAAGATGTACAAAGTTGCAGACATGTCACATGTTGTCACAGTGAGCTCTTAATGTGAGCTTAACATGGAACAATTGAAATGTATGAAATGGATTAAACTTGCTAGATAATCTGTTGCAAAAGTGCTTCTGTGAAATAGTTTTTGATTGAATTAAGCAAAAAAACTACCCATTGATTTAAAATCCAATAACAGGAATCTGCTGGTGCTTAAGTTATTTGAAAACGTAGTTTCTCTCTTCAAATTTAAGCCCTCTAAAGATATTAAAATTATTATATTATCAAAGTTTAGAGGAATGAATAACATTTTAACTGCCATACAAAGATCTGATTTGAAAGATCTTTATTTGTAGTGATCTTTATAAATAAATTCAACCATAACCCTCTATTTTCTTTTAATGAATGCTACTTCAAGTTATTGTAAAAATATGTCCGTACTGCAGTTTAAGCTACCTTCTCTGTTTCCAGGTGCCCTGCTATGTGTTTGACTCGGATGGTAGGAAGCATGACCTCAACCCTCTGATCAAAATGAGCGATGGCTATCAGGTGGACGACGGCGACGACAGCATCGACTTCTACATCAACATCTGCCGAACTCTTAGTCAGTACCTGAGAGAGGGTGGAGAGCTGAATGGATGATTGGATGAATAAATGACTGTGTGATTGGATTCAGAATTTAGCAATAATGAGCCTTTTTTTTTTCAGTTTAATATTTGAATTTGATAGACCACAATACAACTACTAAAATAGACTACACACCTTAATTATAAATGTTATATATAACAAGTGTTGCATATATTCATGCATTTAAAAATGTCTTTTTAAAATATCCTTTTTGTCAAAGAAGCACTTATTTTATTATTTATTATTTTAAATTAAGCCCTTTTAAATTGTTTCCTTGTAAAGCTTTCTTTGACATTTTTAGTTTGCCATATCATTATTGAAGATTTCTGCTGATCATCGCTGTTGTTATTGTTATATTTTGATTTATATATATTTCCCATCATCTCATATCCTTCCTCATCCTCACCCAGATGCTCCAGATAAATCCTGTCCAAAGGAATCTGCAGCCTGTCTGATCACCAGTAGTGGCTCCTACAACATGGGCTCGCCTACCGGACAGCTAGAGCTGGTGTCCAACGATAGGTATCATCTTGCTGAATGTCTTTCATCTGTCATCTGACTTTACATCTTTTTGAGAGTAGGGAATGATTTGCAGCTGCTGGTCTGGACAAATCTTCTATTTTGTTGCTTTGAGTTTAGATTTACTTCAATAGTTTCGAAAGTTTATATGATTGTCAGAATATCCAGGATGTGTTGATGTGTTGTTTTATACAGTTGTGGTTTTGTTAAGTTTATGTTGAGCTGCAACCTCATTTATGTCTGAGGAGAGTTAACTTTTTCTGACAGAAGGATACACATTAAATTTAACCAAATGAAAAGCTCATTTTGAAAAGATGAAGTCTTTTTAATCATAAATTTACTTTTTCACTTGTTTCTTGTCTCCTCCTCTCGCAAGGCTGAGGTTACAGTATACTGTAAGTACCAGTTCGTCTCATCCAGAGATCTGCGAAGGACACAATCCTGCCGTCACCATCACTTTCATCTGTCCATCAAGCAGACATTCAGTAGGTTACACACTCATATACTCAACATACACAGCAAAATGTTTTTATACATTTACCCTTTATATATTTCATCCCTTGCAGATCATTTGTTGCATCTACCTGATTTTCATACTGTTCGACTGTACTTGCAAAAATGTATCTAATTCCTGTTTTACTAAAAGTGTATTTTGGTCTTACAGGGAAGCCCTCCTAAGATGACAGCTAAGTCAAACTGTCGCTACGAGGTGGACTGGGTGACTGAATACGCGTGTCACAGAGACTATCTGGAGAGCCATAGCTGTAAACTGACCAGCAAACAGCATGACTTGTCCATAGACCTAACACCTCTCACCTTGAGCTGTAAGTAGTTCTTCCTCTAAACCATGTCTCTTAAACTATCACACCAGGGGGCCACATCCAGTCTGTGAGACACCTTGATCTGTAAAGTAATCACAAGAAAGCCAACAAAATTTAGGATAAAAAAGTGGCTTTTTATTTCACATTTAACAAAGCAAGCTGCACTATTCTGCTCAACTTGTAAACAGAAGCACTTTAATGCACAGTATGTAATTTCTAGGTGTCTCTCAATTTAAACAATGACAAAAGAAGCACTTTAATGACGTCGAGAAGTAGCGTGGAGTGGTTGTCTGTATCGATAAACAGTGACCATTGGTGATAAATATTTATCTGACTTAACTCAAGCAGAAATCATGTGCAGAAATGAGTTAATGTATTAAAGTTAAGTTATACAGGGACAACTTCTGCGACACAACACACTGCAACTGCAATGAATAATTATGCTCCATCACACGTGAGCAATACAAACAAGAGTGAAAAATAGAGTTGCTAGCTATTTCACTGACTTTCTTCCTCACTCTCTGACATATGATCTGGCGTTTCTCTGGCAGTTATAGCAGCTAAAGGGGGTAAAGGGGTTATGGCGCCATTAACAAGCAAACTGGGAACCTCAGCTAGCCAAGTGAAACATGAAACTAGATGGAAGATGGTTAACAAAAGTAGGTTTTTTGAATTGGAGTAAATTTCAACATTCTTTCTCTCTTGTATTAATGATTACATAATTAACCTTCAAGAATTATTCGATCATGGTGCCGCTTTTTAATATCCCAGTTAGAAGAAGATGTCTGTGGTCCTCAGTCATCCAGGTCATAGTTATCCAACAAGAGCTGAGTTTTTCTTCAGGGAACTGAAGAAGTCTTCAACCAAGTCCAGTTGCCCTTGACCTCAACCTTCGTTAGAGGAAGTAGCTTTATGTGTAAACTATACTGACCTTCCTGATTTTTGTCAGCTCATTTTGAGTAATAGAAAAAGCCATTTCCACTTATTGTCACAGTCTGTGTGTAACATGATGTAGGTCACAATTTCCTGTATCTCTGGTGTTAAAGCAAGTGGTTGTGCATATGTATGTTTCCAGGTTGGATGCTGCTACTTTCAAATTGAAGCTGATTGCTGTCAGTGACTTTGCCCATATTCATTATCTTTAAAGGAGTAGTTCCACATTTTGAGAAATATGTTTATTTGCATTGCTTTGAGAGTTACATGAAAATATTTCTAAATGTTTTGAAAACTGTAATCTTTGAAAAAATATTACAACATTCTGAAAGATAAGAATATTGTCCACAGACTACAGTCCACAGTAATGGTAATTATTCTTACAGTCAACAGTCATAATTAATCTAACATTTAGACTTACAGTAAGATTAATATGATATGTCAGCCTAAACCCTCTAATACCATTTTGTGTGTGTGTTCGTAGCTACAGACCAGCCATACTATATACATTCTGGGACCAGTGAGGGGGATGAAAGCTACTTCTACTACCTGAACGTGTGTGGAAAGATTCCCACTAAGGAATGTGGTGACGGCGAGTTTATATCATCCTGCCAGGTGAAGAATTCTGGAGACTTGAAGAAGGTGGCTGGAAGATATCAGAACCAGACACTACGGTAATGTGTGAATTAAGGACAAGAAACTTTTAAGTGAGAGTATGTTACTTTTGAAAGCGCAATAGCACAATCATTCGTTTGCCAGGTTGTATGCGTAAGCAATAAAACACACCCTTGCTCAGTCAATATTGATGTTGTTATCTGAGCGTTAGCCCGTGTAATGAAGTCTATAAACAAACAAGGGGAAAAAAATAAACATGTGAGCTGATGAATTTACAGTATAACCTGACACACAAACACTTCCACAAAGCTGTCCACCCAAGCAGAATCAACCTCCATGTGACTTTTAAAAAATCTGTGATGATTTCACAGTTTTTTTTAGATGCACAATGTTTTTGTTGTTAACTCCTTCATCCAGAAACGTTGAGACAGAAACAGCATGTCATTCCCAAAAATCATGAACAGTTCAGGCAGAACATCTTCATTAGCTCATTGCTCACCCTGTGTTTTTATTCTTTTTTTATCTGTAGTTATTCAGATGGAGATCTGACTCTGATCTACCCAGATGGCCAGAGATGCTCCACCGGCTTCCAGAGAATGACCATTATCAACTTTCAGTGCAACCAGACTGCATGTGAGATAGAGATGTTAAAAATAGTTTTCCTGTTTTATTTTAAGCTTTTACATTTTGTTTATTTTGGCACCATCTGGTGGCTGACAGCATGGCACTCTGCTACCATGAGATGTTCTTCCTACTGTAAATGTTGTACATACAACTTGTACCAGATTGTTCCTTTTATTTAAAATGATCGTACAGGTGGAGTCCTGTCATAACTTCGACTTACTTCATGGTTTGCGTCATTTTCTGCAGCTAACGGTGGGCGAGGGACTCCCGTTTTTGTAGGGGAGACAGACTGCACTTATTACTTTGACTGGCAGACGGCCTTCGCCTGCGTCAAAGAGAAGGAAGATCTACTGTGTCGAGTCAGAGATGGCAAAAAACACTATGATCTTTCACCCCTCACAAGATACCCTGGTGAGTTTAACAACTCAGTTCTAACTTAGGGAATCTAACTCCTTTTCCACTGGTGATCACACTACACAGTTTTATTTATTTATTCATTAACAGGGCTTTGAGATTTGTACTTTCACACAGGGCTATACTGATCATTCTGATTTGCAGTACTTATTACTTGCCACTAATTAAAGTACACCTCTGAAATTTGATTATGCATTGATTATTGAATTGGTTAACACTAAATTGGTTGTTTAGAACAGTGGTTCTCAAATTTTTTCACATCAGGGACCGCTATACTGAAATTAGAACCACAGACCCACATCTGATAGGACTTTTGCTTTTAGATGTTTTATTAAGACCCAAGTAGTCCCAAGTAGTCATACATTCTGTCATTGTGTTACTTATAACAAAAATAAATGATTCCCCTTTTTGCAGTTTTCGATAAAAGCGTCAGCTAAATAACTAATTATTATTATTATTCGGCCTGGAAGATATGGCCAAAAATGTTACCACGATAAAAAGTTTCATATCTTTCGATATCGATAATTATCACGGTAAGTATAAAATCTTTATTTCTTTCGATTTTAAAGGCTGATTTTTACTCCTGACTGAAAGTTGAAAAAACCTGATGGTTAATTGTGTTTTCAAGTCTTTCTTTATGGTAAACACTTGAGGCCAAATAGTGGATCAATTTACAAGTCTGAGGTAGAACATTTAAAAAAATTAAGATAAAATCTTTGTCAACAAATTAAGTAAAAGCTTTTTTCGGCTCTTTTTCCTCAACAAAATTAACATCTTAACAAAAAAATAAGTCCTCATTCGTTTTGTGATAATTATTGTTGTTTTATTGTCCGGCCCTAATTATTATTATTGAATACCAGTGCCTTCCTGTAGCCGCCATTACAGCCAGTTTGAAAATTATTTCTGTGGTCTTTCATCTTTGATGTCATAGTGGTTCCTAATTTGGCCTATTTGTCAGTGTAGGCATGTTTCCATCTAACAATATATATCATCTTTCCCATGCATTGTTGTCGCTAAACATTTGTTGCTGAGAAATCACGTTCCTCTGTGTCTCTGTGTGTTGCTTCAGAGTCAGATGTCAGCTCGAACTGGGAGGCGGTGGATGCTAGATCTCAAAAGTCTGACTCGCGTTTCTACCTGAATGTCTGTCACAAAGTCACCCAGACAGGAGGGGCTGCTGGCTGCCCGGTGAATGCCTCCATCTGTGCCGTGGGTAAGAGTTTCCACAGGGATGGGGAGTTTCTAAGGACTAATGGCTTTTTGGAAATTCAGTGATGGAATTATAATGGTTTTGGGAAGTCAAGGAGTTTGCCAAATTAATGATCTAAGGGATAGTTGTAGCCTTCTGTATTCATCATTCATGATCAAGTCAACTATTAAAAACACATTAACTTTACGATGGATGACATTTTCCTTTATCACAATGAACCTGACCAGTGCAGTTTATTGATTGTGTCTCTCTGCTTCAGATAAGGATCATGGGGCCATCAGCCTGGGCAGCTTCCTCTCTTCTCCCCAGAAGACTGAAATAGGAAATGACATCAGACTGGTGTATACTGATGGAAATTTCTGCGCCAATAAAAAGAAGAGGATCCAAACTATCCTGACCCTCAAGTGCAAACCAGGTAGGTTAAATAGAGAGATAAGTAGCCATTAAATATTATTTTATTACTTTATTATATTTTGCTCTGTGCTTTTCTCTCTAATTTCTGTTCAGTCGTGACGTCGTTGCTGCTTTTTTGAGAAATTTTAATCACTCTATTTCCTCCTAAACTTCTTTTGTTTTTGCAGGGTATCTGGAGGGTGCTCCTGTCCTTCGTAGTGTATCGTCTGACAAATGTGTGTACGAGTTAGAGTGGTACACTGCTGCCGCGTGCGTCCTCTCGAAGACGCAGGGAGACGACTGCAAGGTGGAGGACCCTCAGGCTGGTACGACACACAGACACACAAGTTTGATCAATGTGGTTTCTGACTGATCAATATTTTACTTGAACAAGAAAAACACAGCAGCAAAGGAAAGATGAGAAAGAAGAAACAGGGTGCACGGGAAATGTGTATAAGTAGAAAAACTATCTAAGCGCAAAACACATCTCTATCTGCCTCTTAAACCTTGAGAGTATGCAAGGAGAGAGTCGTCATGTTTGTCATTTATGCTTGAAAAGGGCAACTACTCTATTTTAAACCTAATATTGTTATTTTGAGTATCATGACTTACAAAGATGACTAACTAACTCACGTTACCACCGTCAACTCACCTCTCGTGAGAGCTGAAACGAAAAAGGATCTAAGTCTTTGACTGCTCACTCAAATCTATGATTCCTCTTTTGATTTTAGAAACATTTATTACACTCATAGAAAGTTAAGGCCACTGAACTTGCTGTGAGGACGCTTCACCTCTCGTCCAAGAGGCGTCCTCAACTCTACCACCTGGTGGGGAGTTTCGGGCATTTTAAACTGTCGGTCACACCTGTGTGTCACATTGACAGTTGTTGAGCTCACATGTAAAGAGGCTTCTTATGCTGCCATCTAGCTGTTGCTACCTGATCTGTCACATTGCATTTTCCACTCTGTGCTGTTTTACAAAGCCATCGTTCCACCAGACCAAACATAGATGAGAGTGTCCTTTGACGTCATTGACTCTACTTTAATCCTCCTCTATAACTACCCTCTGCCCCACAGAGCTCTCTTTCGACTTGTCGCCTCTCTCCAAAGCTGACGGAGGCTTCTACAACCTGACCAGTGGCAACTATGACTACTACATCAATGTCTGCGGTCCTGTCAAAGCTGCCAGCTGTCCTGAAAAGGCTGGAGCATGCCAGGTCGAAAAGAGGTAAGAAGGACCCATGGACATTAAGAACATATATATGTGTATATATACGCTCGCGTGTGTATGTGTATACATGGGGTGATATTGCACAATCACTGTTCATATGGTCAAATTAAAAGAGTCATCACAGATTATCACCGGTCAGTAGATTCAGTCCAGAGGTATTCATAATGTGCCTAGATTTGCCTGTTTTTTAGGTTTTAATAGGATTTAAAAAAATATAATTTGTGTATCAGTTTCCCTTTTTAATCTGTTCAATTAGTTAATTGTTAAAAATTACATCCAGTTTTTGTTGTTATAATTAATGCTAAATTCCATTGTAAGGGATCTTAGTTGTTTTTTGTTAAATTTGCTATAAAAAGAGTTTTTATAAAAAATTTATGAAAAGTTTTTATATTTTTGTCCTCAGATGTATGGATCTGGATATATGACCTGTGGAGGAAAATGTGTACTTTAATTCTTACTGCCAAGATCAGCTTTGTATTATGCTCTGTCTCATGGAAATTTAAGGCATTGAGCAAGTAACAAGTAACTACTGATAATAGGGAATTTAATTTGAACTAATCTAATCTAATGCTGTAAAATGAGTAATGGGAAATGTGAAGTAAATTGACCCCCACTGCATGGTTTTTCTCTCTGCCACGTCAGTTCTTGGAGTCTCGGGGAAGCAAACTCCCATCTGTCGTACTACGACGGCATGATCCAGCTGACCTACAGTAACGGCTCTCAGTACAACGACCAAAAACACACTCTTAGATCCACACTCATCTCTTTCCTGTGTGACCCAGAAGCCGGAGTGGGAAAGCCCGAATTCCAGGTAATCTTCTCCAGTCCACAGTTTAAACAATAACTGTGTCTCTGCATGTTGTTGATAATACAGTATGTGACTTTACTTATTTATTTCTTTTACAATATACTGTATTTCTACACTTTTTAGACTTTTTCTTTATAGTCTTGGTTGAACTAATGAACTGTTTTTATCTATTCTTGTGAATCCAGGTTGAGGACAAGTACACTTATAACTTCCGCTGGTATACATCCTACGCATGTCCAGTAAGGCCTCATGAATGTTTGGTGACAGACCCCAACACTCTTGAACAGTACGACTTATCCAGGTAATGGAGTGCAATCAGCGTACACAAAACTCTTTACTGTAACCATCCTGCTCACCTCCTCACCTTCTTTTTTACCTTCTTCTGCCTCCAGCTTGTCACGCCCCCCCTCTGGTAGCAACTGGCATGCCATGGATTTCTCTGACAGGAGGAAGTACTACATCAACATATGTCGGCCTATCAATGCTGTACAAGGCTGTGACCGCCATGCATCCGTCTGCCAGATGAAGTACACAGACAGGAAGGTCTGTTACAAGCGAAATTCCCAACGTGAAAAATAGAACTTAACTTAAAAACTAAGCTTATAAACCTTTTCACAAGACATATACAGGGAGAGGGACAGAGAGAGTAAGGGTGTGTTTGAAGGCAAAAGCAAGGTGAACGCTAAAACAAAGTAGTGAATGAACTACTGCTAATAGGGTAATTTATCCTTTTTAGATATTTTCAAATGAAATATACAAATATACTTCATCCCTGTCAGGAACACTTGAGCGTTGTTATACTGCAGTTTATTCTCAGCTGGATTTTATTTTAGCAAAATGCTCTGTCCAGTAGCCTAACCTGGAGCACTTTTTATTTTGAGATGTGTTTGATTGAAAGTAGGTCCTGTAACCTAGTGTAGCTTTGGAGAAAATGTCAAAGTTATTTAACAGTCAATGTTTTATTATGAAAATACAATTGAATGAACCCCAGGAAGATGCTTATGTTGGTGCTAGTTGGGATCCTAATAAAGAAATAGAGGGTGAATTTTTCATTAGAGAAAAGTTGCACAAATGTTTGTGTTTGCTGTCAATTGTAGGAGGTCGTATCAGTCAGTAACATGGGTATTTCTAAGCGAGGGCCGATCATCGAGGAGCGGAACCGGCTGCTGCTGGAGTTCACAGACGGCTCTCTTTGCACGTCAGACGGCCAGAATCTCGCATACACAACACGCGTCCACCTGGTCTGCTCCAGAGGAACTGTGGTGAGTACAGTGGTAATTAACAGCACTGTGCACTTTTTGTTTGCATAAACATTAAAATAATAACTGGCAATAAGGGCGGCTGTGAATCAGGAGGTCGGAGGATCCGGCTCCTCCAGGCTGCATATCGAAGTGTCCTTGGGCAAGATACTGAACCCTGAATTGCCCCTGATAGCTGTTCCATCAGTGTGTAAATGTTGGTTTCAGTTTGAGCACATAGGCTCAGTGTATGTGTGTGGCTGGATGAATGCAATGTAGCGTAAAAGTGCAAGGACTAGAAAGGAGCTATACAAAAACAGAAAAATGAATGTTTGCATGTGTCTGAGATGTGACTCGGTTTGTGTTCCACACTGTGCAGTCAGCGGGCCCGCGGTTCCTGTTGTACCAGAACTGTACTGCCAACTTCATGTGGGAGACCACTGCAGCCTGTGCCATCACCACCACCAAGAACAATGTCAGTTCACTTATATTACATACACACAATACACATTCTTATGTCATCTTATGTTTGATTTATTTATGCACACTGATAAGGCAACAAATTTCAAAAGATGTTAACGTTAGAAAACTGACATGTGTTTGAAATGTTTGGAAATATTTAAAACCTGAGATGATGTCTTTGTTCCTCAGAACTGCTCTGTGGTCGACCCCAACTCTGGCTTTGAGTTCAACCTGCAGCTTTTGGCTTCTAAGACTGGATACAGAACAACGGCAAATGGCAAGGACTTCCTGGTAAGAGAGACAAATGGATAGTCATCTGCCAACTGTAATGTCTGCCAAATGCAGCTCTCATGTTTGAATGTAAATGTGTGATGAAGCCAACAATCAATTGATGTTTACTGAGTGTGAGAGCTGCACACACTGCCAGCTTTTCATGCAGCTCTGATATCACCTGTATTGTTACCAGATGTTGTGGGATTTAATTTTGACTTTTTAAGGGTTTATGAATATAAATTGTATGTATGATGATAATAATGATTATGTTAATTATAGATTTGTCTTTCTTTCTGATAACAGTGCCTAGGACCCAAGTTGACTTGTCTTTGGATGTTTTTTACATAATGTTTATTATAATGTAAGATGAAGAACAGCAGCAAATGTTTACATTTTAGAAAAACATTTCTAAAAGGATTAATTAATCATCAAAATAGTAGCTGATTAACTTTCTTTCAATCATCAAATGGTTTAATTGTTTCAGCTCTAAAGTAATAAATTAAACTTAACTGAAAAATCACATAACACTACAGTATATCCATAAAGCCAGTAATTCCACTGACAGAAGCTTGTTATGTTTTATGTTGAGACTGTCCAGATATGTTTAAGCAAATAACATGACTTTTTCTGCTTTTTGTATCTTATGTACTTTATAAAAATAAAGATCCTTTTTAGGCTTGTGTCAATTAAAGATATGTACAACACTCCCTCAACAAAAATATAATCTCTCTTACTTTCCACCTTGTAGGTGAATATCTGCTCAGACGCGGCAGAATGTGGAGAGGGCATGACTGGCTGTGAGCTGGAAGACAAACATATCTCCAGTCCAGTGGGGGTGGAAAAGACCCTCCAGTACTCCACCGATGGCCTCCTCAAACTAAGATATAAGGGACCCCTGGACAGTCCCACAGGTATCAAGGGTGCAATGCATGTTTTGTGTTCAGTGGTTTCGCTGATCAGCTGTGATAGATTTGAATTTACTGTATTTAATGCGGTTTGCTGCAGTTGCACAATTGATAACGAAATTATCAGTCAGTTGTGTAATGGCCATTACACTGTTAAAGCATTGTTTGTTAGTTAGTTATACTCCTGATTGGGAACGACTCAAAAAGTAATTTAAGGTCAAACTTATTAATTTAAATTTCCTCAATTTTTGTGGAGAGAAATATAAACTAAATGCTATTGTGCATGTTTTTCTTTCTCTTTTCTTTGTGAAAACCATCTCTAAAAAGTGGTCTTTCCCAGGGCAGTGTCTGACTGACATTTGAGAGCCAGTGTCACTTAAAGACTCACTGTCAACTTCAGTGCTGCGCTACTGACTGGAGCGTATCAAATCATCATCATTGGTTGAATACCATTATTGATTTAAGACCCTTTTACATTTGGGAGGATCCATCATGCTGTTAAGTTTGTGTTCCACTCACAATGTGGAAACTTGCAAGCTTGGCTAACTAGCTTTACGGGTGCAGCACCTTCCTTTGCTTTGTATTTCCTGCAGTGTACAAAGAAGGGGATTTAGTCTTTATCTCTTTTTTGAGTCCCGCTGGAATAAACAACCAGATTTTCAAAAAATGACAGCAATGGGTAGTACTGTAGCTTTAGCTGTTTGTCTGTTAGTCCGTGATTCAAGTCACACCCAAAATAGTAATGTGCCCAGTTAACATAGGGAGAGCTTAAATGACCGAGCAAAGGTTATCAGTGTCAGCTTTCAGCTGGTTAACTGCTTGTGTGACCGTTAGAATAGAAGTAATTAATGAACTATTGTAAGTGCCCGCCTACACAGAAGTAAAATTACAGTGCTGGTATCATGTGGGGAGCGCTATCATGGCAGTAACAAACTTGTTTTTGGTAATAACAATTTTGAGCAAATATGTACCAGTCAAAACAGAGGATGTACAGTATATATTGACATCTTAACAAAAGTTTCTTTTAATTTTAATTAGGCTTTAAAGATCTTAACATTTTCCTGACTGTGCACTTTATTCCATATTTTTCATCAGCATCTCGGGACACCTTCACCATTAATTTCGTGTGTGATCCACACTCTAACCCTGGTTCACTGAAACTGCTGCAAGAGGAGTTGAGTTCTTTACCTCACCATGTGGTCCACGATGTCCTCTTTGAGTTCTCCACTGCTCTGGTCTGCGTCCCGGCTCCAGTTGACTGCCAGATCAGTGGTATTGATCACACGAACACACACAAACAAACAAACCTTTTATATGTATGGGAAAATATAAGCAGTGAACGGTGAAGAATTCAGTTTCCTGAGTGTGTAATTATACTTTTCTACCTCTAGATTCCCATGGTAATGAATATGACCTGAGTCACCTGATCCGGGATGCGGATGACAGCCCCTGGATCGCCATAGATACAGATGTGGTCAAATCACACAGGTTTTACATCAACATCTGCAAACCGCTCCCCCCTGTGAAAGAGTGCCCAGGTTAGTATACTTGTCCATGTTTCTTCACTAAATTCACCTTCCTACACAGAAATGTAAGTGTAAATTATGATGTTTAGTCTGACATATGATATAAATAATAAATAGATAAAAATATGGGACGTTAAACAGAGAGGGAGTAAGAGTTTACTCAAGTTGAATAAAGTTCTGTGGCAAACTATTAATATTTGAACAAGGACTTGGGCAATGAAGAACATTGTTATCAAGTGAAATTGCATAGTGACTGTATGATCGTATACATTATATACAGTATTTATATCTTTGATTGCTGGGCAGATAAAACATCAGATAGACATCCCTTTGGGCTTTTTTTTACTATGTGATAGCCTCATACACGTGTTGAGTTTACATTACATTTACATTTATTCTTTTAGCTGACGCTTTTATCCAAAGCGACTTAAAATTGCTATACATGTCGGAGGTTTGCACGCCTCTGGAGCAACTAGGGGTTAAGTGTCTTGCTCAGGGACACATTGGTGGATGGGTCACAGTGGGGGATTGAACACAACAATGGAACAGTTTACTGCTGCACTAAGCACCAGTTTAATCATTTTTTATTTTTATTTTTACATACCGTCGTCATACTGTCATATGTTTCAATATCATAAACTACTAACTCATGCTGACTTTATGTGACGATGCTCCAAAGATTAGTGGACACTTTACAAAACAACAACTAACAGTTTCTCAAATCAAAAAGTCCGATTGCAATAAAATCAATGGAATTATTGTATTCCTGTCGGATTTTAGTTAAATACGTTCTTTTTCTCTCTGCAGTGGGTCCTTTGGGTGCTTGTGGCCTGATTGATGGAAAGGGTTACAACCTGGGATACGTTCAGTCTAGCCCACAGGTGGCGGAGGACGGCTCCATCAGCATCGTGTACCAGAACGGAGAACAGTGTGGTTCCACCGCATCCCACTACTCAACACGCATCATCCTCGTGTGTGATGACAACCCAGTGAGTATTAGAGCTCCCACTTTGCCCACCCTCTCTGAACTGATGCCCAATGTTCAGGGCTTGCTGCATTAAGTTAGTTACCATAAACTAATCAAGTCAGACCATCACAAGATGATTGTCAGTGGTCTTAGTGATGATACAGCAGCCACAGTTAAGCATTGATTCTTAGCTCAATTTGCAAAAAGTCTTCATACCAATTTCTCTTAAGCTTATTATTTGCATAAATTGCTAGGTGAGAGGACAAGTGTTCCCAGCCATATAGCAAGACATCTAACTAACCAGTGGCATCACTGATGATGTAGCGCTTACATTTTTTGTGTGTGTTTCTAGGGCTCCCCCATGTTTGATCGTAAAGATGGTTGTGAATATGTTTTCATCTGGAGGACATCTGAGGCCTGCCCTATCAGGAAGTCTCAAGGTAAAAATTAATTATAGATACCAATTTTTTAGAATTAAAACTGCTGCTGTTGGATAATTTGTGCAAACAAAGACTGATATTTCAAAAGGGAGTTTGGAATTTCATCAATTTGAACTACAACAAACAACTGCTGTTTCAGAGGCCATAATTTTTAAGAGGAGGGCAACACTAACTTCCCATGTTGATTTAACTGTGATGAAGTACAGACAAGAATATGTAACTCTTTGGTCATTGTCCATTCTTTTCTTCCCAGGTGATGACTGTCGGGTTCGTGACCCCAGGAGTGGCTACGAGTTCAATCTGAGCTCTCTGAAGGGTAAAGTTTACCCTGTCCAGAGTGATAAGTACACGTACCACCTGTCGATCTGCGAAGGGCTCCAGAAAGACGTCTGCACCCACAAAGAAACGGCCGTCTCCTCCTGCCAGGTGGAGGGCAACAACCACAAGATCGCAGGTACGAAATCGCAAAAAACATTCTCATGTTTATACTACACTGTTTGTAAGAATTTGTGTCATTATTCTTGTATTTACCCCTTTTTGTGTGTGTGTTTACACGTGTATGTGTGCAGGAATGGCAAACCAGCTTCTGAGTTATGTGGGAGACCAGCTCATTCTGAACTACACTAATGGAGACACCTGTCATAAGATTTACAAAAGATCAACTGCAATCTACTTCTCCTGCCACCCTGACAGGCATCCTGTGAGTTACATACAAAACCAGTTCAGCTGATCCCACAGTTCTTAAAAAGGGTTTAATGGCTTGTAAAAGACCATGCAATAAACTCTGGCAAGGTTGATTGGTGACTTAGACCGCAAGATAAATTTGGTCATCAGCCAACTCACTCGAAAAATTACATTTTAGTGGTTTGTTTCCATTTAAACACATCGGACAGACTTGACTAGTAGACACACATCTGACTGACTGAAGAGCAGCCTGAATGAAATCCAGGCAGCAGGGAGTTGTTTTGTTTGCTTTGTTGTAATTATTATTGATTATTCAATAATGACAGTTCTTTTGATGTTTCTTTTTCTAAAGCACAGAAATGCATCTTAGCTCTTGTGAGGGTAATCACAAGATTGTATAATTTTGTATTGTGTTGATTCACTTCTTAAGGGGCAACCAGAGTTTATCAAGGAGACTCCAGACTGTACCTACCTGTTCAGCTGGCCCACCGCTCTGGCCTGCATCTCAGTCAAAACCACCAGCTGCTCCTACAAGTAATAATCCTCTACCACCTCCTATATGTCATCCTCCTCTTGCTGGTGCTCGTCTTTTTTATCACCCGTCTTATGTATTTAAGTCCTCCAGGTGTTTTTAATTTCCTTTTCCTTGAAGTGTACACTTAAGCGGTCTTATAATTATCGATAATATAAGGCCGCTGTTATCTAACATCTTTGTGTTAGATAATTGGTTGGAACTAGTGAGATAGCATTACGCAGAATAGCTTACATGTATTACATGGATTTAATCAAATAACAGCAACACTGTTTTGTTAAACAACAAAAGTACAAGTAATATGACAGACACACAGCAACAGTTAGTTTGTTATTAATACATGTGTGCAAAATACAAGTTAAATGTCAGGCAATAATGTGGTAAAAATCTGTTACTGGTATCAGGGCTGACATCATAATTACACCTAATTTACTATGTGGGCAGTTTATTGATTATTGAATTGTGTGTTTTCATTTATTTTGGCAATAGAGACGCCGTTTTCGTTAATTGTGGCAATGACTGATTCTCTTTGTATTTCTGAAAACCTTTGTTGTAATTGGAGGCCACACATTTCCCCATTCTTATGTGCTTTCCTTAAGTGTGACAACATCTTACAGGAAAGTTTTCAAGGATCCATCTAGTAAAAAAGCAATACAGGAACAAAGATGTTTTTACAGTGTTTTGCCAAAAATAATGTGTCTAGGATTTGATTTGAAGTTATTTCTGCTCATCTCCCCGGGTGATTGTAGACATTTGGAAGAAGTGTATTGTTAAGTAATGAATAGGACAGTTACTTATAAATCAGTATTTTTGAGATGTCTTTATCTTCACCAAGCATCCCATGGTTACACTGAAAGTAAATTAAAAATACCTGTATCTGAACAGCAATGAGAAACGTAATAACAAACATTAAAACATACATAACAGAAATAATTCAGTTACTATAGTAGAATTATTAGCTGTTCAGAAGTATGTACAGACCTTGAACACATATGACACTGAATCCTCACCCTCTGTACGTCTGTTCTGCCCTCAGTGATGGTCAGGGCCAGTCGTACGACCTCTCCCCTCTGGCTTTGGACTCTCGAAACTGGGAGGTGGAACCGTCTACAGAGGACACAAAGAAACAGTATTATATTAACGTCTGCAGGTCGCTGGTGCAGCCGGGAGGTCAGTCTGCATGCTTGTACACGTGTTCTTAATATAATAAAGCATACATTAATATTGCATCATCCAATTTTGGTTTGTTTATTAGTATTCAAGTTTACATCCTTGAAAATAAATCGACAATCCAAAACTGACACTCTGCTCACCTTGTGACAGGTTCATGGAAGTGTCCCTCCAGTTCAGCGTCCTGTGTGAAGGTTGGAGCTGATGAATATGTGAGTCTGGGGCAGGTGGAGTCTGGTCCTACATGGGACAGAGGTGTCCTGAAGCTGCAGTACACCAGCGGCCAGGCCTGTTCTGATGGAATCCGCAACAGGAGCAGCATCATCCGCTTCAAGTGTGACAAAGACAAAGTGGTGAGTGATGCACAAAACAGCCTGAAGAGATCCTGCTTTCAGGGATGTCATTCGGTAAAACTCGCGGTTAAACTTAACTCACCCTGCAAAACAATCACGGTAGTTTCACGCTCAGTATGTTGTATTGGTCTAAATTATATATTTAAATCAAAAATCACCTAAACATAGAGTAAGAAAAAGGTCTTTAGTAAGCTACGCAGTAGGTACGATAGCCTGTCAACATCAGTAGTGTAACAAAACACATCTCTTAGGGAGAGAGTAACTTGCACTTAAAATGGAATCTGGACAATAAAACACGCTTCAGAAAACTTGTGTCTTCTCAGATTGTCTCTTTTCTGCATAGTGAGGAGATTAGAGAACATTAAAATATTGGCTTTGGGCTGCTCCCAGAACCTTTTGAGGAACTACTGTAGTCTGTGTTCCCGGTGTAGTACTCATTGGTCAAACTCTGAACCCACAGCAACTATAACTCGTGTACCGTTTCATTCACAAAACAAGCAAGTGCAAAAGGCATTTGAGATCATGAGTGTAGCTTCAGGCCGCTTTTCAAAAAGGGTTTATAGTTTCACTCAAGCCAAAATATCTGGCCAGTGTGGGACTCAGTTACAGATTAACCTTTAGCATATACACTGTATTTGACCTTTTGTTTTGTTAAGGGAAATGTAGTGAGGACAGGTGTTTACTTAAATAAAAATCTAAATGGGAAAACATATGTGTTCCTGTCTCCCATCCAGGACTCCCGGCCTACTCTGATCTCTGCCATTGAGGACTGTGTGTACACCTTCCTGTGGTTAACAGCTGCTGCCTGCCCTCTGAACAACACCCAACACGACAACTGCAGGGTCACCAACCCTGCTACAGGTCCGACATTCAAACAAATCAGCAGTTCTGTACACATTGTATATACACACCTGTTACTAGCATGCCCTTATCAGTTTACTGTCTGGTGACAATAGGAACTGAAAAAATGATGGACTTAAAACACATGTCGTACATGAATACAGTAATACATTTCTATAAATTTCTTACTTTCATTTCCATTTTCCCAGGTCATTTGTTTGATCTCAGCTCCCTGACAAAAGAAGGAGGTTACACTGTGTACGATCCGCAGGAAAACAGGAAGATGTACCGCATGAACATCTGTGGAAATATGACCAATGCTGGATGCAGCCCTGGAACTGGTACGTACATCCATCCAGGGGCTTTTATGTAGCCACTGATTCAAACAAAAAAAAACACTCCTCCGTCATGCTGTGCTAGAACAGCAAGGTAGGTGAAATTATGCTTGCATTAGTTTAATTGCACGAATTGCAAAGTCGGCATTGAAATACGGCTTGTATTCTGTTTGCTGCGATATCTGGTTATATTTCTTTATGAATCAGTTTTATATTTTATAAATTATCACATTTCAATGAACAAGAACTGTAAAAGCTGACTCTTCTGAGTACTTTAAATATCTCGATAAAGGCATTGTTGCCAGGACACAATAGACTTGCAAAGCTAGCAGACAGTTTCTCTTTAGTCACTCAAAGGCTCAAAGGTCAATTGCTTACATTATAAGCATCTTCAGTGTGCACACACAAAAATCACTTAGTAGGCAATCAGATCAGCCTTTAACCAGGTAGAACTGTAGATGACACAACAATACCATCTAAACTCCTCCCTGTAGTTCACTGATTGGTCCAGCTTCCAGCTCAGTTAATGGTTTCACATGCTTGTGCCTCATGGTGTAAAGTCATGAGATTTAGGCAGACTGTTGCAGGGTATAAATATATATAGCCACTGTATATGCATAGGTGCCATTGACGCTGGGGACATGTACCCAACCTCTCTGTGAAATGGATGATTTTGTCCCCACCACTTTTTGAAAGTATTTGTTAACACGGTTCTGAAAAATAGCTTGCAACAAGAAATGTTAAAAAACAAATGAAAATTATTTTAGAAAGGTTTATTTACACGATAAGAAAACATGCAATGCAATGTAAATATCTAAGAAACAAATGTCCAAGAATTTGTGTTTTCCTTTTAGATAAACCATTCAACCATAAATTAGTGGGGAAAATGTCTCCAGAATTGTACATTGTCACGTTTCGTGAGCTAATTGTATCACTGCACCCCTAATCTGAGCCCTTAAATGTTCCCACCACTTTTCAGCACAAAGTGACACCCTTGTGTATATGCATGTGGGGAAATGACATTTGTTTGCAATTGGTTATTCGATGTAGATGCAGATGTTTATAAATAGATCATATATATTGGTCTTACCCGGTAGACCATTTTGTATGTACATAAAGACGATACTTGCAGTGGAGCAGATGTTTTAATACCTGTGCAAAACTGCTAAAAAGTAAAGAAAATAATGTTTTTGTGTACATAATAAATCATTCCAAAAAATAACCAACTCTACCTGGAGAAAATAACTGTCTGAGATAAGTTCTTCAGTTTTTACAGCTCCTGCAAGCTGCTTAATCTCTGTTTTAAGAAGTTAACACTGAAACACCAGAACTTTGTGACATTTTCTGTTTTTTTTTTTATTTCCTCGTAGAAATACATAGCAGATTATCTCTCCTGGTTACTGTTTAGTCTTGCTCAGACATTTGTATGCTTTATGTAACACTGATGACACTGTTTGTTAACTGCAGCAAAGAGAACATAATGAGAGACCTGAAATTCCAGTACTTCTCAAATTATTGACTGCTCTTTCACTAGGGCTGTAGTAGATATTGCAGAGTAACCTGGAAGGCACTGAGAGAGCACATACCTTGGCCAAGGCTGCACAATATGTCTGAATTTGTAATTAAAATGATGGAAATGTTTAATATCAATTAAAATACACAGTTATGGACAGTTGCGGGATGTGAGTGCAGGAGTACATGAGAGAACATGTTTTGCTAAATTGAAAAACACAAGTGTGAATCTAATCACTTGATCATTTCACCAAATGAATCTGAAATCTATGAGAAATACTAACTAACAAAAAAATAAAAACATCACCTCTTTGGTTGAGTTACTAAAAATTCACTTTTAATTGTTTAAATTAAAAGTATATTATAAGTTAAAATTATTGATTTTATTTTTCTGGATTGCAAGAGACGGCGAACGAGTAATCTCTACATACAGCTGCTGGAAGAGAAGTTATTTGACAAACGAATATAAACAGCAGATGGACAAATTTAACATTAACATAACACTGTGCAATTACATTTGATCAATTTGTCTTTGGCACATACAACTCAATTTGTGCAGTTAGGTACTTCAGTTATGTTCTAAAACATTCTCAAATATCTGTATGGATTTTGTGTTATAGCTGTGTGTATTAAGGATACAACTACTGCGGTGAGCGGTGGTCAGGTGAGCAAGAAACTCTCATACAAGGATCACGTTCTGGAGCTTACTTATGATGGAGGAAGTCCCTGCCCAGCAAACCCCAACCTCAAACACAAAACCATCATCCAATTCATCTGCAGGTAATTCTCCTCTCTTTCCTGTGCTTTTGTTTGATTTTTATCCATATTTTTTTATTTCATGCTGTTTCCAATTATGTTTTCTTCAACTCCTTTTGTGTATGAAATGCAGTACAATAAATAAATAAACTGTACTGTATGGAGATGATGGGTCTAAGTGATTGTGTGGGTGTCTAACTAACCAAGACTTCTGAAATAATTTTAGCCCTTTAACAACTTCATGGACTATTACGGTACAAATTACATATATTTTAAAAGTGACAAGAATTTTTCTTTCTGCTTTAATTATATTTTTCTTTGCTGATTTTCTTTTCTTTTGTTCACTCACTTTGAATTTTGTTAATTGATAAAGATAATCTATTAACATGTCTATTTTTTGAAAGCATTCTTACTTCACATATTTGAACACATGCCTAAAATGTTTGCATAGTAATATAGATATTTAAGCTATGTTCTGAATAGTTTTCATTGTGTTTGTATAGGCCACCTAACATGGGTTCAGCCCCTCCAGAGCCAGTTCTCAGTGACTCAAACACTGAGACTTGCACGCATATAATGTCTTTCCACACACCCCTGGTCTGCGAACAGCCAGTAAGTATGTTTTGTGTATTTATCAGTGTGATAAGAGAACAGTGACTCTCAGTATAAGTACATTTTTATCAAATTCAAATTTTGGGAAGCTTTTAGTTAGAGAAGGTTGTCCAATCCAATAATAATAAAAAATACTGAAAAGGAATGTGCTTCATTAGTTAATTGAATCAAACCTTTATATACCTCAGAATTAATGAAGAAAACTGTCTGTATGGTCAGAATAGGTGAATGACACATGCATCTAAACACAGTCATATAGATGTTAATATCAGGGCCTTTATTCAGGTGATATTGGCATTTTTGTGACAGCAAATACATAAAGGATATTGTAAAGAATTGCAACTATATTACAAAGTTATTTCCTCATATTCATGTGGAAAATGTGGAGCATTCCTTCACAAATTAGCACCAAATTGGCTATTTCACAGAGCAAATTGAATTTCAGTTGAGTGTAGTCTGCAGGTGGACTACATTCAGCTTCTAGAGACTTGTCAAGGATAATCAAATAGACAGGAATGAAGCATTAAATTCTGTGGTGCAGTAGAAGCGTGGGATTGTCTCAAACTCACTTGCTGAAAAAAAAAAAAGATTATTAAAACTCACTGTTTAGAAGACCAAAAGATGAAAATATTGAAAGAACACTTTCTATAGCCATTGTACAGTGTAAAATGGTTGGATTGTGGCTTTCTGAAGGCTAAAAACTCTTGTTTTATTGTATTACTGTTCAGTGTTTTGTGAATAGAGTCTGGTTTTAGGCTCTACATGTAGTACTGACATTTCTTTTTTTCTCCAGGTAAGGTGTTCAGTCCAGAACGGCTCTGCTTTAATAGACCTGACTCCTCTGATTCATGTCAGTGGATACTACACAGCAACAGGTCAGTGTGCCAAGGTTTCACATGTGAACACTTAAATACACAAATCAGGAGGAAATGTACAAAAAAAAATTATAGGTATCCACAGATTTATTTAATGTTGTCCTTTCAGATGAGGCAGTGGACCAAAGTGATGGATCGCCAGACTTCTACATCAACGTCTGTCAGGCTCTGAACCCCATCCCTGGGGTCAACTGCCCCGCTGGAGCTGCCGTCTGTATGGACCCTGATAATGGATCTCCTGTGGTAAGACCCTCACAAACACACAGTGTTTTGACCATTGTTTTATGCATTATGATGACAACATGTAGAAACATTCAATGAGCTATTGTAGTGCCTGCTTTTACTTGACATCTTGATTTACTCTCAGCTATTATTATAATAGCGGACAGTCTTTTACTTGCTGCATGTTGAGAGATGAAATATGTGTTTGGTGGCTTAAATTATGTCTTGAAATGCACCTCGGGGTGCCCCAAAATGCATATAATTTAAAATAAATATAATTTAATTACAAGATCAATGGATTTGCAACGCAGGAAAATGCCATTTTTTTTGATTGGCTGGCAGGTAAAATAAATATACAATAGAAAACAATACAACATAGCATAAATATTTTCTTACTTAAAGTTACCATTTGTGACTCTAGCTGTAGCGCAAGCATGTCTTTGACAGGCGGAAGGAGAAGTACTTCCTATCAACCGAGTATAATTAGACCATCCTGGTGACAGTAAGATACTTATGATAAAACGCACTCTCACTCCAAATGACGTGTGTGTTTAGATATCGATCTTTTTATGAGTATCGATCCTAGAGCAGGAAACGTTGGTATCAGAAATATCAATACTTAGGTGTCGATCTTCACATCACTAGTGTTTACAACTATGATGAAGCGGGACTATCCTTCTGAAGTGAATCTCTCTTTCTGTCTGTCCTGCTAACCAGCTAAGCGGCACATCTCTTATCTGTCTGTGTCTTGGTTGCTTGTCAGACTGTGAATGAACAATATTAAAGTGAAACACAGCTATTTATTACGTTTGATAAGCGCCGACGGGCCACGGTGTTACAAACTATAGCTCGGATAAGATAACCGCGTTGTGGTGTCCTCAATGTCCGAGACCGAGACAAGGCCGAGGACAAATGCGGTCGAGTCCAAGACGAGACCAAGACCATCTTATCCACCCAACTTATAATGCTGTATTCAAACCTGTCTACATTTTAAGATTAATAGATTTTAATGTGTACTACTTTTTACTTTATTACTTATAAAGTACTTATAAGTTACTTATAAAGTAATAAAGTATTTTTAAAACCAGGTACTTTTTTACTTTTACTTGAGTAGGTTTATACTGGATGACTTTTATTTTTACTTGAGTAACATTTTTTGTGTGGTATCTGTACTTTTACTTAAGTATTAAAATTGAGTACTTCTTCCACCACTGCATAAGAGTAGCAATATTACATGAATAAAATATATAATAGCAATAATGATAAATTGCAGTTGAATGATAAGGATTTCAATAATGAAAAATAGAAAATTAACAAACCTAGTAATAATAATGGATAATAAAACAATAAAAAATAAAGTAGAAATAAAGTAAGTACACAAGTTATTAATGGAAATATTTTAAGTTTTGGGCCAAGCTTTCCACGGCTGGCTATTTTTGAACAATTTTACATGTTTTAATTTTAAAATTTTTAATTTACACTTTGAATTTGAACAGGGGATCTTCTTCTTTCCAGTTCCTTTTATTCTTCTATCCAAAAAAAATAAATAGAAATTAAGATTAGTATCCAAGGAGGACTTTTAGCTTTGAACACCAGGTCATATTTAGGAAATCCTTACATTTTGGGGAAATATAATTTATTAAAGTGACTAATCCTCTGAGGTATATGATAAATTCTGAGAATGTGCACTAACTGAAACAGGTCCTGACAAGCGTTTGTCTCCAATCTGAGTTCAGGTTTTTCTAGATTTCCTAATGTGGCCATATTTGATTATGTATTTTTTTGTCTATTTTTCAGTGCGTCTCTTTTTAATATTTGTTCATTTTCTCTCTTTAATTCTCTCTCTTTCTGTCTCTTGAAGGACATTGGGAGAACTACCAGCGGCCCTGAGATCAATAAGGCAACAGGGGAAGTGTCCATCACTTACAACAGCTCCACAAAGTGTGCGGCTAATCCTGCACAGAACTACACTTCAACCATCATCTTTACCTGCCAGAGAGGCCTGGAGCTGGTCAGTCAGCACTGTCATGCCCTTAATGATAAGAATACTTACATGTGCACTGTTTCTGTGCTTCTCTAAGGACTTTTTTCACCCTGCTGCCTTATTGAACAAAGCAGTAACCTTTATTTTTGTATCCAGGGCTCTCCGCAAATGCTGAGGCTGCAGGAATGTGTTTATTTGTTTGAGTGGGCAACCCCTATAGTCTGTTCAGATGCCACCCACACCAGTGGCTGCCAGCTCACAGACTCTCAGCTCCAGTTCACCTTTAACCTGTCGGCCCTCTCCGGGGAAGTCCAGGTGAGCTCCATAGACTTGTTGTCTGTCCACCAAGATTACATCCCCGTGATTTTGAGCACTTTTTAACTAGAGGTTTATGTGAATATTCCCTTCATCTTGTTAAATCTATATTTTCCTGTTTTATATTTCACTATAAATATAATATTTATGTCTGTCGAGGTATAGCTTGTACAGGAATATATTAAATCCAGTTAGACTGTGGGTCTGCCCTTCTGGGCTACCAGTTACAAATTGTATTAATGGTCAGTCTCTGTATGTTAGGTACCAGCGGGTTCCAGCATCTACCACATCAATGTCTGCGGGTCAGTGGCAGAGCCGGCCTGTAAGAAAAGCACAGTTTGCCGGGTGTCCGGTTCTGGTTCAGACAAGTCAGCTTCATCATTTGGCATCAGCAAGGCCATGACTATGACCTTCAAACATGATGAGCAGGCTGTATTGATGCAGTATGGTGGAGGGGATCCCTGCCCACCAGGTAAGTCAGCTGTACTTAGACAGATTCAGGCTTTGGCTTAGACAGTGATTCTTCATACTTGAATAACTGACGTTAGCTGGATTTGATTGTTGATTATTTTACAAAAGCCTGGACTTTTCAGTTTTTTAAAGCTGCCTAATGTAGATCTTGAGCTGACAAGGCAACATGTCATAAGATAAAACCTGCAAAAGTGCAACTTATTTGCAGTCATCTGCATCATGACCCCATAGGGTGAACCATATATTAACTAATTTTCAGATAAAGATGACTTCTTTTTGCCAGAATGATGTAAAACGTGACCATATTTGGACGAGACGGTGGAGCTAAAGGCCGTGTGTGGAGCTAGCCAGATTGCTTACCTAGGTGCATCTGTAATTCACGTTAACTGTCATTTAATTTGTCCAGCGAACAACAGCCTTAAAACTAAATGTACTCACCAGAGAAAGTGAACAGCCAACTCCTAATAAGCTTTTTCAACGGCGCTGGCTAAATTTACACTGTGCCCTCGGTGGGAGTCACTCTCTCCGGATTGACAGGTCGCCATGGTAACAACTTGTCAATCATAGATAATCCCGTCCTGAAGCATACTCTGCTTTATGGTCTATTTCCTTCTAAATGGGACCTTAATTTACTAAATGAGCAGTTTGTATTTAAGAAGACGTAAAACTAGTGACGGAGACCATAAACTCATCAGGAAAGTTTTTATTGGGGTAATTATTCAGCTGAGAAGTAGGGTCATTTTAGCATTATTTCTAATGGAGCCGGACTTCTTTTTGCAACCAGAAGAGTCGCCCCCTGCTGGCCGTTCAATAGAATGCAGGTTTAAGGGACTTCGCGTTTGCATCAGTTTGCAGACCAGAAGCTTCCTGCTTGATTTGAAGAACAGAGCCCAGGTTACCTCCTGCTTTTAAATACGAATATAGCGATATTCAACCTAGATTTAAGAAGATAAAGGATTAAATCTAATTCTTTGTTCTGGTCAGAGTTGTAGGTTAGCATAAATAAGTTGAATGTTTTTGTTATTATTTTTGCAGTCAGGAACAAAATGTAGCATAATAATTATATTAGATCATATTTTTTGGAAAGCAACTGAACAAGTACTTTATGTGTTCTAGTGACCAGTGACGGCCAGGTGTGTGTGTTCCCCTTCACTCACATGAAGAAGTCATATACAGAGTGCACCACAGACGACAGGACAGATGGCAAGAAGTGGTGTTCCACCACTGCAAGCTATGACACGGACAAGAAGTGGGGATTCTGCAATGAAGGTGATGGCTTTTTTTGGCAGTATCAATGAAGCACATGAATAGACAGGCAGGAGATGTGATGTCCACTTACATGCAACTGAGATCACTGCCATTAGTCATGCTTTGAAAAGTTGATGTTTTGGGATTGTAGACCAGAGCTGTGAAATGGAGAACAGGCAGACAAGAAAGGAAAGAGTGATAATGAATGAAATAAGTGATGTTCAAAGTTGGCGGCTCCATTTTTTTACATTAAATTACTCAGTTACCTCAAAGTACCAGGATGCATTTGTGACACTAAAGCATTTTCTCTTTTGTTTTATTCTGCCCACATGTATTTTATCATAATTAGTGGATCTCAGTTCTCCAAACATGTTCTCTAGCTGTCTGGTTCCCCCTTACACTTAGGGATTGCTTGGCTATAAAGGGTCTCAAGCCAATCTGCAACCCCTTGTCAAAGGCTGTAAACAGTACAGCACTTGAACAGAAGGTGCTGAGCTTGGATGCACTTTCCTCAGCACAACAAATCTGTTTTTGATTGAAATTAAAATGCCGTCAATGCAGCTGTTGGTTTCCGTTTGATTTTCATACTTTGCTAAAATAGTTTACAGTGCCTTGAAAGTTCCCTCAGTCAGGTCATCCATCGCAGTGAACGGCATGTCTTCTTTTACTTTTGTCACATTTAGACTACATTATTGTTGAGTGGTAATGTAGTTAAAAGCAGACAATTGATGTTGTGGTCAGGAATCTGAAAACCTATGACAGTTGGTTGAACATTTACCTTAACATTTACCACCCTGAAATATCTACGTGGAGAACACTATTACCATTACCAAAAAATGGTGATTTGTTACTTCATCTGTAGGATGTTAGGTTATTGTTATTTTATTTCTTCTTTACAGTTTAAAAACGCTTTGTTGTTTTGCATGATGTCACCTCAGTCATTACTTCTCTCTTTTCTGAAAACCATCCTGCCTTTTTCTCTCTCTCTTCCAGCCTCTGGTAAGCGTCAGTCCATCATGTTGTTTACCTGCGACCAGTCCGCAGGCCACGGCACTCCACAGCTGCTGTCAGAGACGGCAGGTTGTTCAGCCACTTTTCAGTGGAGGACCGATGCTGTTTGTCCACCGAGGAAGATGCAGTGTAAACTGGTTAGCCAGCACCAAACCTTCAACCTCCGAACCCTGTCCTCCCTCACTGAGCCGTGGAAGTTTAGCCACCAAGGAGATTCGTAAGTCTCTGTCTTTAGTCGTGAATGTGTCCCTTTTCCTCCACAAAATTATTAGAAAGAAATTAAGTGCTAATCCGTTTGTGATTCAAATTATTTAAAATGGTAAATGTCACTTTTGTTGTGTTGCCCGTCCCTAATTCAAATATAAAGCTGATGATACACGGAGCAACTTTTAGAGCAATAGTGCTGGGCAATGTTGCTGTCAATGGTAATGAGTAAAGATTACTACCGTAATCGCCTTCTCCCGCCACTCCGCCACCCTCCCCGCACCGCCGCTATCTGTTCAAAACACAGTCAGACTTGCTACCAGCAAGATTGCCCAGCAACGTTGCTAAAAAGTTGCCCCGTGTATCATCAGCTTAAGACTCTTTCCTGTTTTTGTGTCGTCAGGTATTTCATCAACCTGTGTCAGGGTATCCACGGTGGATTACCAGGTTGTCCAGAAGACGCAACTGTGTGCCGACGCTCAGCAGCCGGAAAGACCCAGACCCTGGGCCGTGTTTATACTCAGAAAATGAGCTACACTGGTGGGAAATCTAGTCACATATATTTCAGTACACTTCCTGCAGGCATTAATGATACAATCTTGAAGTTTCTAGTATCCTACATTTGTAAATATTTTACCACTTTATTGCCATTAGAATTTATTTATAACTGTTAGCAAGGCATTTTTTCTGAATCGGATATTTTACTACTATTGTACCAAGACAATGTAATTGAAAACAGTGCCGGCTTTGAGGTAAATCTATGTGTAGAGAAAATTGTAGCCTTTATGTGAGCTTTTCTTTTCTGTTTCTATTGACTCTTAACAGCTGTGTTTTGATTTTGTGAATAAGAAAAGTTCATGACCACAGTATCAAACTTCTCTTGCAGATGGAAAGATCTCTGTGAGTTACTCAGCGGGGGATGATGTTTGTGGTAACGGCGTGAAGGCCAAGACTGTGATCCAGCTGAGCTGTGGCTCCACAGTTGGACACCCAGCACTCATCAGGTGACACACATACTACAATAAAATCCTTTTTATTAAGTTTTTAATTTCCAACCAAACTTGCAAGATAGTAGAGTTGGGTATATGGAGCAAAACTGAAACAACTCAGAATATAATAAGGTTTTTTAACGTGTTCAATCTGCTTCATTTGCACTGTTGGTTATGGTATCGTTAATTACTCAACGTGATGTTGCAATTGACAGTAAACCACATTCTAAAGTAACACTCATTTACTCTTTGGTTCAGCATTTATAACTGCCAGTTAATGACAGAACAGAGTGTTTGTCTTTAAAGTTAAATTTTCTCTGTTACAGCGTCATTTGAGATGCAAAACCTTTCTCAGTAGACTTACTGTTATTCACAGTCATGAAGCAGTCATGTTGTTGGCATTTGATACAAATACTTTATATTAAAGACCTTAAAAAGTGTGAAATTGTCTTTTCTCAGCTTTCTTTTTTGTTAAACCTTTTATTGATCTGTAACTCCATGTTTAGATTGATTCAAAAGCAACATTTACTTTGTCTTTTTTTCATAAACTGAGCTCAGCTAGTTAAATTGGTCCTAGAAGTGTTAAATATGGCTTTATAAACTGATTAATCTGCAGCTGTGTAGGAGTCTCTCATCTCTCTGTGTCTGTGTGAGCAGAGTCGATGAGGCATCATGTGAGTTTGTGATTGGCTGGGAGACTCGGTCGGCCTGTGCGGTGAAGCAGCATGAGGTGGAGATTGTGAATGGGATGATACAGGTTCCTGACACTGGAGCCAGCCTCAATCTGGGAGAACTCTACTTCAGGTAACACTCAAACAACCTCCCCCTGTGTCTTTATCCAGCTCCCAGTACACTCTTCTTCATGTAACTAACAGGTATCTCACCTTGCTGTATAAATGAAATAGACTTAATTATAAAAGTCTAGCGGACTTCTCCATTTTATTTTCTACCTGTGTTGGTCTTTTTAACTATGTTTTTCCCTCCTCCTCTCAGCCACCATCTGGCATCTGGAGACATCCGTCCCAACGGCGACCGCTACATCTACCACATCCAATTATCCGGCATCACCAACAACTCCCTGACCAACTGTCTTGGTGCCAACATCTGCCAGGTCAAACTCAACGCGCCCTACAGACGCAGGATTGGCTCCTCCAGCAAGGCCAAGTACTACATTAAAGGTAATGTATTGCTTAGTTTAGCGTCTCATTTATAACTATAAAAAAGTGATTGTTTTTGCTGCCATATGTTGCCCCCTATCTCCCTGTCTTTACTCATAAACAAATTGTTTATGAATCACAGCTAAAAAATGTTTATCCAAACTAGTGGCGTAACTCCAGGGATTGCAGTGTTTGGTTTGTAAGTTACTTTGGTCCAAATCTCCACAATTACTGGATGGATTACCATGAAATTATCAACATTTCTACATTACTTAAGTTCATGACATGATGTCTAAAAAAAACAAACAAGTGATCTAAATCCCCATCATCATGCTAAGTATGTAACAGAGCACAGTAACACTTAAATTAAAGGTCCCATAGTTTCCTATGATTATATGTAAATCTAAACTCGTATGAAGGTTATGTAGAGTATGTAATTTGGTACTATTTAAAGGTAAAATTTAAGACAAGAGCGATAAAGTGATACAATTGATGCAGTTAATTTGCCACTGTAACTTAGCCCGTCTTTTAGTCAGGGCTCCTTGACCTTGAAATGGGAAATCTGTCTACAGAAAAACATGCAGTTCAACAATAACAAAATGTAATTGCAGTTCCAGGTGAACATTTAATTGGTTTTAAACAGAGCAGGTTTTTATGGCAGATTCCTCCGGGAATCAACACCTGCTAATGTTAGCATAGCTTAGCTCAACTTCAAATCGCTAAAGTCAAATAACTGTTTATTTTTACCCTTAATTAGTACCACTTTCATACTGTTACTTTCTTTTTTTAAGGAGACCTCCTTGGAAATTTTTAGTGAATTATAAACCTATAAAATAAAATGTTACATGTTAACGTGATGTAACTTCTACTGTATGCTCATGCTAAACATGCTTTTGCTAAGATAGTGTTAATGTAAGTGATGGCATGTTTGGCAATAATTTAGCAAAAGCATGTTTAGTATTATCGTATCATAACACATATATTAGTATTAGCATAAGGTGTAGCAAGTTTTCATGCTTGTGTGCATCCACAGCATGGAAACACACAAAAAAAGCTTTTTGGCATTGTTTCATGCTAGTTTCAGCATAGCTACACTCTTCTGAGAGAACAAGCTCACTGCTGGCCATCAGTTCACTGACAATTATACTGTTGTCTTAAAGTGACGTCATGAAAATGTTTTGATTCTAACTAATACACAAACATCACAGTTCCACTCATCTATTTAACATGTCAACAATGTCCCTACTTTTCCATCAGGAGGAAACCTGGATGTGATGGTGCCCTCAGAGTCGGTGTGTGGGCGGGAGCAGACAAAAAAGGTGTCATCCACAATCATGTTCCACTGCAACCCCTCAGCAGGCGTCGGCATCCCAGAGTTTATGCTGGAGACGGATGGATGCCAGTATCTGTTTGTGTGGCACACGGACGCTGTGTGTGGTCTCACGTGAGTAAACACTTTTACGCTTTTAAATCGGCTGCAATTTCTTTTTTAATCCAGACAGCAAAAATAGTTTTAAGAAGTGGAAAATATGTGTACATCTTCTCATCATCTTCTGAATTGCCTTGCAGAACTATTGACACACAGTCATATGATGACGACGTCAGCGAGACTCCAGCTCTTTCTAGGCGGAGCCAGGCGATGGGAATGATATTGAGCCTCCTGTTGGTGGGTCTGTCTGTCTGTCTGCTGGGGCTTTTGCTCCACAAGAGAGAGAGGAGGTGAGACCCTGAACATCCAATAAATGCAGAGCAGCGTAAAGATGTTGGCTGAAATTTTGTTTAATTGTTTAAAAGACTTTTAATGAACTCTGTCGGTCTTGTTTTTGCACATCTCCTGTCTCCTATCAGAGAGCTGGTGATCCAGAAGGTCACTGGCTGCTGCAGGAGAGGAAACCAAGTCTCCTATAAATATTCCAAGGTAGGTTGATCTAATCAGTGGATGTATTCTAACTTTGTTTAGATACTCAGATTCCAGTGGGCTCCAGGTAATCAAACATTTCCAGCCAGTTACTTTGTTATTAATTGGAATTGTTGCCTTCAAAGGATCCTGTATCTGATTCAATGGGACATATTGCCTCTTGCCCCTCCTGTCTCTGTATCTGTATTTCATCCAATCATACACCCACATCATGAAAATAAAAGGGAAAGTTTCACACCAGAATGCTTACATCTACTACTGCAGTGTGTGCAAGGTTACCAGGCAGGTGTTCAGTTCAGAAGAAGACCTGCTGTGTGGTTTCAACACCTTCTCTTGTGCACCCGTGTAATTACGTAGATAGTTTGCCGGCCTGCCTTTAAAAATTTGAAACATGGTTGTAGCCACACCGATTATGATTGGCTCGTTGGTTTGTGGGCCCACTGAGCCAATCCTTCCGCTACCTTCAAAAACACACAAGCGGTCTATATCGTTTTTCCATTGATAGGTTATTCTAGGTCATTTTCCACCTTATTGTAATGTTTACTCACTACTTGAATCTGCTCCCTTTATCTTCACTTTTCTTCTCCAGACACTCACACACACAAACACACCTACACCTCCGGCCTCTCACTGTGAACACACTGGCTTAGCTCGCAGAGTCTCTGCTCTGCTCACTTTTTCCATCAGCAATACTTTCATAAAGTTGTCACGTTTAATTAACTTACCCCCCTCTCACCCAACAAAAAACAGGAGAAAAACGAGGTATGAACTGAACTGTGGATTTGGTGATACGTTAAACCCCTAATTCATCAGAAGTTCAAGTCACGACATCATGATTTATTCAATGAATTTGTTTCTGTTGCACTTTGATTTCATTTCATCAATATTTCCAATCAGCCAGGCGTAAAAAATGTGATTTGGACTTTTTTATAACACATTCCGCTCTGTTTTTTTTCATGCACAAATTAAAAATGTGCAAAAAACAGGTAGATGGAAATGCACCTACTGTTATGTGTGTTACACTTTGTGCTACCTTGTTGACAGTTTATCTCATCTCCTGTGCCACAGGATTGGATTCAGTGTCTCTACTAACTTGCCTTGAAATCTTCAGGTCAACATGGACGAAGAAGGGGGCGAAGAGGAGATGGAGTGGCTGATGGAGGAGCTGGAAGCCCCTCTCACAACTTCTTCCGCATCCTCCCACCGTGGTAGGAGTATCCATGGCAACGGTCACATCAAGACCAAGCCGGTGAACACAGACGGCCTGCGTTCATTCTCGCTGGATGACCAGGACGATGACAGCGAGGACGAGGTGCTGAGCGTCCCAGGGGTGCGAGTGGTCAAATCCTCTGGACTTGCCAGCCGCTCTGCGGCCCATCGCAGTGCCTTCCTCCAGGTGAGTTTCGTCTCAACATCAGTCCAGGTGTTACTGTGTCCTAGCGTGGTGCTCAAAACCTCACAGAAATCCTTCATTCCAGGAGGAGAGCGATGAGGATCTGGTCGGCCTCCTGGACGAGTCAGACAGGAAGAGGAAAGGCAGCAAACTTCGCCCCTTAGGCCCTAACCACGCTAACAACACGGAAGCCAATAGGAAACCGGACGAGGATGACAGTGACGAGGACCTCCTCAGGGTGTGATGTCACTTCCTTCTTCCCTCTCCCCCTAAATCCTATCTGAACTTTTCTCTCTCAGTGAATGTCTCCATAATAGCAACAACAACGATGAAATACAAACAACATAATGAAAGCAGAAACCTTTCCTCTCTTTTGGGATTTTCTTTTGTTGGACTGCACCTTAATTTGGCCTGCTGAGACTCTGTCCAGTCTTCTGTCTACAGACTGTTGATGTTAGTACATGGTTTCTTATTTATTGATTTGCTGATTATTTAAAGTGTAAAAAAGTTTTGACCTTCACCCTATTTTCTCATATTTTCAGTCATAATCAAGAAATTAAAAATTTACTTCACTATAGTTACTTCCGTCTTGCCACATGTATCCAATACAGACCTAACAGGCCTGTTGAGACTCTAAGAATCAGCGACAGACGCACAGGGTGTTGACTCTGCAATGAGGCATGTCAATGAAAAGATGTGAACATTTGTCTTTCTTTTGTTTGAGAGTTTTGAACGTAAGCTGTGCCGTTGCTTTAGCACTTTATTGCAGCATCGATTAATTGAAAATAATACATGCCTCTTTGCAGACTGGGCAAATTTTTAGTGTGCACTGGCCTGTTAAGGCCTGTATTTGATAAATGTGATGAGATGTACAGTTAATTAGCTTGATAGTAAAAACAGTAGCAGATTATGGGAGAAAAGCAATGGCTGTCAAAGAAAATTAAAGCAGTAGGCAGTGAAGGTGTCTGCTTGTGTTGTTTCTAAAGGGAATGAAGTCTTTTCTGTTTACAGTTGCTATATTTTCTCTTTCTTTCCCCTCGAAAAGAAAGTGCTATGCCTTCCTGATGATGAATTGACTTTGCTTTTTCATCGATTAATCGTGTCCGGCGACAGATTGATTCTTGTCTTGTTTTGATCAGAGACATTGTACATAGGTGATAATGTTCTATAATATGGACGTTTTGTTTGTTGTCTTCACCGGTGAACAGCTCACACGTTTGTTTTTATGATTATTTAAATGGTTGTCTGAGCTGACGATCTGTACGTATCTCTGTTCTGTGCGAAAATACAGATGGCCTTAAGTGTGAATGGACGGTCGACGTGGATGGAAGGTTGAAAGTGAAACTTGAGATGTTAGTTTAGGTTGTGTTGGTTCCCCTCCCGCGAAAGCCATATATCTACAGCCACCACAGGCACTAATGTATGGAAGTTTTTTCCGCTTGCACGCTCCAGTACATTGAAGGCTCAGTTTTGGTATTCAGGTCTGTGATTGCAGACGTTGTTGCATCAAAAGTGAGATTTTAACTCTGTAAAGCCAAGTTTTTGTAGTACCGAAATTTGCCCTTTTTAGCCAAATGCATGTAAGACAAAAGAAAGAAGTGAAGCATAAATGTATCAAGAATGCAGGCAGTTGACTTGCATATAACATATTTTCTGCTTAATAATGAAAGTATTGTTTTCACAAAGGATATCATCAATGATGGGTGTATGTGTCTTTCTAAAATGAATTCAAACTGACTGCAGTGTTCCCACATGAGAGTGATATGAGCAAACCTACACAGTATGAACACACGGAGTATTTGGGTTCCGTCCCATTATTGCCTCGTTTCTTTGGTCCAAGCCAAGTTGTTGTGAAGTTAGTGTCTTTTTGGATTACACAATGAGAACACAGACTGAATTTACAAACTCACAAATAGCTAAACTTTCACGCCCCCATGTCATTCTCCCAATTCAGATGTTCTGGCAGTGAGCAGAATCAAAACAAATCAAACTTGAACTAAACATGGTGCTCTTGGTGTGGTTTGTTTTCATTATCTGATAAACAGTTCCCTTCACAAGTTCAAGGTGATGTCTTCAAATATATTTTGTCTGAACATCACTACAAAACCCAAAGATACACAGAAATGTTGGCAAATTATTTTCTGTAAATCAACTAACTGATTAGCTGACTAATAGTGTAAACCCTTGTGTTTTCATAATTTTCTTGGTTTACTTTTGTCCATTTGAGCATAAAAGTTCATTTATGACACTTTTAACTTTTTCCCGCAGATTTTGGCAAATGCTTAGTTGTCAACTATCAATTTGCTTGTTGACAACTGAGCATTATTTGTCTCCTGATTACTGTGAGATGTGATTGAAAGCCCGCGATTTGGCCTTGAGTTGATAGTTTTCTTTGTTAAACTACTTGGTCCAAGTTTGAGGAGCTGCTAGCCAGCAGGTATAATTCAGGCGGAAACACTAAGTCAATATCAATAATAATAATCGTCACCAGCTTTCGATAGTCAGTTAATCATTCAGTCGATTATCAAGTGTTTTGTTTTTCAGTTTCCCAAATGTGACGATTATCTGTGTTTCATTGTTAATTAAACACCTTTGGGTTTTAGACTTTAGACAGTTGTCACTTTTTTGTTGTTTTCTAGACAAACAATTAATTGATTCATCAAAGAAATGATAATTCATTCATTGATAATGAAAATAATAATCAGCTACTGTCTGATGAAACTGCACTGCAGTGGGAAATTTTTAGGTTTCTCATCTCACCAAACAAACTGAAAGTTCAACAGATTAATTAAACCACTCCACACTTACTTTCGGTGAATGTCTTACCTTGGGAGAGCACCTGTTGAGTTATTGACAGATTTTGTATTGATTTGCAGTCACATACAAAGTGCACAGACTATGAATATTTATTACGTTATATACATTGATTACATTGTCCACAGTACGAAGGAGAATGACGATGGATGATTCACTTTTGGGTTTTGTCAGTATTCAATCCAAAGAAACTTCTAAAACAAACAAAAAAAATGATGATGCTAAACTTTCTTATCAATCAAGAACGTTCACCATTCAGGGTATTTCTAAAGCTTTGTACACAAAAATTGTTAGACCAGTTTTAATAAGATGCCACTTTGTCCAAAACAGACAAAAAAAAATGACAAAAAGATCTGAACTGGCATTTACACTGGGAACATGATGTGTCATAATAGTGACACAAATGATAGATCTTTAGATCATCATGTTCCTGTCTTTTATTCCATGGGTGTTCAGTGACTTGTTTTCCAGTGTTATTATCTCTGAGATCACAAATGGAAATGAAACCTTTCAGAAGCTGTGTTTGAGTAAAATTGTCTGACTCCAGAAAGAAGAATTATCTCACTTAGGTCTTTGTAGAATAACGGTATCATAAAGTTACTGATCTGAAGTGAAATCTACCTTTGAGAGCGTGACAAACGAACGGGGCACATTTCCAAAGAACAATAAAATTTGTGCAATTACAAATGGATCCGAATGAAATGTCAGAATTCCATATGTATTAAATATAAGTTAAACAGAAGTTAAAGTGAAATCAAGCCTGTCGTTGGCAGAGTTGACAGAGTTTTTATAAAACATAATTTTAGCATTCATTCAGCATGTGGACTCCGGCTGTTGTTTTGAAAGCGTTTTACTTTAAGGTTTCAACTGGGATAAAAGCATCTTCCTGTGTTTGGCACTTTGTAATCAACTCATCTCTCCTGAGGAGACGTAGCAGCACACAAGCAGATGTTCCCGTTAAGTATGTGAAATCCTTTTCCATTGTTGCATAACGTCTGTATCTGCTGTATTTAGCACCAAAGTTTGTGTGTCTCATCTGCATGGTACAGTACTGAACCGCCTCTTCCCTATGAAGATATGAATGGACATTCTTGTGCTTTTTTGTCTACTTTAGAGCACAGAACTGTTTTGGGGGTTACGAGAAACTAATTCAGTTTAATTCAGAAGCAGACAAACATGCTCGGAGAATAAAGTGACTAAAAAAAGCACAAGTTTTCTGTGATGATTCAGTACTATGGGAGATCATTATTATGTTTGAGTTGGTGTAAGTTATGTTGTCTGTTGTTTTTCAGCTCTTCGCCTGTTTTCCTATTTAAAAAACATTGATGTAAAAACTATTGCATTATTTGAATAAATGAGATCTGCTGTTTATCACAGTTGTGGTTTAATCACATACTCTGACCAATAAGAGAAAATTTAAGAAATGAGAACCTTGACATTGAGACTTAAAAGTGACTCGGCTTGGACTTAAATTACTTGAGACTTTATTTAGGTTTGTCTTTAGTTGAACGTGTTTAAAAGGACCTGAGACTTTGAATTTTCTGAAATGACTTGAGACTTGACCTCGACCTGTGTCAGGTGACTTTAGACTTGAATTTGACCTGTTTCAAAGGACACCAGATTTGACTTGGACTCAATTTGAGGAACTTGAGACTTGTCTTAAAGGATGCATGACTTGTCTTAGACTCATCTGGGAGGATTTAAGATTTGTCTTTCACTCATGTTGGTGAACTTGAGACTTGACTCTGACTTGTGTTGGACATATCTCTTATTATTTTAGACTTGAGTTAGACTTAAATAACTTGTGGGTGATCTACTATTTTCTACTAACTTTAGAATTAAACATGTAGAAGTGTTGGCTGTCCGTCCTACTTCCTGTAAAGGAAAAGTCTTTCATGACCATTCAAAGTTGTAGAAATAGAAACATGAGCTCTGCTGATCACAATTTGATCCCAAACTACAAATTTTTACCTTCTATGGAGAGAAAAAAATCAATTATTATTATATTATGTTTTACTATTTGTTGACTGATAGAAAAACGGGTCCAATTTTCATATTTCTCTCAGATCCTCATGATTCCCAGAGACTTTGTTAACTGATTGACAGCTTAACTGGCTGTGTGCACGTGTGCATGAAATGCAGGGACTGGCTGCAGGCCCATGTGTCTGCGTTTGTGTTATAAAACCCTGGAGACTTCCCACTAGGTTCACACATGTTCTGACGTCTGAAAAAATGAAACCAAACGTGTCTTAATGGTCCATTGCACTGCCTGTAAAGCAACAACATCTTTCTGTGGACCTTTGCTCTTGTTAGTTCCGATAAAAACCCAAAAGGACAGCCGTATCTGTGATCACTGTCAAGAGAGGCTCAGCATACACACCTGCAAAGCTGCAGGAACTTAGACACTGATTGAAATTAATTGTTTTTTGTTGTTTTTCTGCAACCATGACCAGTTTTGATGACATCTTGGAAGAAGCTGGGAACTTTGGCCGCTGTCAGAAGCGAATCTTCGCCCTGCTCTGTATGTTGTCATTTCCTTTTGCAGGTGTGTATGTCGGTATCGTGTTCCAGGGCTTCACCCCAGATCATTGGTGTCGGGACTCTGGGGTGGTGGAGATTAGGCAGGAGTGCGGCTGGAGCCTTGCAGACAGTCGCAGGCTGACGGTGCCGCTGGTCAACAACTCTGGAGTCTTGCAGCAGAGCAGCTGTGAGCAGTATGAGGTGGACTGGAACTCCACAACACTTACCTGTGACACACAAGAACTGAACCTCAGCAAAACTCCCAGAACTGCCTGCAAAGATGGCTGGGAGTACGACTATGAGGGACGACAGTCCTTTGTTACTGAGGTGAGTAACAAAGGAAAGAGTAAAATAAGTTAAAAAGAAGTAAGCAAATAAAATACAATCTAAACAATTCAAGACAAGTGAAACCTATGAAGTCAACAATATAATGTGAAGCATCTTGGATGAATGTAAATAAGAATAGCAACAGGTTACAGAAGTAACATTGTTCTCCCTAAGTGGTAATTCAACACATAAAACCATGTGTTGCATTTTTGGTCCCATCTAAACTTGTCATTTCAAGTGAATCCAGATAATTTACAGTTGGCCACACACTGTATGCGATGGCCAGATTGCCAGTCGGATTACAATCCTCCTTGGTTTTCCTGGGCTTTATGCAAATTAGAATTTGACTTACTTCATTTTAGAGAGAGTTGGTAATGCATCTAAAGGTGTTTGGTGACCGAATGGCCAAAGACTAACTTTTGCACTTTAACAATTTTCGTTACAACATTTGACAATAAACTAGCCACGTCAAAACTAACCCTTAACTTGTGCCTGGTGCACAACAGAGGATTTTCAAATCTCAAGAAAGCACACACACCAGACAATTCAGTCAAGACGCAGGACTACACACTTGGCGTTTATTAAGAGTGGCGATTTCGGGGACTTGGGATGTCATGGAAATTTGACTTCAGACATAAACAAACATGGAGGCAGACTGTCTTTGTCAATTAGTCACACTTGTGTGTGCTATGTTTTGCACAGAAAAAAACTAAAGAGAATAAAACTGTGGATGAACCGAGGAACTGAGGGCTGAGAAGAGGGAATTAGCATGGTCCATACATTTTATAGCATGAGCAAATACACAATACGGTGGTGAAGCTTCCCGTTCAGCTCGCTCTCATTGGCTGTTGCGGGTTTCTAATTGGAGACACCCTGATTTCAAATCGAAAATATCAAACATGTTTGATATTATGAGGATCCTACCATCCAGTTGGTGACTTTAAGATTATGTCTGTAAACCCCTCACACTACAGGATCATTAGGGCCAGAAATCTGTTCCGACCAGCCTTGGCTCAGGAACACACCAGCGATTGTCATGAGGGGGAACAGGACCCAGAATCGGCCCAGTTATCCTCCAGTGTGCCAGTATAACACAAACACATGAATCGCATTTATGAAAAATGAAGGAGACATACCTTTTGAACTTTGGATGGAGCCAAGGTAACCCCTCATCATGTCTCCATACTTAACTTACAGACATGAGAGTGGTGTTGCTCTTCTTGTCGTGGCCGTTTTCATGACAAAGTCCAAGGCCACTATTCTGCAAGAAATCCATCCCAGGCTGACGCGTGTCCACCCATGTGTGTCCCCATATCCACACTCCAGGAGTACCCAATGTACCCAAAAATCCAGAGAAAGCGGCAAGAAAATTTTGATTGTACCTTTTTAATTTGGAGTATACAAAAAGGCTTGGTCCATTACCAGCCCAGTACAGTTCACCAAAAGTTACTCAAAAACATTTTGCCAAACACGGTCAAAAACTTGTTAGCATACAGGGCTCTTGCAGATCTCCCCTCCCTTCTCCCGTGTTACTTTTTTCCTACTGCCCATGCGCAGCAAAATTACTAACCCACCCAATCAACAGGTACAAAAACACAATATCAAAAACAAAAAGACATTCTGCATGACCCATGAACATACAGCAGGTGTTTAACAACAATTTAGCAAATACCATATATGCCAAAATGGCTCTTACACTTCTCATCTAAGTCTTGGCAGGAAAGCAAGGGCAGTTACACAAGTGTATTTCTCAAAGTCCCAGTTCATTGTGCCACATGCAAGAAAAATTTTGTAGTATCTTCCTCTTAGTTTTTTTCGTAAGAGTGTGCCATATCAGATTCAATGTGTGTAAATTAGGGGTTCTCCAACTTTTTCATGGGACCCCTAAATTGACCCCAATTTTATACGATTTTGTCCCAAGGAACCACATGTGACAGGATTTGTTCTTTTAGATGTTTTATTACAGATAGTGTAAAAAACTATGACCAAAATAGTCATATTCTGTCACTGTATTTCTTATTGATGGAGTTAAAGTGAAAATAAATTATTCCCCTTTTTGCTGGGGACTCCATGGAGCCCCATTTTGAGAACCACTGGTGTAAATTTCCCACTTAAACATGATGAATGCCTTCTGTGCATAATTGGGTGTGAATTGTAAATTAGCACAATTATCGCGCCAATAATTGGCTACCATATAAAGCTACGCGTCCTGCCCCGTGTGTTCGAGGAAGTGTTCATGGATGTAAATGACATCGAAGAGTAAAAAGAAGAACTTCAGGAGTTTGGAGACTCAAGTCCTGCTTTCAGAGAACCATAATGTAAAGTCTATCATTTTAAACCGCGTCAGCAGTGGAATTAAGGGGATAGGGTTGGATCGGTGTGTTTGTCTGTGGAGTTGCGGCTCTAACAAGTTTCACAGTTGCAGAAGCACAGTCCGTGGTAATCTAAACTGCGACAACAACCATTCATCTGTCTCTGCCAATATATCAGCCCACTGTCACTCTCTTCCAAGGGCCTGACTTGCTAAGGCATCTATAAGATTACACTTCAAGCTGACCTTGGGATACCAGCAACAACTTGCTCCTACTCCTACAACAGGTCTGGACCACTCCTAAATTGTGATCATGCCTAAGAGAAAATTCAAAATATTAGAAAATTGGTGATTGCGGCAAGTTCTTCTAAATTAGTTGCACAAGCCATTAGCTCAAAAACGTGGGGTATCAGAAATGTAGAATTTCAGGAAAAATATAAAGTGAGAAATTAATGTTGTGATTTATTTGTTATTGTTGCCCCAGTTTGACCTGGTGTGTTCAGATGGATGGTTGGTGGACATGTACCAGGCCACTCTAAACGTGGGCTTCCTGGTTGGAAGTATCGCTGTTGGCTACCTGGCCGACAGGTAAGTCTGTGTCTGACTGGTTAGTTTTTGTTTTACTGTTGGCGTGATGAGAATCCAGCTTTACTCATATCCATTGAATTGTCCTCCAGGTTTAATTTTAACTGCATATATATGATACAAAGCACATTACAATATTTTTACAAGTATAATTTGCAGTCCATTATTTTATTAAACAACCTAATGACTGATGTTGTCACTGTCTTGTTTGTTCTTATGTCCTCAGGTTTGGCAGGAAAATGAGCTTCCTGATGTCCAGCCTGTTTAATGTGATTGCAGGAATCCTGGTGGCCGTGGCTCCAAACTACATGTCTTTGCTGGTTTTCAGAACGCTCTACGGTTTTGGAGTGAAAGGAGGCTGGATGGCTGGATATGTGCTGAGTAAAAACAACATTTAACTTCACAGCTGGGAGTTTTACAATGTTAAAGAAACATTCCTATTCTTTGTTCTGTCTCTCGAACATTATTTAATATGTGTGAAATCTTTCTACTTCTTCTCTCTTTTAGTCACAGAGATTGTCGGGGTGGAGTTCAGACGCACAGTGGGAATCATTTATCAGATGTTCTTCAGTATTGGCATCCTCATCCTCCCTCTGCTCGCCTACTACATTACTGACTGGCGCTGGCT